ACCGTATAATGAATTAAGTGACAATGTATTAATTAATATAACTATTTTATTAAACAAACAAAAACCGAAGTTTCATCCGGAATTTGGTTTCGGTTTCGACTTAACTCGAATTAATTTTAATTAGCTGTATTCAATGATTTAACTTTTATGTACCTAAATGTAAAATGACTACAATGATTTTTACAATAAGTATCGTCTTTCATCTCTATTATTTATGTTAAAACCAGAAACAAACAAAGCCAACTATTATTACTTCGTCCGGTCTATAACTGATCATCGGATTTGAGTTATGACGTATACCTTAGTCACACCCCCAACTAGTGACGTCATAACATCGATTCGAAATCTGTCCAATTGTAATAGATTGAAACGTACATAACTTGTAGCTTGCATTTTGTAAATATTGTGATTTATTTATGATTATTATTATTATGACATGTAAATGAGAATCAAGCATATATAATTCCGACTACATTTACAAGTTGTAATTCTATGTCTCCGGAACGAGGGGCACAATCTGATAGGACCCCAATAGGGTAAAATGGCGGCTTGTTAATATTTTTTTTAGTGAGTAAATGCTAAAAATTATTTATTTACGTTATTAACTAAGTGTACTTATAACGTCACAACAGTTTAAAACTAAAGACTCTAAATTTAAATTTACTAACAGTAACAATTACCCTCGATAGAACGTAGCTTGCTGCTGCTTAGAATGACCTAAGTGGGATACTTTAAAAATAAGTCGAAGACTATGGGATAAACAGGTCTTCTGCTTATGTAGATAACATTTCGTAAGATAATAGCTTATCAAGGACCTATACGTAATTCTATAACTCTACAAGACAATGTAAAATAATGGTGATGATTAATTCACGCAGTACTTCCTGGATGTATCGAGCCCCTGGGGCTGTGAGCTCGCAAGACCTAATTACCAATCTTCATTTATAAATGGCAGCAATTGTCTAGAATACATTGCATGGTCACCGTCTGGTTCATTTATAGTAAAGAAGGAGGATGCGTAGTTAATATTATTTCACTATTTCGAAAGGATGATGAAATATGTTAAAGAAAGAGGTTGTATGGAATAATTCCAAATAGTCTAAAATGGCCGACATCGCATCTTAATTGTACCTTCTACTCGGTCATAAAAATAAGAAATAAATTCACAAAGTTACTCCAATTTCGTTTGTTTTACTCGTAAAAAGCACTTAAGTTCTTAACACAAAGCAATCTTGAAATATCTCAATAACAATCACGTTAAAAGAGTGATCAATCAGTACACAAGTAAAGTTAAAAATCAAATAGTAGCGGATCGGAAAGCAGGTCAGGGCGGGCGTCACGGGGTGACGTCACAGCCACGGTGCACCCCTACAGCCTCACTCACTGCACTAACACTGACGCAAATCTCTGCAATGTACGAGTGCGTCATTTAGGGCTCACACACGCGATCGAGTTTATACTACCTGTGCAGAACGAGACCTAATATCGCTAGGTTGAATAAAATACTTTACAAACGTACTCAGAGCTCCCTCTAGATACCGAGGCAGGTGATATATAGGATGGCTCTGTTCGAATCACGCCTTTGTGGTCGGTCGGTAGGACAAACTCTAATAGAGCTGCCAACGAAAATCCCTTGCCTGCAAATAAACCAGGATTGTGTAGATTTAGGTAATAAGACAAATTCGTGGATACATTATTAATAGCAATGTTGATTAAGCTTTTATTTGACTTGATTAGTCGCAAGTCGTAAAAATGACTAATATCCATCATTAAAAGACAATTTTTTGAATCTAATTTGAGCATCCGTTGGTGTACGAGCTTCAGTAAACGTTATTTATGTCATGCTCATGCCATGTTTCAAAAGTAAATAGTGGGATATGCGTGATTATTAGTGATTATGAAATGATGATATGTTGCAGATAATGCTACACTAAATAGCGCTGTTAGGCCGCGTTTTGATAAATAAATTTAAATATTTACGTATCTTACCTAAATGTACGCCTAAATTAGTTTACATATTGGTAATGACTCGTATTTTTACGTGAATGTTTTCTATGAATTTTGCAAAAATACAATTTTGGAACTGTCCTTTAAATGAACAAATTATTACTTAGGTTTTTTATAAGACAAATATTGCTCTTGGTACCTATTACTAACTTGTGACTTGCATTTCTAACTAACAAAACAACGATATTTCAAAACTTTTTAAATTCTTATTTTAAAAACTCTAATTTTGAGCTTATGCAAGTATGTAATATCTATTATCATGATAAAAACTTTTACCTATGGTCTAAGCAAGGCAGTATTTTGCCCCGCCCTTACGCTCCCGGTACACACACACAGCGGCACTTCACTTTGCACACTACTACATTTACCCGCCATTAATTGGAATGCACATAGAAATATATTTTTAGATATTATGAAATATTGTTGACGTATGAAAACCCTCGGTTTAAAATTTCTTGGGATTTGAACAAATTGTAACTAAATAAAGTTTCAAAACAATATATCCTCCCGAATTTCGCATGCACGAAGTTCTGTATACTGTATGTATGTATAAAAGACGAAAACTCGACGATTTCTTTATTACAAGCTTTAGGATTCTTTATTACAAGTCTAGTGTCCCCAACTATCTCTTAAACGATAATGGGTCGTTAACGCTGGGCCATAGTGATTTTCAGATTACAACGACGATGTTGACTTTGTACAATAATTGCTTGCTACATATACAATTCTGATATATATCATATACAGGTATTTTTAAATTACATACTTTGCTAACTATAACGGTTTACTTTCAGTTATTACGTACTTAATATGTCAAAGCCATGAGCAATTAGAAATATGATAGAATTTAAACAAAGATGACCATTATTGTATTACAGAGGACAGTTAGGAATGAAATCCACTTGATGGAAGGCGAAGTCTATACAAGATGCGATGTCTACCTATTTAGGGTATTATTATTTGCTCATTTTATTGCCGTCGCATTGCGAGCTTATGGTTGAGCAGTTAATATGAGGATCTAACCATATGACTGCTCTTTATTTACATTCGAGTTCTAGGTATTTCCATCAGAAGGTTATCAGAAACTGCTACAGCAAATCTTTCAACATTCAGAAATATATTTACCTTAGCGAGAGTTTTGCTAATCTGAGATATAATATTTAAGCGCAATTCATTTTTATTTTACTTTACTATACAAATAAATAGATACAAAGTGGCATTTGTTCTATCTCCATTTAAAACCGCGTAAAATCTTTTTCAAAAAGTAACGCATACATTTAGCGGGTTAAACTAAGAAAGGTTGTTTATTGTTTTATTTATGCTTGGAATTTTCCATTCCTTATTATCATTGCCAATTTTTGCAAATATTTCAGTGATATGTTTTTGTTAACTTAAAACAAACTAATTTACCTGTAAAGATGAAAAATAACAAAATTTTGATGGCCGTATAAATTCAATTGGAAATCAGAAGCACTTATTTTTTTTCTTTCTTTTCAGCCAACATTTAATATATCATAATAAGAAAAATATAATACCTACTATGATCATATTAAAACTATTGACATGACAATGACATATGAATGTAAAGTGATTTGATTCACTATACTCTATGGTTTTTGACATAGTTGATAATTAATAACAACCTTCAATATAATAAAAAGTTTAGAGAACCAAATTCTTCGAAATTAACTTATCGGTAAGGGGCACTAGATAGACTCCCTTTGTTTTACTGAATTTCAATAATGGTATAGCATTTAAGACGAACGAATTTCTTTCTTATTCAAATTATCTCTCAGACGCGACCATTATAAACACTCCTATGTTTTCAGGGGACTTACTTTGACGTTAAGACGCTAAAATACAAAAACAATACAATACAGTTTCGACTAAAATACAAACACGATTACGAAAACAATAAGTTAAAATTTGTTGACTTTGAAATGTTTGAGTTTGCTTTAAAACTCCATTATTAGTTCTTTGTTTTATTTACACAGAATTAGGAATTACAATATTTATAAAAAGCATTTAATTAATTGTTGTTTGTAAGTTATAATAACCTATTACTAGCGACATCTTGTAGGGTTATTTCAAACAATTATAATGTGAATTAGCGCGTGGTGTGCAATGTATAGTTTATATAGAAAATGTATCATCAGATTCGTTACCGTATTCGAATCGTTACTATACCAATCTCTTTTATGATAATTATGGGTAGATGTGTGCGTGAGTTTTTGGTGTTAAATACACCAAAAATCAAACCAAATTTAGCACATAATTTATTTAGAAAAATAAATAACCATTCCCCTCCAAAAAATTTTTCCAAAAAAATTGTTTTGATAAAGAAAGATATTCTATATTTTTTAATACAACCTAAAAACACGTTTGAGAAACATTACCAATAATAATTAAACTTTATGCACGAAAAGACTTAAGACAGTATATTATAGCTCAGAAAAGCTTTTAAGAATTAATGGAAGTGGGCCAAACAACGTATAACCTCTTATTATCACTAACAGCTTTTGAAGTTAATATGTGTAAAAACACGTCTAGTTCTTATCAGACTGAGGCCAACGGCGTATGGTTGTTGTTAATTGTATAGCAAGGGGATGATGAATTTTGCAGTATGGAAGGCGGATAGTTTAATATTAAAAGGAGGAGATAATGTAATAATGAATTGTTGAACAGTCAAATGTTGGTATTACAAGCAAAGAGGCGCCCTTAGCTTTTTGTTAATCACTATGTTTATAGATCGAATATTATTTATTTTGTCGTGTTTCCATTATGTATTCCTTATGACTGCACCGAGTCTAGTAACTACAGCTGTTGTAGCGGGGCCTGAGATACATTTTTGATCCCACATGAAAAGTTCAGAATCCCTGAATGCTATCCACATTTTTTATGAAGTTTATAACATACAAACACAATTGGTTTTATGTTGATGGCTCATCGTTTTAGTGCGAAGGTAACTGTTTTAAAATTTTCGTTAAAAATGTATGACTGGGTAAGTAGAACTTAACTCGATGAGTACCTACATTTTCTAATTTCACCGAACTACCTGAAAAACGTTGCACCTCCTATTTAGGAATGAGTGAATAGGTGGGCCGGCCACGAAATGTATTAATTTGCAAAATATCTCAATAGATAGTTACGTATTCAGATTTCTTTCACGATACCTTTACCACATTTTCGCGATTCCCACATCAGTTCACCGAGACATTTTATCTCGAGCTCGAGTGTAGCGATTATACGGCGTGATATTCCTTGAAATTTACCTTACCATTGGTAGGGCACATGTACAAACTGAAGCACAAGAGGATCACAGAGTCAGAGGCGCGCGCGACGCCTGCACGTGCCCGCCTCGTGCAACATGGCCATGCCAGCACGCCGCTATCGACCGTGCGCCGGCCCGCCGCCTAGCGACTGACGCGCGAACCATGCGCGCGCAATTACAGCTCTCACCCCTCGGCCGCTACCCTCGCACCCGGCCCGAACAAACAGCCTAGCCGGGGTTGCCAGCTCGTTATTTTCAGCAGACCTAGCTGACACGTGATAAGATAAACTGTCACAAATATCATACGAGCTCACGGAACATAATCGGTGTGCAATACCAATAAAACGAAATGTTTAATTAATTATACTGAATTCGTTTTTCGCTAAGGAGTAAAGTATTTGGTATAATATTTAGTTTTTAACACGCCTCTCTCAATTCCTCGATTTTACCCGGCGACAATAGTAGTTTTTTCAATGAACCTAATTTACAATTTTATGTCGATATTTTAAAATACAGATATATTTAAGCACTGAAACCAATTCGTAAAGGAAAAGAGTTGAAACTTGTTTTATCTATAGAAAAAAGGCGGAATAATACCTACATCTTTCTTCTACGACCTAACAATGGTAACGTTTATTTTTTATGAAACTGTACAGAAGAATGTTAAGCGAAATTAATTTCGGATGTTTTCTATTTTTTCCTCTATAATACATATCCCTCCATATTTATTTTCAGGGTATAGCAAGTACGGGACAGCGCGTTTCCGTCGGCATGGCAACGGACCCCAGACTCGAACGAATTTACACGACCGCCTCCGACAAATACCGACCGCGTGCCCTGAAAACGAACCTAGGTGCACCTGCTTTTGGAAAAAGCCATGATAGATTACCTGCGAACGTGATGTTATGTGGGCCGTAATTATTCATGCTGCATTTTATACGCCCGGCTTTTTAATTATGAATAATATTGACGGTGCGTTGTGTCGACGGATTTTTGTCTTATTTTTATTCAAGATCGATGTATTTATTGTATAATTTAATATCTCGCCCGCGACTACTGCTGATAAGTGTCTAACAAGAGCTAGTCATTTCACAAATATTCCTCTTGTTTTAAATCGCTCGTTTAATTTAATATGTAAACTACAAACATATTATATACACAACGAAATATATTTTCAAATTAAAAATAACGAAATGGGATAATATAAGAAAACTTAAATATTATGTATATGAAGCGCTTTTTGTTGGCGTTATTTCCTCGTAGCATAAGCGTAGCACTTGCTATAATTAACGTTACCTCGTTAAATAATGTTTCCAATTCTCTTTTTTTTCCTTTTTTTACCAATCTACTTAATTTGTGTTTGGTCTCATTAGTTTTCAGCCTAAGGCAAGTCTGTGTTATGAATTACTTTACCTGCCCTTCTTAAGCAGCAGTTAATAGGCTGAGATATGCTGCATAGCAGCTCCGATGGTTCGCGTCCCGCCTGTGTCATTAATTTTTGTTAGCTTCTAAGTATTAAAGTATAACTTTGAAGTTTTATTAATTGTAATGTACCTTAACGTAATTTCTCACTGAATTAAAAAAGGAGGTTCTTTATACAACCTATAATCTTTTCCATTTAACAAAATATATCCAAGTATCTTATTTTTTTTAGTGCACTGTTTGAAGTCAGTTATTTATTTGTTAAAAATTATATTCGTTATGTATATGAACGCGGCCCATTATTTCGTTGCAAATAAAGACTTGGTCCATCGGCATAAAAAATATTTACGATTAATCTTAGCACTTCTGTTATCCATTATTCTTATAACATGGCCTTGATTTTTTAAATGAATTAAATCGTGGTCAATTAAATACTCATTGCTTAGCTTAATTCTAAAAGGTAAAATCTGATCATTTATTTATTTACATTCTTCATAGACCCGACAAAACTGAGTTCATCCACTACAGTGAGGACAATCTTAACGTTTTACATATTTATAATCATTAACGTTAAGATTAAATTAGTTTAATAGAAAGATTTAATTTAATACAAAATGTATACAATATTTACATGACAAATGATTAGATTGGAAATTTTTAATTAAACAAGTCTTTCCGATCCAACAAGAGAAAAGTATTTTTAGTGTTATTTATTTTTTTACAATATAAATTGACTTCGTGATGACCATATTATAGTTTCATGGTCCCAACTCCCAAGTAAAGTCAAAAGTAGTCTTGAGTAAAACGCAAATATTTGATTAAAACTTTGAGAAATCTATTTAATATGACAGTTCTGTCATGTTTGACACTTGACAGGCCTCCTAACATCGGAGCACTGTGAAAGGTGAATCTATGGGAGTATGCATTTTGTAAATACAATTAGGTTGTAATTTTATTGGGTTACCCAATAGGGTCTGGAAACGTAAATACCTTGCTTCTTAACAAGTGTGTTTCTTCCATACATTTAAAAACTGTTATTTCCGTTCTATCATGGCCTTTTTAAGGTCTGGCTGGCAAAAAATCGCCACCGTCTTCGGTAGCAATAATGGTATGTAAACTTATCAACAATTACTTAATAGCTTTATGGATGTGTCTTAATATTGATGCTTAATGTTCCAGGTGGATTACTTTCAAGATTCTTGACCAGCAATATACCATCTGTTAATAAACCTCTGATAGACACAAATCAAGATATAATTTCCACTTGTAATAAATTAATAGAAGACAAATCTTCAAGGAATTTTGCCATTGTGCATTTATTAGGTAAACAGTGGAGAGTCACAGATGGTGACTTATTAGTAGTCGAAGGCTACTGGCCACCCAATATTGGTGATAGAATAAAACTTGACAAGGTGTTACTTGCAGCAAGCAAAGACTTTTCATTGATTGGAAGACCTGTGGTTCAACCTGGTTTGGTTACTGTTACTGCTACTATTATATCTAAAGGATTGGCACACACTAAAATACATTTTAAGAAGAAGCGTAGGAAACAGTTTATGAGAATTAATTTCCAAAGACCACAGCAAACAATGTTAAGAATTAACTCTGTTGTAATTAATAATACCATTAATGAAGCTCCTAAGAATGAATTTTAGATAGGAAATAGATATGTAAGTTTAATATACAATTTGAGTCATACTGTCTATAGTTTACGCGAGTAGTAACATTTAAATAAAACACTTTAACGGTTTAAAACGCGATATATTAGTTAAACTTATTTGAAAATGATTTTTAACTTCGGCCCGACGTTTCGGATGCTTTGCAGCAGCCGTGGTCACGGGGAGACTAAAGATGGAGGATGTCTCAGACGTCAAAGTAAAGAATTGCTACGCTAGCGCCATCTGTTCCGTCGAAGTTGGTATTTGGCGAAACTGGCCGGGTCCTTACAGAATTGACTAACGGTGTCTTCGCGTTTGCTGGTATGCTGTTTATTGGGATCCAGAGTTTTTAATATGGGATCCCAGGTGTTTGATAGTTTGAGGCCGTCCTCCTATTGAAATTTCGGTGTTTTTTGATTTCAATTGCTTCGCGTACAATCTTGGAAAAAATCGACTCTCCTTTGCGAGGATTTTTGGTTGGTCAAAGCGAATGTAGTGATTGGGCCCTTCTGATGAGTGTTGGCATACCGCAGATTTGGAGAGACGTTTATGTTTTATATAAGAACACGTCGCGGATATAAAACATAAACGTCTCTCCAAATCTCGTATCCACACTCATCAGAACCCAATCACTACATTCCTTTGACCAACAAAATCCTCCAAAGAGAGTCATTTTTTCCAAGATTGGTACGCAACAATGAAATCAAAAAACACCAAATTTCAATAGGGAGAGGCCTCAAACTATCAAACACCTGGGATCCCATATTAAAAACTCTGGATCCCAATAAACCATACCAGCAAACGCGAAGACACCGTTAGTCAATTCTGTAAGGACCCGGCCAGTTTCGCCAAATACCAACTTCGACGGAACAGATGGCGCTAGCGTAGCAATTCTTTACTTTGACGTCTGAGACATCCTCCATCTTTAGTCTCCCCGTGACCACGGCTGCTGCAAAGCATCCGAAACGTCGGGCCGAAGTTAAAAATCATTTTCAAATAAGTTTAACTAATATATCGCGTTTTAAACCGTTAAAGTGTTTTATTTAAATTTGAGTCATCATTAAAATATGTTGTTTTTCATATTTTATGAGGTTCTTAGTCAATAAAATGGTGAAACTATTTTATGCTCATTTTATTTATTAAAGAAAATTGCCACAGGGCACAACCTACTATCATTCATCACAATTTATATATAAACCAAAGCAATAAGTGTTTAAAGAAATAGAAATCACACAATGCATAAAACAATTATCTTTAATAAATACAAATACATTTCATTACTGGTATATATACATACATATCTATCTGAATTGTATTTTTAATTAGATTGAAAATTATCACAAAAAATTTGAAAACTATCCTTATGTTCTTCTTTAAAAAATCTCTTCATTCCTTTTAATAAGTAAAGTAATTTTCTATTTCCCAATATTCCACTTAAGGTATTGACAAATGGCTCGTAGGCTCCCTCTTTTTTATAGTTTGATATGGATACTTGAAATAATTTGTACTGGTCAGAATCCAACAGCGATTTTATTTCTTTGACAAAATCTATTAAGGATGCAGGAGCGACTTTTTCAGGTCTAGACTCGGTAGTAACACTACCATTATTTCTGAGATTCTCTTCAAACCCAAATGCTTTAATTTTCAATCTCTTTTTCTTGATATTGGGCATATTAATATCATCTGCCTGTCTTTTATGAATCGCTACTGTTGATGTTGATTGTACAGATTCATTCGTTGTGTCTATTGCACTGAATAGATCTTTTGCCTCCTTTGGTTTGAACAATTTAGAACTTGAAGATTGCTGTGCATTTTTGTAAAAGTCCATATTAAAATCAGCATATACTTCATTTGAACTGGGATACTCAGCTACAGGCTTCTTATGTGTCTTGGCAACAAGTCTAGTACTAACTGATGGAAAAGATACCCCGGTAATATTTCTAGAATTATTATCATTTGAATAGTTTATTTCATTAGGCAACAAAGGTTTTAATTTTGGTGAGGGTAGGACTGTCTCTGCACTTTTAAAAAATCTACAAACCTCACTTACTGCCTCTCCGAATTTACTTGAGGCTGTAATATAATCCCTCAACCAAGCAGACAGCTGATTTTTTAATTTTGGGTTACTAAATCTACTATCACATAATAAAATTGCTCCGTAGTCATTCTTATGCCTAATTACTCGTCCTATAGCTTGATTCACAGCCCTTGAAGCTTCTAATGAGTACCAGTCATCTCCCGACAATAAATCTTTTTGTTTGACTCTGAGCTCTTCCAGATATTTCTTTTTTAATATAATTCTAGGATCTTTCAGAGGTGGAAATGGTAAACCTGTTATGACAACGGCTCTTCCATTCATATCAGCAAAGTCTAACCCTTCAGATACTTTTCCTTTACAAACAGCCATAAAACATGCTCCCTTAGTGTTTGGGTCACTAATTTTAGCATAATAATCATTTATTATAGAATTGAAAGTATCTTTACGTTGAGGCTCAACAAATATTGGTTTAATATTATTAATACTTGACCATATACCCTCAGCTTGCCACATTTCCTGACATTTATTCATTATTGGATATGAAGGAAAAAAGACTAATAGTCCATCTGGGACAACTCGAGAAAAACTAAGAATAGTTCTCCCCAACGACATAATGTATTTCGGATTATCTCTATTCTGATAATTAGAGTTTAAAACAATTGAATCAGGACCTTGGCTGATTACTTTTACACAAATCTGATCACATTTGACTATATGTGGATTTTCCAACTGGACACTGATTGGTATGGCTAGTTCAGATATCAATGGTTTCATAGGTGCTAAAGTACCACTTGTTAAAATTATACTTCTCACATTCTGATCAACTAATTGCTTCATGCCAAAACCAGGACTAAAACACCAATAGCTTAAAACTCTTTCAGCTGCTTTAGAAGTAGTGGACTTCAAAGCACCCCAGCTTGCCGTTTTGTTACTTTTTTTCTCTTCTACTTGAATGTGAACTTTGTAACACATTTTAACTCTCTCCTTGTAAGTGTGTGATGTACCACTGAAAACAATATTTAACAAATCTAATATCTTCTGCAATCCAGTGCCTTTCCTTTGAAATGGTGAAGCGCTTCCTGTAGATAAATATTGTATAAGGTTTTCTATTAATGATATTACAGACATTTGATTATGATCTCTGATTTCAGCTTTAGCCAAAAGCTCAAATATATATGCCCCTGGGTAAGTTGAACCTTCATTTTGAACTTCAATCTCATCAATAGCCTTTTCTAATGTAAGCATCATTTCTTTTAATATACACAAATCATCACATGTAAAGTCTTTTGGCTGATTTGTGTCAAGCGTTGAGTCAAGATTTTCTTCAGAAGATTCAACAAAAGATTTCATTACATGAGTTATTTCATCAATGCATAATGCAACATCAGTAGTCCTGATTTGTAATGAAGCTGAATCTTCACATATTTTTTCAACATTGTGAGCTTCATCTAATATTACTACATTATTTGTAAGTTCTACTCCATTTGCTTTTCTAGATTTTGGGTCCAGTAAATAGTTATAGGGCATAAAAATTACATCTGCATCTTGTTTTAACTCTTTGGATAAATAATATGGACAACATTTCAACTTCTTTCCAACGGTCACAAGATCTTCAATATCTAATATTTCATCACCCTTAACAGAACGATCATCTTTCTTAGCTTCAACATTATTATAGAAATAGCATGTTCTCGATTTAACCTTCAGTTGACACATGAAAACTTTATTCATATTATTTGTTTCTTTGGAAACCTCTGGGTGTATACACATTTGATCTCTTGACCCTAAAACGGTAGCCTTAACATGCTTATAACTGGATCTCTTTAATTCTTGCATAGCCTGAGTTAGCTGAGAGTGTGTTCTGGATGAATAAATTATTTTTGGCATTCCCCATGTCGTATTATCTTTGTTTTTACCTGCATTACTTCTAAGGTTATCGCGCAATTTAAGAACTTCACTATGCTCAGAAAAATTCCCCAGCTGCGCATTCATCTGTAGGTGTGCTTTTCTTACTAATAACCAAGCTATGGATGAGCATAATAAGCTTAACGTTTTTCCTGTACCCGTAGGTGATTCCAACAGTGCGTTTGAGTTATTTTGCAAACTCTCAATAACCTTCTCCATGTACGCCTTTTGTACTTCATAAGGCTCAAAGGGAAAATTGACTGGTATACCGGATATCATTACTTCGGGCATGTTGCTGTTGTTCGGGCACTACCTGGAAAGCAGGAAATACTTACGTTAATTAACAATCTCCCGGTTATAATCAAACCGGCAACTTATTAAAACGTTGCGACTTACAAACGCTACTTACGCTCAAAGTTAAGAGTCAAAACAGTAGGTAACAAGAAGCCACATTTCCGCAATAGTTCCAAGCCAAGCTACAATCCTAGAATAATATTTACCCCATAGTATTTACCCCTGCAACATGTAAACTTTTAACCCTTTACTCTTTTAGTAAATGGCGCTAAATCAGCTGTCAGCGAGACAGCTGTCCGACGCAATGGCAATGTGCTTCATTTCCTACATCTTTAGCCTACAATTTTCATTTGTTGTGATAAACCGGGCATTTGAGATTTGTAATGAATTAGTATTGATTAAAATTTGAAAATGAAAATATTTGTTAAACAAGTTTATACGGCGGCAGCCTGTAATCGGACCCCCGAAATTGTTGACTGGAATAAAGCTGGACTGATGTGTTTTGGAGCATGTAATGCTGTGGTCATTTATGATACGGTATAATTGTTAATTCGTATTTATTAGAAATGTTCAAAACAATTCTATTTATAAAGCTTCATTAATAATAATACTGATACCGTAAAGCAATCTTATGTATTTTCAGAAAATTAAGGGTAGAGATCCGCTTGCTATATTAGCTCACCATGGAGGAAGAGTAAATTCAGTTAAATGGCTTACAAAGCCAGATGGCACATGTAATGAGCTAATATCAGCATCTGCAGACAAGACTGCTGTGATCTGGACCTTAGTTGATGATGTATGGAAAGTCACAAGTGTATTAAAGGGCCATTCTGATGGAATAACATGTGTCTATGGCATGTACACTGGTGGAAATGATCTCTTTGTATTTACCTCATCTGTTGACTCAACTGTTAAGGTTTGGGAGCGATCAAATGGTAGGTAGCTTATAAGAATTAATCGTTTATTAAGGAATTATTATTACTTATGAATGTGGATAAATCTTAATTGTAACTTCTTTATGGTTTTCTGTAATAATTTAATAACTGTTGCAATATGGTTGACAATAATTACTAATATGTTAAGGGTTTCAAAGACACCTTTGTATTGTAATCTTATTATTATTATTTATTGGGAATGTAGTCTGACATTTGGGAGTAAAGTATTTCACCTATATTCTTATTTTCAATTGTTAATATAAGTTTTCATATTTTATTTTAATACAAACAGTTTAGACATGAATAAGTATTTTTTACAATGAAATAAATTAAGTCTCTCATTTAATACTTGTATATAACTGTTGTATAGTTGCTAGCCGCTCTAGATATCTTTTGTCAATTTTCAGACACAGTAACTCTAAAACAATCAATAAACTTGAATTCCGGTCTGTGTCTCACACTACATGCTCAGATGCTGCCAGTAGTTAACAAGCCAATTCTTTTCTTGGGTCTGGATGATAATAAGATTCATGTGTTTGCTTTAAATGGTGAATATCATAGAGTTGACGTATTGGTTGGACATGAAGATTGGGTTCGTGGATTGGACAGCATAATTGAAGGTAAGCAATCTGCAATAAACATATTTGCAATTATTACTTTTGCTGTTGCACTTGTGCCAGCCCAAAGAGTATACGTACGAATTTATCGTCCGCGAAGAAGGTTGGATAAAGAATTCTTTGGTCTCATTTTATTCGATTTTAGACATGTGTTTTTAATTAGATTTATGTTCTTATAAATTTATTACTTTTTTATACATCTCCAGACAACAATATAATGCTGGCGTCAGCATCTCAAGACACATATATTCGTATTTGGCGCATCGAAAGATATGTCAAAGAGTCGTCTCCAGTAACTGGCATCAAGGTGGAACAAAAAGTGTTTGACGCATACGATGTCATATGGAGTGTGAAGTTAGAAGCTGTGCTTGCCGGACATGAAGGCTGGGTATATGGAGTGCAATGGGATAGTTTTAGTGAGAAAGGCTAGTACCAGAAAGTTTCATATTTTAGAATTGTTTCAAAAACATGTAGACATTTCAATAAAACACTTTAACGTTTTAAAACGCGATATATTAGTTAAATATATTTGTTATACTTACTTTTATTTCAAATATTTATTTAAATGTGTACTACTCGCGTAAACTATAGACAGTATTTAATTGTAGACATACATTTACGAAACTTAATATATTTACAGATAATAAACAACCTATCCAACGTCTTCTATCGTCCTCTTTGGACAAAACCATCATAATATGGGAGCCAGAAGCCAATGGGGCTTGGGTTGAAAAGATACGAGTGGGGGAAGTGGGTGGAAATGGTCTCGGGTTCTACGGCAGCCGGTTTGGTCCAGGTGCCTTTATGGGCCACGGCTACAATGGTTCATTTCACATTTGGAAGTTGGATAAAGTAAGATATAAACATGTTTATGTTCTATACAGAAAAAAACATATTTAACACATAATCTAACTACACTACTGTGTTTGTGGAGCGGAAATAGTGAAGCTAATAAAATTAAAATTTGTGAGGTTTTAATATGTTTTACACAGACTCTGAAGACGTGTGAATCAAGTTTGGCATTGAGTGGGCATTTTAGTGGCGTAGAAGATGTACAGTGGGAGGGCCGCGGCCGATATCTACTCAGCGCAAGTATGGACCAGACGGCTAGGCTTCATGCTCCGTGGAAACTTGGCCATGGTAATTCTTAAGATATTTCGAACATTTTTAATTCTATGGCTTTAATCAAGTCTTAGATTAATTATTATTAATTTTATTGTTCACAATGGGTTGTTTTAATGTTTTTATTATACTCACCAGTGTCTGTATACATTAGTAGAATACATTTCAATAAAACACTAAATGGTTTAAAAAGTAAAATATAAGTTTAGGAAGCATCCAAAAACTTGTCATAGACTTGATAAATTTAATTTAATTAACTTCGCGTTTAAAATCGTTTAAAGTTTTATGACTTAAAAAAAAAGGAAGTCTTTTCCTCAAGCCTATTTTCAACTTACGATCCATAGTAATAAATATTGCTTTTTCATCAGGAATAGTAGAATGGCACGAAATAGCTCGTCCGCAAATACACGGCTATGACATGTGTTCCTTGGCGCCTATCCGCGCTGGAGTCTATGCTTCCGCTGCTGAAGAGAAAGTGATTCGGGTGTTCCAAGCGCCAAACAACTTTGTTACCAACTTCAAAAATATTACCAGCCAAGAGTTGGAGATGGATGATTTAGGTATTGTCTTATATATTTTATACGATATAGAGGTTTTGTAACTACAGTTATAGCTTAAAAAAACTTGTTGACAGGACCGGAAGGTGCTTCAGTCCCATCTTTAGGGCTGTCAAACAAAGCCGTGTTCAGTGGAGATGATATGACAGATGCTGATGTTGATAAAGATGGTTATTTCACAGCCATTGAACTGCACGGTGAGTTGAATGAATGATTTTTCCTCTGCTTTATTTTCTTTATTTACTCATAAAAGATTACAGAAACATCGCAATGATATATAATACGAAGTAATAATAAAGAAGTTCGGTTTCGTCGTAAGTAGTTTTACAGTGGAAATATTAAAGTAATAATGCAATAAGAAAAACAGTGTAATGTGCTATATTCGTAGACACATAACGTAGAATTCTTATGCTTTCGCTTTGATCCATTGAAATTTCAACCTTAACCCATACGTTAATAACGTTGAGATTCAATATCGTATGCCTGGCGATGTTTAAAAGAAATTAACATTATAATATAATAAGAAAGCATTTATTTTAGAGCCGCCCACAGAAGAGACGTTAATGCAGAATACTCTATGGCCCGAATCTCATAAACTTTATGGACACGGATATGAAGTGTTCTGCGTTTGCGCAAGTCCGGATGGCACTCTGCTTGCATCTTCGTGTAAGGCTAACACAGCACAGCATGCGGCAGTGCTTATTTGGTGAGTTACTTCATAACACAAAAGTATGTGAATCCAACAAGTAAGTAGTAGATTATATTTCTATAGTCTGCTTGATAGTAAACATTTGATGTTTCCAACATTATTTGTTGTTTGACACAAATAATGCTTTCTATCGGTTTTTTTTGTTTAAGTTACGTATAGCACTGTAACAGCGGGCCCTATGGATCATGGAACCAATTATAATATTATTCATTGTTAAAAAGGTAGAAATTTCTGTTACAGGGATACGAAAACATGGCAACAAATACATAAGCTAGTATCACATCAGCTAACAGTAACGCAATTGGCATTTTCACCTGACTCGCAGCACCTGCTGTCGGTGTCCAGAGATAGAAGGTGGACTTTATTTAAAAGGGATGAAAATTCTAACAAGTTTGAAGTCGCGGCCTGCACAGATAAAACGAATGGCGTGCATTCGAGAATTATTTGGTGCTGCGCATGGTTCAGTGAAGGGGTTGGATTCGGTACTGGGTCCAGAGATGGAAAGGTTTGTTCCATCTTTTCTTTACACATTTTCTGTTCCTTTACACAAAACCCAATTTTAATTAATTATCTTGTATTCTCTATTGCAGGTTTGTCTTTGGTCTAAAACCGACAGTACCAGTGACACTACACTTAAAAACTATGCTCTTCTTGGAAAACCCCTAGAACTAGAGATATCGGTGACTGCCATCGCTTTTGCACCTGAAAAAATCAAAATTGTCGCAGTTGGGCTGGAGACTGGGTGTATACAGATTTTTAAACATGAAGACAGTTGGACCACGCTACATCAATTGGACAATAGGTTTGGTCTTTTAATGAATATACATGTTTAACAATGTTAACGCTACAACACCAAAACAAACAAACAACTAATTAATTTTTTTTAATAGTACCTACTAATTGTCAATTCAGTGATTAATAGTGAATTGACAATTAGTCGGTTTTCATTGTAGTGAAAATTAAAAAAAAAAATTTACCTACAGTGTAGTTAAATTTTTTTTTCAAAACTTTGAAGGGTTTCGAAATTTTGAAGAGTTATGTATGGTTCTGGAATATAAAATATATGGTTCCAATCAATTATAGTTATTATAATGATCATTTTTTTACAACGGTTGAATCAAAAGAGAGAACAGCGCCGCAAGCGTCAGAATACAGAACTACAAAGTGGTTGCGTTCCATTACACTGATTGTAACAATTTTAATTATATATATTCACGTTCTTTCTAGTGCGGCTCACCATCTAACAGTGAAGCGTTTGACGTTCAAACCGAAGACGAAGGAAGACAATAAACACGAATTACTTCTCGCGAGCTGCGGCAGTGATCACTTCGTCAGAATTCATAGCATCAATTTAGACCCAACGCAAACATAGTATTCAGATATGCCACTGCTCATACACTTTTGTGTCAACGCCTGTTAACAGACAGATTACAGGAGCACGAGCATTTTCAATCAACTATGATAATACGTTATTCATAGTTGTGTTGTGACATTTACGCGCATAGAATAAGTTCGATCTCGAACCTTTCAAGCTAAACCGTCTTATCTTGATCTAGGTGCCTCCAATTTCTGAAGAAAAAAACCAAAGGAAAACCAGTAGTAAACTTAAATATTCTCCGGAAGATAACGTATGTTTACTAATAACGCAACATGTGGAGCGTGTTGCGTGATTAAATAGAGGATTCCCGGCTATTAAATTCATATTAACCACTCGCTCTTAGATCTATAATTTTTCCCTATTTCTTTGCTTCACTCGCTTTTTTCGCAACCTGACGGTTTTTAGCTGAAGACTGAAATGGTTTAACCAACAGAAAATGATTTTTTCAAATCGAATCAGTAGTTGCTGAGATTAGCGCGTTCAAACAGACAAAATCTTCAGCTACTAATATTAAAAAGATTATGGTAAGTATTACCTTTAAATGGTATGACCTAAAGTAAAATTCAATTTGTTGTCCATTTGTTAGAATATTTAGCTATAATGTATTCCTCGGTATTGTAATGTCTGTGTTGTAAATAAGTATCTTATGTGTCAAAGAAAATGTAAATAATTAAGTGTTATATAAATTCTGTACTGTCTATTAATGTTATAACTTAAAGCTTCTTAAGGTTTTGTCGTGAAATAAACGATAAATGATAAAAAATTTGATTTATTTTCCTTAGAACATCACTATATACATATAAAAATATAATACATTTCTGGAAGCACCATCCTGATTTTTTTTACTTAAGCCTTATCAATAAACAATATATATAATGTATGAAAGCGATACTGTTAAGAAAATAGATTAATAACTTTACCATTTTTTTAAAACTAGTTTAACATTATTGTCTTTTTAAGTTTGCATTCAGTTAATATACGAGTCCATTTACATTTTGACAAAATACGACGATATTTAATACTTAAATCATCACTTAACAAAAATCATATTAAATGATACGTAAGTATACATTATCGATAATTGTTCTCTAATTATACATTTAAATTTACAATAATGCTAACGTTGAGTGGTTGTGAGTGTTACTATAAATATTGTTTATGCAATTGAACAATGAGAAAAGATTTGCAAATTATACAATTTTTAAAGTACATAGTCAGTAAAGAGTAAATGTTTAATAATTTGAGTGGGTTTTGAACAAATACTTCCCAGTGAAAGAAACAAAAGTAAAAATTGTTGAGAAAAACATAGGAAGACAACACGTTTCTCCATCATCTCTATTCGTTTCACACTTCAGCAGCTGTACACTGCCTCCAAATTTGTTCCTCGATTTGCAATTCCTATACAACTAACCACGATTTTGCTTCGCTTCGTAATGAAGGTTGTCTTAATATAATATAAAAAATGTCCATCAAAATATCCAAATCTCGTTAATCAGTGCACAATTCAAATCTAATTCGCGACCATTATTTCTTTTTTATGTTTCTTCCCTTTGAACTTGTTAAAGATTTTCGAGAAAGTTCCAGACTTCTTTTTCTTTTCGCTCGTGACGGAAGAGAGCGACTTGGTGTCTGTTTGCAGGCGTGTATCGGTGAATGGTTCCGCGACGGAGATCGAGGGAAGGTCGGTTAGGGAGGCGCTCTCTCGCGGGACGCTCGGAAGTGCTAAGAAATGTGTTTGTTTGGTCGGAGTGAAGCAATTGCTCGCTTGGCTGGACATTTCGGCGATGTTGATAGCCGAATGCCTCGATGACGATGAGTGAGTTAGCCTGAAAATGTGTGCAAATATTTAATCAATATCAATACTTCAGTCTGTGGATTTCCGATATTATGTTGCTGGAATATTTCACCTCCCATCAATTGAACCGATAGAGGAGGACAGACAAGCATGGGTCTGTCCTCCTCTATAATTGAAAAAATAATCATGAATTAGACACCAAATAAATATTGTAATTAGTAAAGGATACATAAATACCTTGGTAAATCAAAGTTTTCGAGTGATTGTTCCAGTTTCCTCCAAAAGTCGAAGAGCATAGGGGTGTCCTCTGTATATCGAAGACTATGATAGTGGCGTATATTTGGAGGCAGCTCTGAGGGCCGGTACTGTACTGGAATAATTTTAAGTTCCCTTTTCTCTGCGAAAGTAAAAAAACAAAAGTGAAGCCGCTATTGTTGAATCATATTCATTAACCTTAGAAAACTATCCATTAATGTCCAGCTAATAAATAAAATTAATAAAACATTTCGCGTTTTAAACCGTTAAAAGGGTTTTATTCAAATGTCTCATTAAATATACTTACGTATTCCATCAGCTTGAGCGAGGTTCGTAAAAAAGGTATTAGCAGGACTGGCCACGAAGTCCGGGGAGCACACGGGGATAATATAACGACACCGTTCCGACATTAGCCGGGCCACTGCTGCAAAACGTGTCGTGTGTCCGGGCAAAAGATTCTCTTCTGAACACATCTGCAAAATATATATTGGACAATAGAAAAAAACTTGTTAAATTTCTAATGATCTTTGTTTCGGTCTGTAATGAGAGGGCTTCTGAATAAATATAAAAACAACCAATGTTTACCCGAAAGCCCTTATCTGTCATCCTCGTAATGAGATCTTGTGCAAATTTATGATCTTGCTTCGCATACAACACATATGCATGGTAACGCTGTGGTGAACCTAGTTGCTTGTCCTCAAATGTGATCAGATCCTCATCAGTTGGTCCATAAACTGGTGTTCCATTAACTTGAACCGTGTTCACAGATTTTACTACAAAAATAAAGGAAGAATGTTAAATTTAAACAAAACTTCTAACGGGACTAAATGCAGAATATTTGAAATATTAGTTAAATTTGTGTTTTAACTTGGATAGTAACAAAAATGAATATTTTTCTATTTCTTAAATAAAATGTTCTGTGACACAATTATATTCATATAGACCAGTGATTCCTAAAGTGGTCTATATGCACCCCTAGGGTCTATGACAACCTGCAAGGGGTAATAAGGGGTCCAAAAAAATTTGGAGGACTATGAAATGAAAATGGGACTCAACACATACACTAATAGTACCTATTTACTTACATCATACTATCTTATAATATCAAAACATATACATTATTTATAAAAGTACCTATGAAATTTAAAAATCAAAATGAGTTTTAAAAAATTTCGACTCGGGCAGGACTTAAAGCAAACAAGTTGCTCTACCAATTGAGCTAACGAGTCCTACACCTCATCGTCGAACGTAATTTCAACCTTAACAATTGCATTAAGGTTAAACGTCTTATGCTTTGCCCCTTAAGAAATCATTGAAGATGAAATTACAAAAAGTTATAACGTTTCAAAACTTTATTGCACATGAAGGCACTAATAATTTAAAATACGAAAATAAATTGAAAAAATTTTTTTTTGACTAGGGCAGGACTTGAACCGGCCTCGTCACCGTTCCGTGCTGTTGCTCTACCAATTGAGCTACCGAGTGCAATAAAATGTAAACAATAATAAAGTACCTATGAAGTAAAAAAAAATATTCTTAACCTTAAACTTCACTACAGTTAAAAATTTACAAGATATCAATATCAGGTTTACTTAACACGGAACAACATGGCAAGGGGTCTACAACACAAAAAAGTTTGGGGAACTCTGACATAAAACAAAACTAGCACACTTTTTTAGGATCTTATTACATCTTAGTTTTTCTTATCAGGTTTATATGAGCCTAAATTCTAGCATGAAAACTACTAAGGTCTTATTAAAACATTTTATAACAAAGAACTACTTATTTTTAGTGTATGCTATGTGGTTAAAATGGCATAGAGAGGATCAAATATAAAATAGAAATGAAGGAATTGGGACAACATGGTACATTTTCATAAAAATCAGCCAAGCTGTCTCAAAAGAGTGTAATAACAAACATTGTGTCAAATCAACCCTTCTTTTCCTTAAATATGAACTAGAAATAATCTTAAATAATGTGTATTTTATTCAAGCAGATTAATACAATTACTTTAAACAATAATTTATCATATTAGTATATTATCTTGAAACAATCTGTACACATAATGTAATATACCTCTGATTCTCAAAAGCAGATAAACACCATTTATTTATCTATTTTATTGTTTTGACTATATAGATAGTTGTTTATTTTTATTGATATGACTTTGTAATCAACATAATCCACAGTATAACTTATCACAACTATTGAAGAAAAATCTGAGCAGTAATTCAGAAAATGATTAGTGCAATCATTGATTGAGGACCATGTTCAGACTAATGGATGTTACTTTTATAGCAAAAGAAGGAATTTACAACCCATTGTCTCAAAAAGAGGGGTTCATATCCAGGAAGTGGGACATTAACAAGTAGAAACAATCTTCTACTCCTATAGTTTGAGATAATGAATACTTATTGCTTTTTACAATGGCTTGACTGATGATAAGGAATTGAGGACTACATCCTTAGAAAAACACATATAGATGCAATTAGTTGAAAAAATGTTAATAATTTACTTATTACTTAGAATGTTACATGTAAATTTTATGAGAATATATTTTATTGTAATATAACTACAAAATGTACTCACTCAACAGCTGATTATTTCGAGTCAATTCTAGCAGGTCGTCGTAAACATCATATCTATCAATCCACTGCAATATTTCAAAAAGCCTAGAGACAGTTGCTGTTCCATCATTCCTCTGTATCCATACATCAAGGACTCTTCTTGTTTTGTCATTGTATTCTTTGATACTAGCTGCAATCTCAGTGGATATGTTTGCAAGTGATGCTAGACCTCTCCAATCTCTAACATAATAAAGTTTTCTTATAGTAAATTTAAAAAGTACTTGTCTTGTTGAATAATGTTTATTAATATTATTTAATTACATAAGAGGATGAAGACATGTAAAAACAAAGACAATTTCAAGAAAGCATTTCTTTTAAGGCGATATAGCGTTACCTGTGTCTCTTTATTTGGTCAGGGCAGAGGCAAGGGAGAACTTTTTTTAGTATTTAACAAAGATGAAAGTAAATTTCGAGATTCATTAGTTAGCAATGACAACGACGAGTCCGCTATTTCATTGTCCACAGTCATGTTTTTTATTAATATTTAATTTCAGTAATATCTCGCAGTTTCACAATTCACATTCATTTCGTACGGTACACTTTCGGAAATGATATTTATCAACACCCACGGAGTATTTTGTATTACAACAAATTATAAATCTTATTTGAAACGCGAAAGCAATTTGCTACTTGATGCTAGTGACTTTCATTGTCAAGTTATTGACAGTTGACACTTGACAATTGATAGGTTTCATTGAGTCTAATGATTACGTACAAAATACATAATATATTAAAATACGTTTATCTACTTTTCCCATACAATAGCTGTTAATGTATTTTTGGGAAACGAAAGACCTTTTTTACGCACTTTCTTTATATAAAAAAAATAAAAATGTGATAAGTATAAGAAGGACTTGTGCCTAAGCGATTCCGTATATACGGTACGTACATAATATAGTCCTTTTTCAGTTATTTCCTGCATCTATCGGTTACCTTTTTGTAACATCAAACTTTTTCGAGAAAAACATCTAGAAAGTTACTAAGCCGTAGTATATCGATAGAGTGTAACTTGTAAATAAAAATATGGGGTTTAAGAAAAAATAACATCGTCTCCAATATTTTATTTTTAAATTAGTGGCAGTGAATTCTTGGGTACGTCACTTAATTTAATAAAAAAAACCGGTCCTGCCTCAGTCTATGAGTATCGAGCGATTACTAAACTAGATGATGTTAAAATGAGCCGATGTCTTATTCGACTAAATTAAAATATAGTACCTACTCACCTAAATGGAGTATCTAGGTATTGTACTCGTTGTAAGTAGTAGGTTCTTTTTTGAGAGCGCTAAACCATAACATCTTACAAGACTTCAAAGACTTCGGCATAAAATTATTACACATTTGGCACTTTACAAGAATTTAACATTTTCTTAATACCCCAAGCGTTACAAATTACAATACACTTATTTGTATATCGCCGCTTCGCACATTCATCGAAAACATTTCACAGTAGAATTAAATATATTTAAGTGCGGTTTTTACATATATTTTATTCGATAGAGTTCTTATATTGGAAAAATAATATGGGGACATTTCGATTTAGTATCGACAGGATATTACAGGTACATAGAAACATATAGATCGTGATCAGAGACTATGAACGGTGTTGGGGGATTCCAACTTGGGCTTTTAATACAAATAGCTAATTAATATGTGGATATTGTACGCCCAAATTACGTTCACTTCAGCTTTGGAGTGATAAAAAATGTAACGGCACATACGCTATAACATGTTCGTCTTACATTTCAAAAACATATTTACATAATGTGTATTAATATTATATACACAACGTATCATTACAAAATTTTGTTTTAATTCAAGGTACCGTACCTTGAAGAAGGGAGATGTAATTTAATCAATTAACATATCAAGAGCTGCTTAGTCATGTTATAGCTTGAGAACAAAAGTAACAGGTACGTAATTGCATATTTTAAAATATTACAGGTACATTAATCTTATTAATATTATGTTTTAAACATTTATAATAGCATGTGTGCGTGAAACTTAAATGATAATGTCGGACATATTGTAATTTATAGACTGTACAAACGAATGCAGGCGATTTATACTTATTTATACAAATGAGGGGTTTTAAATTGTACAATTTTGATTCTATTGAATTTAAAAGTCTGAACTGTATAATTATGGAAAAATAATAGACTAGTTGATGTTGATATTGGTTGTAATACGGTAGCTTTATACGAATTCTTGGTGTTAATGTGAACTGCAAAGATTTTTGGAGATGGATTTTTCTTCCTAGTCCCTATTAATCACAACATCAAATAGCCTATTAATTTATAGGTAATCGTCAATCTGTATTAAAAAGTGATAACGTAGAGCAAAGTTTATATATGTATTAACAAAATATATTATATAACAAAGGTAACAATATCAAATACCGAGGAGTACTTGAAATATTTGGCACATTTATCTACTACTGTCTTGTTTCAATCTACGTTATTACACACTCAATTAATTAGCTTGTAAATAGTCTTTGTTAATACAAGGAACCATCAACTTTTTGAGAGCTTGAGATGGTCGAACTAATACGGTCATATTTTTATGTATTCAGAGATATTATACAGAAAATAAAAGATATGTTTGTATGTTTACAATCCAACATTGATATCAAGTATACAACATTGACAAAAATATTTCATATCGAACTCATTCAAAGCTTTAGACTACTTTAAGCCTTTTATGGAAGTAAACCTTGTATTAAGATTACTATTATTGCTCTCACACTTGTAAACAAGAATTACATAATTATGTTGGCCTTTGACACGTTGTTTCTTAAAAAAGAAAATGGAAGAGTCGCAGTTTTGCGATAGACCCACCCCTTAACTCTGTAGAAATATGACACTTTATGCTCTGTGTGAATAATTTTTCAATTTTTTTCGACATACAAAAAATACTATAAGTATAATATTAAAGCAATTCAAAAACTTCAAAAGATTTTATAAATAGACACAATATTTTTAAAGACAATCAATGCTTATCTATCTGGTAACAAAAATTAATTGTTTCAATGAGATTCTTGGAGTTATAATACGATATATAACAATAATGTTACCGTTACGATAAAAATATTGTATGAAGTTTACATTTATATATTTTTTTAGATCTCACACGAACATAAACAAGGATGTTATTTACAAAAGAGAATGTGTTCACTTTCCGTAGTTCTCAAATGTTAGTTACGGCTTAAGTGACAAATATATATTGGCATTATGTCTAACTAACACATGTTAAAAGAACTGATGCAAATATAACAACATATAATCAATCATTATTAAGGGTAGAATATACAATTCAAAGCAAACACAATTTCAAGTTACAGAAAGTGGAAATTTAGTAATCCTTACTTTGGTTTAAATACGTTGCACCACATGTTATCATAAAGAAGTTAAAATTCACCTAAATATAGGCATCATGTGGAATTTATAAGAAACAATGAAATTCAATTGTCGATAACCTTAAAAATAATATATATATTTATTACTATGGTATAAAAAGATATACAACAAATTTGTGAATATTATTTAAATTATACAGTTAAATCGGCATGTATATAATTATTAGAACAGTATATTTTTTAAAGGTATTAGTAAGCCTGTTTCAATAATAGTGTAGCTTTCAAATGTATGTCTTAAGTTAAAGCAGTCCCAAGGTAATAAGGTCATTTTGAGTAAAGTAAATAACATTCACAAACTCCTCGGAGACAATAAGTAATACTCTTCGATTAAGAATCTAACGATGACGTTACACTTACAGTACGTATGAGCCTCCATCCAAATTATGTCGTGTGCTGGTGACCTGTACTTACTTAAACAATTACTATACAATTTCGACCGCCCAGGCCGCGGCGCGACTGTAAAACTTATCATATCATACAACAGTGGTTTTGTGACTGTACTATACAAAAATTAAAAACGTTACAATAATACTACAATATAGAGCTAGGTACAAGATCCGACTTACTGCTAAGAGTGTCGACTGACGAATGTCAAGTACCGACTCCCCACGATGATAAAATGCGGTTTATCGTTATTTATTACAACCTCTTTTATAACATTGTAATTTATTGATTAGTAGGTACATACATCATTTATCTATCGTATTCTCTAAACTCACTCAATGAAATCGCGTCCTTCACCTTCGACAGACGTCGCAAGGTGACCGTCGTAGTCCTATTTAGACGCACAACTCTAATCATTCGCCGAACTCGCGACAGACGTGCACACGTACGAGAACAAATATATTATTATATTATGAGCAACATTATTTGCCTTAGTCTGTAATAATTTTATATTCTATACCGATTTACCGAATACCAATGTCGTGTATATATAATAGCTAAACTTCTATGTTTATTGTTTATTCTTCATGTAGGTTTATCGTAATGCTGTGTACTTAATGAGATCGGGAAGTATAATAAACGAAATATGTAGAAACTCTATGGTAAATTGCTTAGGCCAAATTTAAAATAAAATCTCTGTTCGGAGTTCAAAATATTGAAACTTGGAAAATAAGGAAATCGATAAATAGAACTCGTTCCACATGCTTACAGTAGTCACGAATATGTGATTCTAAACCGTGTATAATGTATAATATCTATGTATGTATATATTGAAAACAATGTCGATGATATACATTTGTGCTGATACCATGTCCGATGTCGACGCGTAATGTGTACATGAACTACAATTAACAGCCGAATATATTCGATGGCACGATCTACACCATCGCACGTCAGCTGGTAACCTTATTTCACCTTAGAAATTGATAGGAAGTCAGTTTTACTTATTTTAATTTCACTATTAATCTATACCCCGACATCGCAACGCGCCACGCGGGACCGCCCCGCGACGGCGCGCGATGGTCGCGGCAAAATTCAATAAATGTCTCTCTAAGTGCGACCTATTACTCTGAACTACGTTCGGAGTCAAAATATCGCTAATAATAACACACCAGATGCCCGATTCAGTGCTGCGAACGCTGTCATTATGTATTTGTGTATACGTTCCCATCCAAAATGCTTCAGTATGACTGACGTCATAGTCTTGTCGCAGCATGACCGTCGTCAAAGTGCTCACGTGTCTCTCAGTACATTGTCAAGATGGCGTGCGGCGGATCAGCGCGCAGCGACGCGGCACAGCGCTATGCGCAGCGCAGTGGCGGCGGCGGGCACGGCGGCGCCGCACAGGCCCGATCAGAGCCTGTCCTCCTCCTCTTCTTCCTCGCCTTCGTCTCCTGCCTCCTCGTTCTCCTCCCTATACCCTGGATGTTCACTAATCGCGTAGTAATTTCCATTATAAATAACACCTAGTTCCCGCAACGCGTCTCCTCGAATCGTCGCTTTAATAGTCCAATTGTAACAGTCGTCCGATTCCGACTCTCGGTCTAATCTCTCTACGTCCAAAATTTTCGAACTCAACCTTTCTAGAATGATTCCTATGTCCTTGATAGTGAGGTGACGCTTCTGATCGACGCTCAGCTGGTCGATCAAGAGAAGAAACTTCTCTGACGTCACAGCCTCATCTTCGACTAACGTGTTTTCCGTTTCACTTTCGGACGAGTCCCGTTCCCCACGTCTTGCGGATTCGGCGTCTAAGAAGCGGACGTGGCCTTTAGGGCGTCCTTGCGGGGACGCACGCGGCTGGGAGTCCTGTATCGGAGAGGTGGCTACGCTCTTGTGCACGGCTATACGGCGCCCCTCCTCGTGAAGAGCACAGCAATGGAAGTCGCACTCGTCCGTGGGTGGACGGTGCGTGTGGTGAGGAGCCGGCGGTGCGGCTCGGCATTCCGCCGTGTGCACGTGGTGGTCTAGGGACGAGGAAGGGCGCGCGAGGCGCGGACGCGAGGGAGCAGCGGGCCCTGGTTCGTCGTGGTTAACGACTGTGATGTGAGGCGGCGGGGGCTGCGGACGCTCCAGCGAGGTCTGGATGACGAGCGAGGGGCGCCGATCGGGCTTGGGCTGGCGGGAGGGCGAGCGTGCGGCGGGGGAGGCTTGCGGTCGCTGATCCCAGTGCAGCACGACGGTAACGCGCCCCTTGTTGTCCATGATCTTCCATGAAGGAGTCTCATCGTGCAATTCGAGCGCGTGGATGGTTTCGCATACGATTTTCGGTATTGCTGATATCGCTGAAAGTTCATATTAAAAATGCATTAGTGTTACCGCATTCTTTGCTTCATCGTAACACGCACGTATTTAGTATATATATTATTACGGGCTATGCTGATTAAGATTTTCTTATGATATTTTATGGATTCAAGCATCAAGGGCCCCGAACTATAATTACTTACTTGCCTAAACATAAAAATTTATCAGTGATACAGACATACTTTTGAGTCTATTCCTGTTGAATCTAAAACTGGGTAGGAATTTTGTATAATTTTCCTTAATATTTTTTTAGGTTATGGTGTTTTGAATGTTATCATCTTTGCCCTGCGATTTTAAACGCCTCCAATGCATACATAAAATTGAAAAAAGAAATTTTTTGACAAGTTTTATGTTGTTTGAAAGAAGTATATCTTTAGTATTATCGCAAAATATTGAACGACTTCCGCGTGACCACTACGATCAAACTCAAGTAACTACTACAGTAATAACGTACGAAGTAACGTTAGTTTTTATATAAATACATTTATTTTATGCTACATTATTCGACGTGACAGGCAGGTTGAAGCATAAGTGTTTAATTCTCAAAAAAGGATATAAGATTTACACCGAGATAGTCCGCAAACTATGTCCGAGATATATTAAACTACTGGAAAAAGTCGACGAGAATCTTATATCACTTTTAAGAATTGCCACGCCATCTTCGAGCATCTGTACAACATACGTACCAGCTTTGATAACGTCTACTCCCGTAGGATACCATCTTTCGCCTTGCCTCAGCAGAAGCAGTACAGTATTGGGGGGCAGCGTCCGCCAGTACTCTCCGTCCTCTACTTGCGTTCCGTCACTCTCTAACACCAAACGCACCGGCTCATTTGCGGCTACAGATAACTTTTCTTTTCCTTTAAAATAATAAAACATTATTTAATACATCTTTTTCTTAATTCTTATTCGTTAAACACAGAGTCAGTCCGTACAGTCTGTCTACCCGTGACCACGGCTGCTGCAAAGCAGCTTCGGGCCGTAGTTAAAATAATTCTCAAATAAGTTATATATATATATATATATATATATCGCGTTTTAAACCATTAAAATGTTTTATTAAAAATTTTATTCGTTTCTATAATATATTGTTGTTCGTTAATTTAAGGCACTTTATAAGTGGGGAGAAACCAGAGAATAAAGTGCGGTACTACGGACCAAAACTTAAAAAGTATGAAATATTAAAACCTTCTTAAAAGGAGGTATAAACGTCAATCTGTGTAGCACTATGGAGATGAACTGACCATCCCTCAGCCTCTCCGGGCTAGGGTACACCAGAAAACGGGTCAAGCGTCCAACCGTGAGCCGTGACAAATCCCATTGACCCTCGTTAACTGTTTACTTGAGGCGCGTAAACTTTATAAGCGCCTAATTTTACTAATTAAATGAGCTATACGTTATTAGCAAATACAAATAAACATAATAACAAAGAAAGTTTACTACATTGTTATTTTTTAAATTGATTTTAAATTAGATTTAAATACTGTCTATAGTATACGCGAGTAGTACACATTTAAATAAAACACTTTAACGGTTTAAAACGCGATATATTAGTTAAACTGCTTTTATTACGCGGTGAGTCTCCCCGTGATCACGGCTGCTGCAAAGCATCCGAAACGTCGGGCCGAAGTTAAAAATCATTTTCAAATAAGTTTAACTAATATATCGCGTGTTAAACCGTTAAAGTGTTTTATTGAAATGCAGTAATATTATATTAATTTGTTTTACTTGAAATACCAAAAACATCCACTCTTATCAAATAATACATCTTTACCTAATTAGTCTATTTGACTTGACTGCAACCATATTAAATATTAATAAAGTCAGTTAAGTTTATAATATAATGTAATGTAATATAAATTTACTTCAATTCGTATTTTTTGCCAACTTTGTTAAATAAATTACTCATTCTTCAGAATACCAACCTCTATGTATTAACTCCTCAAAACTGGTGACAACCAGTCCCTTTCTCACGTTTCGAGAGCTGTCCCATATCTTAAAAGGCCTCTTTCCTCTAACCTCCTGCAATATTTAACATTTATTACTTTTTCAAGTGAAACAAATACCATAAACAAAACTTAGATACTAAAATGGAGTGCAATGGACGACCTTATCGCATACAAGCGATCTCTTTCAAGCAGTAATACCACTAACATTTTTATACTCTCATTGAGCTTCAGCTTTCATTATCTTTACATTGCAAAGCGTTCACAAATCTAAATTTGTTTAACATTACTATATATTCTATAGGCATGTAGTAACTAGGATTGCATAGCAGTTTAAACCAAAAAGGTTTTATTTTCATTTATGAGAAGACGTTGATTACGTTTCGATATTAATAAGAGCTTTAAATAGATCTAATATAATTTGCCTAGGACATATCTTGTTACTTTCGAGTGGTGCTTAGGTTGCTATGTTTAACGAATAAATGTTGAATACGGGTATAAAAAATGTCCGTGAAATGGGAACTAGAAGCTACAACAAAGCATAAACTGAAAATCATGCTAGTGCTACGCGCTACGCCGTAGCCGCTGTAGGAGAGCCGGTGTCCATATTATTATCCTGCACCGAGTGCTAGACTGCACTGGGTGCAATGCCCGAGCGACCTGCGCCCCCGCCCCGCGCATCCTCTCCCAACCCCGCACATGCCTCACTGACACGCCCCTGCACGCACTATGCGTTGACCTACTGACTTCTAGCCGATCTTTAATATAAACTGTCCCAATGTTGGAACTAATTTTCTGATGCAAAAGTCGTCTGTGTAGCTAAGAAATATTGTACAGTACAGCCTCATTTTTCAATCAAATTTTTCGTAGTGTAACGAAATCATGTTAAGGTGCCTACTCACAGCTTATGCACTGAAAGTTCAATCTTGTAACAGCAAAATAAAATAAAACTGCAAACTGGCATGGTCGTGTGTGAATAAGAGAGGGATTTTTCGAGTCATTCCAAATCGTACGTTTACAGGGACGGTGTAAACTAAGCGAATAATTTGAAACTTTGGAATGATGCGGATAGAGATGATGATGCGGCTAAGGTGATCTGAAGAAAGTTGATCACTAGTATTACCTCTTGTATTTCGACAATCATATTGATGGCACTCACACTTCACTCAAGGTCCACTAAAATGTCTATCCTTTAAAATGAAACCGTATAAAAATACCAACTTATCGTTTGAGGGATAAAAAGCATTCGCAGTGTGTAACATTACGATTGACGACAGTTAAAATTAAATTACGATCACAAAATTGTAAACATATATTTATCGTCCATTAAATGGAGAAGCACAACGTTCAATAAGTATTCCTATATTTTATAAAAACACGTAAATAATATCTATAAAACTCTATACTTGATCACTGTAAAGGAGTGTTAATTTGCACGCCACACATGTGTGATAATCTAAGCTTCCGTAATCCAATTACCTGCTCAAATGCTATAAGTGCGTTAGTACGTAATGTGTGTTATAATTATAGTTTTTCGAGGTTAAGTACATTTGGACGGCGCGGTGCGCCGGCCAGCGCCGCGGCGGCTCTAATGCCTCACGAATCGTAACTCCTGACAGTTCTGCCAACCCTGACACAAAACTGCGCTGCGAGCTATTTTAAAGTAGCGCTAAAAGAGCTACGTCAAATTTGGCGCCCAATAAGTTAGGTTTTATATGGACGACATACATTTAAAACGTCAGCACTTATACTGTTTTGAATTCTCATTGCATTTAGAGTACATCAATATTTTTAAATTTAACATGGTTTTAGGTAGTTTGTTATGATTTCTATTGATAAAATATATTATACTATCCCTTAAAGTCTTCACTCTAGAACTTGTACAGGAGTGTTTAAGAGAAAAGCGCTAAATTCGCCGTCGAGAGCGTTAAGCTGGCAGGACGGACTCGTGACCGGGTCGCGGCCTCCTTCCCCCGCGGTAAAGGGGAGGAGGTGAGGGGTTACCTTCTCCCGCGTCCCCCCCGCTGAGGCCTTAGTCCCGCACTGCAGCGCCGGTCTGATGCCGTAACATCTTCGAAGTTAACAACATCAATGATGCACTTTTCGGTTCTATGTGTTAGTTTTAAATTAGTGTAAAATTAAAAAGTAGAACATACATTTTGTAAGAGGTGAAATGTATGCTCAAGAAATGTTTATGTAATTATTTGTGCTGTTAAATTGCCTCTTAATGCAAATTTATATAATAAATTATTCCTATTTATTTTCGTAGACATTTCGTAGCTGCTCTATGTAGATCTCGTAGCACTCAACGTTAAATTCACTTCTATCAAACGTCATAGCATTATTATTGTACAGCTGTCTTCACTAGTAGTAGCCTCTGTTAGAAATATTCTCCTATAATAATTAATATGTTAATTTTTATATATAGAGGCACATATAACCTATTAATTTAAAGAATAGAATCGCCAATGTTATGTAATCCCTTTCTGATTATATTTTTACCGTACTAAAAATGTCAAAATTTTAATATACAATGCAACCGGACATATCTAAAAAACGTACTTACGTACGTTACAAGGTACGTATTCCTTAGAAAATAAAATTATATAATTATAAACCGATTAGTCTGCACGCTTAAACTAAGCAAATATAATATTTGTTTTCATATTGACCACTAGATACAGATACTATTCTTATTATTATATGTATCTTGTCTTTGAACTTTCAGAATTTCAATGACTTATGGGAATAAATAAGTCATTGAAATTCTTCCGGACGAAATTTAGATATTTTACTCCATTTATTGTGCAATGTAATAATGTAAGGTCTTAACAAAAATTATAAATAGGTTTCGAAAATACGTTGGACTAATGGGAAGTGAGTGACCTATTATTTATTCGCTATAAATTACTTCCATTGTACAAACGAGTCCGTCTAAGAAGTAACATATTATTTTTATATCTGATTTATAATATTATAAACTTCTTTGAGAGAAGGAAGAGGGTTTATGATTCAATAATATTATTCAGATTGCAAAGTGAAAAGTGATCCCGATTCTCGTCGAGAAAGTGCTAAATGGATCGCTAAATAATTCTACGTGCACCCGAAAGAAGATTCTTTCTTAATCTTAGAACAATCTATTACCTACAATGGTGGAAAAATACGATTGTTTGACACCACAGAATAATAGTTTTTGACGGAGATTCAAAAAAAAAACTGCAACCGCCACTTTCGTACATAGTAGCCACATATCAATTGATAGAAGATGTTATTTTTAATTTGTCACAGTTAAATGTTTTAGTGTAGTTATAGTTCTTAAGAAGTAAGTTTTTTCTTGTTTAAACATATATTTATTAAATTATTTATATTATTTTAAATACGGCCTGATGTTTCGATTCGACTAATCGCGTTTTGAGCTAAAGTGTTTAATTAAATATTACTACTGGTAAATAAGACATTCATTATTTAATTATAGTTATAAAATAAAATAAAATTAATTATTTAGTTCTGAAATATTGGTAAATATTAAAGAAGAATGGCAAGAAATTCGCCATTCGAATTTTAATTAAATATTTCTAAAATATTAAAGTTCTCCACCATGAACGGGAGAAGGTGAATGTAAAAACTAGACGTGTTTTATTGAAGAGGAGGCTCCAAATACCAAGATATTAACTACGCTGATGTGATGAGGCTGTGGGACTGTAGCTGCCGTTGAAGTATTTTTTCATTTACTGGTGTTAATAAAAAATATATTTACTAATTAAACTTAACTACATAATTTCATTATCAAAGACAAAATATTTTACAAAGCAAGGATTCTGTTAATATACATAAACATTTAATAATATAATTTTCGCGCTTTGAAGTATATTCAGTTGAACAGAAGTTTTTTAGTAGCTAATTATTAATATTTTCTATATCATGATCTTTAGTCTCGACTACTATGCGCAAGATTCGCAATTAAAGTGAGTATATGTCGTCTGTTTACTAATTTCAAATATTTCTGAAACTAATAGTTATAAGTTTGGATCTGAAACCATCTGTATTTTATCAACCGTATGTTGTTATTTGGAGTTGGAATCCTGACTGTATCAGTTTTTTAATAAAACACTTTTAACGGTTTAAAACGCGAAGTATATTAGTTGACATTTTAAAATTTAACTGAACTACGGTCCCACGGTTGTGGATACTTGCTCTGCAGCTGCCGTGACCATAGGGGGACACCTCATTAAAAGAAATTAAATAAGTTCACTAATATGTTTCGCATTTTAAGTATAAAAGTGTTTATCGAAGTTTGTTCTACTCGCGGAAATTACTGATACTGTATTGATTATTCTTTTTTTTTCATAAAACCATGGTACTTACAGAGCCTAAACTGTCGCAACCTGTATTATGTTTGGTAATTTAAGTACTAAACTACTTACACTGAATGTCTTAAGCTAGCTTTTAAGACCAGTATTTTTAGTTAGTTATGATTAAAGATACATTTACTAAGGAGATTGCTTTACTATAGCGACCTGAGTTTAGCAATGTTTACTATATACCTTACACTTTAATTTCAGGGTATGCCGCTAATCTAATATAGCATATTTTTATTTATGTATAAGCTTAACCAAAGCTACTTTTAAAATTTAGTAAAATGTAACCTTGGGTATTTAGTGATATAATATCTCTTGTAGGAGTAACATGGCAGGGTTTTTTTTAACCCCGCGTTGAAAGGGTAGAACTGTATATTTTCCATAAAAGAGCATACAGAATTCTCACTTGACAATAATGTCGACTTATAAGTCTATTATAGAAACTAAATTGTGTCAGTTATAACCTCACTTCTTTTTCTGTCACATTGATTACCCTATACATAGAGGTCTACCAAGATCTATATCAAAACAATTATGTGGACTCGGTACTAGTCCTATAATTAAAAGAAATATTATGTAACGGGTGCGAGAATGTATTTTCGTCATGTTAAGAGAAAAGTATCGCTCACAATAATGTGTGCTACGCCAATCGCTACGGGCTACGATTGCTACGAACCACGGCTTTTATTTTTACGCATGTGCCGTAATGCAATTGATGTCAATTTTGACTTTTAATAATAATATTTCGCATTCTATCGTTAATCCTGACTATATTTAGAAGATGTAAAACGTTTAATTGAACTTATAGCGTGTTATACATTATCTTGTAAACCTATGTATGACTTAAATAAAATTATTCATTTTGATCACTTTTTGTCGCAAATACTACTGTCTATTTAGATAGACAGACAATATCATATTTTTAGAAGTAAAAGCCTCTATTCCTCTGCGGTCTGCGTGTGTATGTATGCGTCGGAAAAAAAGAGACCAGAGCATAGACAGGCTTCCCCAGAAAGACAAACGGACCGCGGCACCGAGCTATAGGAGGCATCACTGCACTGGCACTACACAGGGGGAGAAGAGAAACGCGGGCAGGCACGCAGGGGTGCAATTTTATTTACGGGCAGGTACGCGTTCTGCACCCTGATATTAACCATATCCGGGCGTGTCAGTGGTTACGTAAGCGGCGACGCCGGTCACGCGAACGTTACCTCTCTGGCCATCGCGGCATGACCGCGGGGCCGCGGGCGCGCGCTCACGCCGCCATCTTCGAGGGGCACAGCCCGGGATTCGCGTCACGACTCGCGAAGCACTTGGGCGCTGCGCCGCGTGGGCGGCGATCGATGTGCGTCCAACGCCTGCGTCGCCGAGGACTCCCGAGCGAATCCGATCGCAACCGAACCTCACTGCATCCGCCCTGACCTACTTCGAGCGCACACTGACCTCCTTCTACCAATGGAGTTCGGATGCGACGAGAACTACTCCCTTGTAAGCTCCTTCAGGCAACTAACGTCTCAATCCCCTTAGGTTTAGGGCCATAATTGAAAGAAAAGGTAATCCCACTGGCCTGTCTGTTAGAGACATTACGACTACATCTATTGCACTGTACGGTAGTAAGATAAGTTGGCATATCTACTAAAGGCAAACAATGAATAACGAACTGTAAAATTAACTAGATTTTGCAATTTGTGTAAATCCTTTTATACACTCTTTTTTAATAAATGTCCATACATCTTTGACTAAGTAAAACTGAAAATTTATTTATATGATTGGGAGGTTTAAGATTATGATAATAAGGTTAAAATAAAACGTAGGTTTTTCTAGAGTCTAAAGTCGCCGGTAATTTAATTTAAATACCGTAAAACGTGCACAGATAGACGTTGATCTCAATATTATGCGTATGATTACGGATTTCAGGGCAAATTTAAGTCTTCCAGATTTTTGATAGAATATTAGAGGGGGGAGCTTAATTAATAAGCAATCTGTTGCTATAAGCAATTTTACATTTGGTCCTAGGTTAAAAGATTCAACGTTATAAAACATTATAGTGTTATCGGTGTAAAAATATTATGGCTGCAGGGGAATACTACATTATCTGTAATATGAACATAATCTTTAAACTATAAAGAATACAATTAAAACAATTTAATGGAATATGCTTCCATGTACTATTTAAGTAGAATTGACCTAAAGGTTGTACGTACCAGGTGAGAAAATCTCAAAAAAGTCTTTTAATTTTTTTTTTCTTTTACTGGATGGTCCTGAAATAAGCCTACCTGTCTATACAGTCTGTTTTAAACACAGATGTTTTATTTTTTAAGCTAGTCTGCAACTATGTTAATTGTCAAATGGTTGTTTTGAATTTTGATTTGTAATTCTGTACCACATCTGTGGAAGTGATGAGTGGTGATTACTTTCAATGTAAATAGGAACTAAGGAAAATCGAATTTTAGGTATTTTTTGTAAATAACGTATAAATGTAAAAAGTAGGGCTATGATGTTATTTTGTAATATTTCGGTTATGCAGTCATAACCCCGATGTAAACGAAAGTACGGTACTTATGTTTTAAACGAATGGCCTGCTCTCAGAAAAGTAAGTAAATACTTTGATTCCTTACGATAGTGATATGTTTTAACTCCTGTTACTTTGTTTAATATTTTATTAAAATATAAAGAATAGGATCTTTGAAGTGTCATATTCCTAGATTTGTGCAGGGATAAGTACCTAAATAGCTAGACTAAGTGACTATTAGATATAAATAATATTCTTTCTACTAAACATACTAGTCTAGAGTAAACAAACTTCTTTATTTGTGTGCTCTAGACTAGACCATACAAATAAAGAAGTTTGTTTTATCCTCTTCAGGCCAAAGCAATGATGCTGGTGAGGTTGAACATGAGAATTGCTCTGGCAGCACTCTCTTGTGGGGCTCTATTCATTATGCTATACTGGAGTCGTTGCACAGATATCGCTCACAGACCAAGTAACATTTTTTTTTATTACATATTACGCTAAGAAGTGTTTTATTACTTTATAAATAGGCTATAATCTCTTTATATAATATATACATATATATACACATATATACACATATATATATAGTTTAAAGAAAAAGTTCTAATGGAACATATATTTTCAGTAGGATTGATGCTAAGTAATGAATTACCAGAAAAAAGAAGTGATGACATTGAATGCCTGATCAATGGTGAATACTCTATCATGTGCCGACGAGATCATGACGAAGTGTATATGCCCTTTTCATTCATACACAAGTATTTTGAGGTATATATAGTAAGATCCAATAACTAAACTAATGAAAGTCAAATACAATTTCCCTTGGAGGTGGCATACATAAAAAACAATCTGGCTTTGGGCTCTGCAAATTTATTCAATAACAGCAATTATTTAGGTTCCCTCTGGCTATTCAATGCAAGTGACTAGTCTTGTATTATATCTATCATGTAATTTAAGTGGTGAAATGGTTTGCAAATTGGGCCTTAAAAGTGAGTCCTCAATGTTTGCCAGTATCCTCAAAATGAAATAATATAATATCATGTAATTTTGTCCATCAGGTTTACGGCAAAATATCGTCATCAGACAGCACAGACAAGTTTGAGTGGTCACACAGCTACAGCAAAGTATACCATCCCAAAAAGAAATATGATCCTCATGGTACATTTACTACATTTGAAAATTACAATGTCGAAGTCAGGGATCGAGTGAAATGCATCAGTGGAATAGAAGGGGTTCCAGTCTCTACTCAGTGGGAACCTAAAGGTTTCTTTTATCCAACACAAATAGCACAATTCGGCCTCGCACACTACAGCAAGAACCTTACAGAGCCCGAACCGCGAGTGAAGGTTATAGATGATGGAGACAAGAATCTTGAAAACTGGATTGTTAGCAAGGATGCCTCAATATCAAGGGAATTTGACACAGAATTAAAAAGTAATATTATAAGGTTTACCACAACAGAACATCCATCAAGTCAAGTATGGTGTAAAGTCAATATTAGCCAGGATTTTGTGCTCAGTCTGGATGTTCGGTTGAAGCCAAATTCCTCCTTAACTGTAGTGCTGCAAAACAAAGATAAGAAAGAGACTGTTTACTTGCATTATGTTACAAGTACGCAGCTAATTTATACATTGGTAAGTTATTATTTGGGCAAATTGTATATCTATAAACTGACTTAAGTAGTAAATTGTATGACGTTTGAACCGAGATCCTCTCGCGCTTAACACCATACTAATAAAAACATGGTGCTTTTGTTAAAAAAATTAATAAATTACTATTGCTATAATTATTAATATTAAATGGGCGAAATGGTCAGCTGATAACGTGGACTGATCAGCCGTCCTACCACAGGTGTCCCCGAAAGAAAATAATAATAATTGCTATAATTCTTTCTATTAAGCTGTACACAATTTAAAGTAGTCGTACAATTCAGGATGAACATATATATTACGGCATTGGGATTGAATACAAGTGGCGACGACTCACCCGTGATCTGATCATCGACATGCAGAAGGGTTGGGCGCTACTGGATAAACCTAAACGAAAGTCTCCGAGAAATAAGTTTAGGGTACGTTTTAGTATTTTGCTAAATGAACTTTTACCACCATAGTGGTAGAATTTTTTTTAACTTTTAAGGACATTACATCAGCCTTTAAGTCTTTTATTTGACCCATCATTCAGATCAAAGTATTTAATAACAATATATTACTTTTAATTTAAGACAGTTCTGTAGTGTGTGGTACAAAACTTTGGCTGTAGAAGTTAACTTGTTAACTGATACTTAAGTATACATAGCGTCTCAATCCACTAAAGATACTGTATGTGTGTGTGTGTGTAGAACTTTTTTAACCTATTGATATCTGGTTTAAGGTTGAAATTATATTCTGCTTGTTTTTAAATTTTTTCAATCTAAAATCAATTTTTCTTTATATAGTGGCATCGCATTTGAAAAATATAATTGTCCTTTACAGATATCGAGTATAATCTTTTCGGGTAACGGCAGCGCAGCGAACATCCGCGTGTCGACAAGTGAACACATGGCACACTTCTTCGCAGCAGCCCGATGGCTCGTGAGCACGCAGCGGGCGCGCGGGGGTTGGCCGGTCAAAGCGCGGCGGCGGGTGGCTGCACGGGTACCTGACCTTAAGGCTGGCTGGTAAGGTCCATTTCTTCTTAAAAATGCCAGAATTTATGACGGGCTCGTCGGTGTAAAGGTATCAATGTATGGCTAATAGTCAACATTTTCGAAATCAATTTATAATTTTTCTGAAGCACCTTGGACTTCGTCTGGAAATCTAGATGTTAAATGGGTTATAGGAATATCGAAATTCCGTTCGTATCGAAATAAAAGCCGAGAAGTTTAATCGCGTTTGAATTTTAGTCTATAGCTTTTCGAATATCAAAAATCAAAATAGCTCGATAGTGCATCTTGTTGAGGTGGCTGAAGTATTTCACCTACCATCGAGTGAATCCCATGCTTGTTCGTTCCCTTTATCATTAAAAAAGAATTGTTTTAAGCAGTGGACGCTCTTGTTAATACAAGAAAGCAAATTAGATTTGGAGGTATGGAGACGTTAAAATAATTAATCATAATTGTAATATTTACAATTTTAGAGTACTGTAAAAGGTTCCGAATAGTCCTCTTGATGGTGTCTCAAAATGGTCTTTAAATTGAGAACAGAATGATAAAGATATACAATTCCCTTTCGTTCAAGTAAGTGTAGGTTATATATAAGTTTGGTGGCTTACTTAGGGCGTAAAAGAACAATAAGAAAAGACACTTTCACGTTCATAACTTAAGGTTGAAAAAGCCCGCTGGTTTCATTGTTTAAAACTATTATTTTTCAGGCACTCTGCTATGAGCCAAGGTCACGGCATATCGGTGTTGGCCCGGGCCTATCACCGCAGCAAAGACGCCTCCTACTTGAGAGCAGCCCAACGCGCCCTCCACTTACTTGACGTGCCGAGCACTGCCGGTGGTGTTAAAGCCATGTGGATGGACAAGTACGTGTGGTAAGTGGTTTTCGTTTCTTCTTATATCAAATACCTGGTTCACATTTACAGTGTTACCAGAAAAAAGTTTATAAATATTTAATAATTATTCGCATTAAATACTTTTGATTTATAACCACATAATCAATCTGTTTCGTATGAATAATTTATATTATGACGCATTTATTATTTCACAACCTGCTCAAAACTTATTATTGTTTGAAGTTGTTACGTGAATTTCCATAATTTGCCATTTTTATGATAATATACTAGCACACTTCCTAAAAACATAAGAAATTATACTCGTAATACCCTAACAATTGTAACGCCTTCGCGGCCATTTTTAAAGATTATTTGGATTCTCGAGTTGCTCTGCCGTCGTAACTAAGCGTCAGTCTTCCTTTAGACGATAAACGCGCATCATTCGTTATGGTGTGACGTTGCGAACCACTTTTTAAGTACGACAGCCGGTTAGAACGAGAACCCGAGTATAATTCGCAATTCTACACAAGGTACGAAGAATACCCGACGAAACCGCCTCTCTTCGTGCTTAACGGCTTCATCTACACGCTGCTCGGGTTGTACGACTTGCACGTCATAGAAGGCGAGAACTCGATTTCGCTCGCCAAAAAGATGTTCGACGACGGTATGATCTCTCTCAAAACGCTGCTCCCCATTTTCGACACCGGTAGCGGGAGCTTCTACGACCTACGGCACATCACACTCGGAGTCAGCCCCAATCTGGCCAGGTGGGACTATCATGCGACGCACGTGAACCAGCTATATCTTCTAGCCGGTCTCGACTCCGATCCCATTCTTATTAATACTGCGAAGCGGTGGGAGGGTTATATGCAAGGGAGAAGAGCTGCGCACAATTGATGACAGGAAGAAGAAATAGAGCAAATACTTATCGAAAAATTTCTACCTTGTCGTCTCAATCTACGAACAGCACTTAAATCGGTAGATTCTATTACGGAGTGATATTTTTACAACTGAAGACGAATGAAGCTATATTGACGGCTACGAAAATAAAATTTTTTGTTTGTAAAAAGCACAATAATTAACAAACAATTGCGTGTAACTACGTAAGTTACTCCGTCGGCGCACTAGCAGTAATGTAGTTAATCATACAATAAACATTTATCAACAGACAGAATTGAAACCTAAGACTGAGCGTTAATATACGTATTATTACTTTAAATATATTGTTTTGTGCATGGGCGTACTCGGGTTCTGGTGTGGGTGGGGGAAAGAAAAATTATTGAAAAATTTTTCAATGTACAATAAGTGTATAAAATCTTTTCAACTTGTCTTTATTGACCTTTTAATGCCGTGTAATAAATTAAAGTAAGTAGTTTCGGCTTATCGGAAACCGCCCCGCTGCCACGCGGGTACGTTCATCGTTCTGTATATAGCCTTTGTCAATTGTATATCACGGTTCGGTTTGTTTTTGTAAACATTTAACGATTGCTATTATTTTTTTATTATTATTTTGCATATATCCAAAGAAATATTTAGAATACAAGTGAAACACATTAAACTAAACTACTTGAAACGGAAACTATATAACGTAGTTAAACAACTCGTTTTCACTTCAACCCGTCAACATCCAGTCGTTCGTGAAAGATTTTTCTTCGAGTTCGCTTCCAAATACCTTAAATGTTTACAAATTACAACGGCCTTTTGTTCTTAATGTGATGAGTAAAGTACTTAAGTATTGTAAATACACTATTTATCGTAGTTAAAACATATCTCATGGAACTGTACAGCATCGCCCTAATAATAGGAATAAGGTGTAAAACCTAAATGTTATCGAAAACAATGTGCAAATTTCATATCGTTAAAGAAGAAAAAAACTCGATAACGCCAACAGGGTTCGCACCAACGACCACACGCAGATACGCTTAATTTCTCTTACAATTCTTGACATACGCCTTCGATTCAAATACATTACCACTACTGAGTATGTCTTTCTTTTGAAGGCAAGTTAACTAGAGACCATGCCATGCCATGGCCATTTTGGCCCCAATTTGTGTCTTGAGGGTTAAAAAAACTTTTTCCCAGTAAGATGTAAGTAAAGAACTCTTATTTACTCGTAAACGGGTAGTGTAAATATATTTGTGCAAGGACTTTATTATTGTTTTATAGCTTTTGGAAATGGATGGCGTTCTAACTCACTATGTCAAATTGTTTTACCTTGTTCTTGCCTTTCAAATTTCAATCTTGCCATAGCGAGGATTGATTTGAAGCCTCATAATTCAATGGGAACACTATTCCAAACATGTCAAGCGATGAGGATCCTAGGATCGAATCCCGGAATAAAACAAATAGTTTCGAGCAAGCAAGACTGAAGCCTGATCAACTGCTTGCCATAAAACACACACACACACACTCACAGAAATGTGTTTGCCCTATTTAGATATCGATGTGTATAATCAATGAATGAAGTTTTAGTGTTCGTTGACTTAATTGTATGTTTGATTATTTAACACATAAGTTGTTATTTATTATTATTGTATATAATATCTGTATTTTTTATTATTGTTCTGTGAACTATTCCTTATTATTTACAGCCCAATGGCTGAAGATTTTTACCCACTCTAGACACATTATAAAGATGGATATGTCCGGGTCAGGTTCGTTCTTTTTTTTATATAAACTATGAATAAATACTGTCTATATTTTACGCGAGTACTACACATTTAAATAAAACACTTTAACGGTTTAAAACGCGATATATTAGTTAAACTTATTTGGAAATAATTTTTAACTTCGGCCCGACGTTTCGGATGCTTTGCAGCAGCCGTGGTCACGGTGAGAACCCGTAAAGTGTTCTATTTAAACTATGAATAATGTTTGTATACAGCTAAATTTATGCATTCCAAATGTAAGAGAGCTTAGGTACCACTTATCCTAACTTTATTTATTACAGTATTGAAAAAAAATACAATATTCCTTGTTTATCTACCAAACTACACACGAGCGTTAGAAGTTATGTATAAATACGATAAAATACAACAATATTGTGTATTCTGTGTATAGAGCGAAAATGTTTCTTCAATTAACTACTGAAATCTAGAGAACCTTGATCTAATAATAATAGATTTGTAAATTGCACATAGACATAGATTTTTCAGTTTTCTAGTTTCCACAAATTATTGTTCCTAAGTATCTTTTCTATCCCATGAAAATAATTTAAAATTGTATTTAAATTTATATTCAGTAGATTGTAGTGTGATAGAGTGCACTTGTGAAAGACAATAAAACAAACTCGGTATAATTAATAGTTTTATTTTACATCACTAACAAAATTGATATCTTTCTGGAAGAAGAACTAAATATATTTGTAAAAATAAGTTGTGATACTTATGTGAGTGTTGCCTAGTTATTGGAAATTGTTAAAATAATGTATACTAAATTTTAACAAACATGGAGTGTCAACTTAACCCGACAAGATTTTCTTACGCGTGCGAACAGGACTCCGCCCGGACTAATGCCCGCTTCTGAGCAGAGTTCATCTTGTCGAGCACGTCCTGCATCTCTGGCCACGGTTCGTAGCGTTGGTTGATGATGATGATCTTGAGAGTTTGGGGATTGCGCAAGTCCATCGTGCGCGAGATGTTATCACGACTGCGCGTCTTATACACGACGTCGATCTAAAAATACAGTTTTAAGCATCTTACACAGGATATACCAGCAAATATTAATTTTAATAAACAAATAATAACAAACAAATACACTTACTTTGTGTTGCGTCGCATACGCTATAGATAATAGGCAAAGAGTAAAACTGAGAGCGGTCACTGAAAATAATGGAATGGTTTCCCAATAGACCCGTAACACGTAAATGATGTTCAGCCTCTTCGGTATGGGAATGTCGTACTGTGTGGGCGGAAGGTAATCGTGCGAAGATCGGGAAACAACTCGGCCGGTCTGCGCTTTCAAAGACAACAGAGACGGACGCAAGAGACCCGCAGATTTCAAGAATTTTAAAAACATTTTTAACTTTAAATTTTGCAAATAGGACGAAGAATCACAAGACCATCACCATCCCAAGCTACGCGACACTTTCATAACTAAATATTGACGCGACGACGTATTGACGGAAAATAGTCAATTTTTGAATTTCGAAGAAATCGTGTCAAGTAACAAACGTGGCGTACCACAGACTTTAATCTTAAATAAAAATCCTAAAGTGGGTGGCTTCCGTGTGAATGTCTGAATGTGCAAAGCGAGAACGGCTCGACTGCGCATCGTATTAAGTTAATAGGCATGTGTGTGTTTCACCTTCCATCAAGTAAACCCATGCTATTCAAGAGACAGATTTTCCTATTTTAATAAGTTTTATTATATTTTCATCTTTTAATAAATTACAGAGTCAATTAAGTACACTAAATCGATTACTCGGGCGAGTCTGCTGCTCTGACAGAAATCTACATAGATTTTGAATTTTAAGTATTTTAAGACGGTTCTTTACAAATATGTACTTGACAGTATGGGTCTTCGTTGTTACAAAAATAGCCCTGAACGGCTTGCTCGACATCCAGTTATTAAAAAAAATCTTAAGACATAGGAAATGAAAAGCAATATAGCACAGGAATTTTATTGAGAAACGGCAACACAAAATCAAGGCTTTTTCAATCGACATTCGGTCTTGTAGTTGTATCCTTGTGGGATATAGCGAATGTGGACTTCCAAGATTAAGTTATTGCAGTTGTATTGGAAAATATTATATTAAACGTTATTCGCACCAAATGAAAATTTAAGCTGCTCTAAGCTGTAACTTTTTTTTTAATTCACTCTAATTTTAATATTGTTGTTAAGAATTTTCATTCGATGGTTAACACTAGATTTGGGGCTCACATTATGATGGCTTACAGACGCGCGCTCTCATCAAGGCAGTCTTTTGAGCGAGAGCCATTTTATCTAGAACGTCTTGCATCTCCGGCCAAGGCTCGTAGCGTTGGTTTATTAGGAATATTTTGAGCACGTCCGGGTTCCGCAGGTCCATAGTGCGAGAGATGTTTTCGCGGCTGTGCGTTTTGTATACCACGTCGATCTAAGCATCAAAACATACTATTACTGAAAACAGGAGCCTTAATATTTTATCTAAAAATAAGAGAATAGGTAGCTTACCTTGTGAGTGATTGCCCAGAGTATTGAAAACAAACAAATAGAAAAACTTGTACAAGTGACAAGGAAAAGGGGAATGGTTTCCCAATAAACTCTCAGGACATACAATATATTTAGCCTCTTCGGAATAGGTACGTCGTACTGAGTAGGCGGGATGTAGTCACTGGAGGACCGCGTCAAGATGCGAGTCGGCGGCTTTCCTTTTAGCCCTAAAATCGTCGGCCTTATTAAATTGGCCGACTTGAAAAGTTTTGAGAGCATAAAGATACAAAAAAATACAATTAAAAAATATATATCTACTCGTTCCTTATTATCTAATAAATTGTAAAAAATAAAACTATATTATACTAGCCGCCGAGTAGACATTTGTAATTTTTTAAATTTTCATAATATTCCATTTTTTTTATTGCTCCTTGTCAAAAACAATATTTGTAAACAGCCAGTATTACACGAGGAAATAGTGTTTATAAAAAAGGGACTATGGTAGTTCAGTTATTAGGAATTAGGACCACAAAGAGGGTAATCATTTGTTCTTGAACTTCATTCAAATTAGAACCTTAAAGCAACATTCTGTTTTTGTTTTGATGATTTAACATTATCTACACTAAAACGTACCTACTTACTGGTTTCAAATATTAAAAATACAATTGTGTTAAATGTCAAAATAATTAATATCAACGACAATAAAAATACTTTATTTTTTTAAGTGCTATTTCTTAGAGTACGGTTTTAATCAGTATCAAAATTATGTTGTGTAAATTCGCTTGCTTTAAGAAAAAGAAATGGGAATGAGATGGCCGTAAAATATTCAGGTGATTTATTCTATTAGTCAGGGGAAAATATTATGTGAAATAATTCACATATGCTAAGCGTTAGAAAAGCATACATAAATTAGTTATCTTAGTATTTCAGTGAGAATAAGACTAGTGTTAATTTAAAATTCTCGTAAGGTGTAACAATTACTTGTATATTTATAATTTAAATGTTACGTTTAAGTGGTGATACTGTGAGGGTGATGCCATTACGCACTTGTCGTCGTCGCATCTCGCCGAGGACAAAACGCCGCTACCGGGCAATCAAAGAATTCTTCAAAAGGACCATCGGTAATCGTAATTTAAGCAAAAGGAAACAGATTTTGCTCAAAATATCCTTACGATAAACATATCACATATAACAATAATAAAATATAGTTTGTATTCATTCACGTTGTATTGACTAAATTACATAAACATGTAGATAAACATATTTGATATTTAATTTCAGGGACATTATCCAACACTGATTATGTTACCAATTCGAGCATCGCAGTCAGTGTTTCAGACTTGAAGAGTAAGATCGATATTATAGAACAACAGCTGGAGAAAGTAAGCAAGCACTGTCGAAATCTGACTTGCGTCGAAAATGGTTTTAACAACGCAGATGGGTCTATAGACCATAAAAATCAAAAAAGACCAGAAGCAGAAACTGAGATACTATACGAGACGCCTCGAAGAAATTTTGTAAAATCAGACGATAGTGAAAACAGTAAATTAAAATTGAATGGCAACACTCAAATTATGAATGATGTTCAAAGTAGTTCCTACAGTGAGAGACAACTTAACGTATATAAGCAACATGATAGAAAATCAAAGCAAGCTTACAATGAATCGTGTTTAAAAACAAACAATTTAAAGGAAAATAAATATGATTGTTTAAAAAGAGTCACTTCGAGTATCACTTTTCAAGCGTGTAAAGACACACACACTCGGTCACATCGATATGATGTTAGTAATAAAAGTCATAACCACGATGACAAAGTAAAAGACAAAAACCGAGGTTGTTCAGAAAAAATAAAAAGGGAGTTGTCGCATAGAAGAGACATTGAACATCGTAAAAGCAGAAAGAAGAAACGCCGCTATTCAGCATTTGACGAAGAATTTATCGAAGACATCATTAGAAGACAATACAAACCGGTTAAGTTGTTTGGTAGGAAAATATCAGAATTCAGCCAGTTTTCTGCACCCGTTTGCCGTGACCAAGAATATACTATCCGCAATGACATAGAGGAAGGGAGCGAGTTATGTTCATGTTGCTTCGAAGGTCATCGAAATGTCAGCCATCGCCATTGTCGAAAATATGACTTGAACGATATGAGAAGCGTCTGCGACGCCCGCTTGTATGGTGCAAAACGGCACAGGTGGTGTAAGGAGGGACATACGAATAATTACAATGACTCAACTCTTTACGATTTAATTCCTGTTAAAGAAAAATCGAGTCCTAAAACTAGACGCAAATTTATAGAAGAAAATGTACAATACGAGCGTTGTAGAGAAGTTTTACCTTCACCCCGAACTCACAAACCTAGACTTAATCTGAAGGCGCAGTCCTATGATTACGATGACAGTTTATTACCTAAAAGAAGGAAAAATGTAACCCCACTGAAACGAACAAATAATGGCGACGAAATGAGTGAAGATTTTTCACAAACTTCTCGCCACCGACGAACTTCCAATGAACCATTAACATTAAGAACGCATGTCGGCAACGGCAACCCAAGCCAAAACGCAAACCTCGTGAACGAATCCTTTACGGGCTCAGCCGCAGATAAAACTGATAAAGCGCTGTGTGAAATAAAAGATATTTTACAAAGCTTCCTTCAAGAAATCAAGAAAGATTCTGTTCATAGTGACCATTCGGAGGTCAGCGGCAAAAGCATTAAACATACGGAAGCACAAGTAAATAATAAACCCCGTTCCAGCCCTACACCTAATATAGAACAATGCCACGCTTCTTTCGTTCCGCCATTTGGTAATTCGTGCTGTTATCCAATTCTACCTGTCTGCCCGATCAATTGTAGCCCATATGGACCCATACCACCATCGACGAGTTACACTTGCGCTTCGTGTGTTCAAAATAAGAAGGAGATAATTCCTCATGTCAACGATGACACAAAAAATAATTCTTGTCACGACGAAACACAAGAACTCATCAAAGAGATTTATAAATGTGTAACGCGATCTCCGACCACGCCTCGGTCCAAGCGGTTGGAGCATTCGTACCCTCGCTATGATTTCCAAAAGAAGGTGCTAACATCCCGAAGTGTCGGCAGCTCGAATGCTTCGAAGCACGACGTTATGGTGGAGACACCGAAAATGAAATGTTACTCGAAAAGTTGTGAAGCGATTGGATCCCGGGTTACGACCGATACATATTCCACAAATCCGACATATTCTGATACGGCGATAGAGAAACTCAGCTTAGATACGTCACATTCATCAACTGACACGGAGGTAACCAATAGGAAATCAAAAGTAAGGCATAATCTTTATCAAATCTCTTTTAAGTTAAACCAATAGTATTGCTTACATGTGTTGTTTAAAACGACGTCGTAAGTAAGTATTTAAAGAGCACAGGAGAAGGATGAGGAAGATCTGGGATTTTGAGTAGCTTATGAGTTTTTTGTAATCACGCCTACGCTGTTTGTTTGTTTCTTAAAATTAAGATGTAGAGTCATTATGTATAAGGCGAATAAATCCAGAAGTATACAGTATAACGCCCTAGCGCTAGTCGCTTAGAAAAATAATTAATTATATCTTTCTAGGTCAAGAAAAATAAATTCTCAAACGTGTTGAAAAAAATGGGTTTATTTAAAAAGAAAAGAAAAGATGTCATCGAGGAAGTTAGCGAGAGCGAAGGTACAGAAGAAGTAGACGTAAAGCCAAAATCAAAGCCCCCCTTTAAACAAAATATAATGAATTATAATCTCCATGCTCAGGAATATTTCCATCCCCCTCCGAATACCAGATGCAATAATTGCTACGATCATGGATTCTGCTCACCACATGTGCATACGTTTGGGGATGATGGCTACAGCGCACAAAAAGCGTCTTACGAACGATGCAAGCATAGAACCCATCCGCACTGTTATTCGACACCCCAATATTGTGAAATCCCGAATGTTTCATCAGCCTATTGTCATCATGACCGTGATCCACAATGCCATAATGGACCCCAAGTCCCACTGTGCTTAAAGGAAATAGAAGTAAAAAGCATAGGCACACAGAGCGAAAGAAAGTTATCGATCTTTCCTAGATTCAAGAAATATCAGGCTCCTCAAGCACGACTTAACCCACAGAATACGATGACAACACAAACCCCGAAAGAAAAAAATATCCTATTCAACTGGGAAAAGCTAAAAGAAAAAGCGACGCAGAATGCGAGTAACGCGGATCCAATGAAGTTTTCTCTAAAAACACAAAAACAACTCGCTCTCGGTGACATGACAATGAGGAATGCAATGCTCAAGAAGCTATTCTATAAAAGAAACCCGTTCTCTCCTCGCAACTTGATCGTTAGAACTCTGCTCGGCAAGGATAGGTCTTCTTGGGGCGAACCGCCCAGGATGTACAAACCGCGAATGTTCATATAATGTGCGACTGCTTCTAGTTTCGTTAAAATTTGTTTATGTATTGCTTTAATAAGCGATGATAAATGTTGTCTTGTTAATTGTATTCATTACATTATTATTGAGAGTTCTTATTTTAATTTGCATCATTTGCTCTTTTTGTAAAAATATAAATTTATATTTATTTTTTTCGCCAATTTTCACCGTAATTTTGCAATAGTGTTGAAAACCCCCATATTTTATCAAAAAGTAATCTTTATTCTCCTTGGAATTTGAAATATCACTTAAATACGTCAAAATGTCTGTCTGTCGTGATTTTACAGAGCAACATGACCGAGAAGAACACCCAAGGAACTCGGTCCGGCTTTTTTAAACATGTCTTATAAACTAATATATTTTTGTGGATTCATTAACCTAAGGAGCAGTTCATATCACTGCCAGTCAGCAAGTATTATTATTTAACACCGATTAAAATAGTCAATCCTGCAAAGTGCTCGGCGTGGAAACTGAATAAACGAACGATCCCGAGGACTGGCTTCATACGAATTTAAAAATATAATTATCATTTTATGTCATAGTTTAAAGTTGACATTGTATAGTTCAGCTGTTATATCATTCATTAACGTAAGTTCTATTGGATTTGGATAATTTACTAGAATTTATACTGAATAAAACCTATCACAAGTATGACGTAGAAAATAACGTCTGAATTTTTAGAATGGTGTTGTAAATTAAGTTTGAAGTGATATCCTTTATAATATCAAATTGACGGTGACCTATGAAAAGAGGTGATTAGATCCTTATAAATTCGTTATGTGTGATGAAGACATAACGAAGAGTATTAAGCGACGGTTTAAAGGTATCGAAAACTTTTTGCGCAGAATCGCTTTTAATTTAGGTACGTTCTATATTCATTGACATTACGTGTGTATGGTAATATAACTTATCATTTTTTACACGTTCCAGGAAACACTGCATCACAGACCGAAGTCAAAATTATTTCTTGCATACCAATAGACGTAACTGATCTTCAGCAAAAAATAATTACTTTAGAGAAAGAATTACAGGATGCTAAATGTTCAACGTCGAAGAAGAATATTATTCCAGATATTTGCAGGAAAGAAAAGACTGCCGAAAAGACGACCGCCTTCAATGCCACTTTTCTTGGAACGCCTTTACGCGATGACGCATTCTATAGTAAATCTAAAAGCGAAATAAACAAAATAAGCGCTTGCGATGCCTGTCCTCAAAAGGGTTCGGACTTGTCTTTTGTCTTTTCAGCTTTATCACTAGATTCTTGCGGACGAAATCTCAAAATTACAGAAAACAATAAATGTTCTAGAGGAGAAGGAGAACGTAAAAAGTATAACTTATTTAGAAGACGACAAAAACATAAAGTTTGCTCTGAGAAACTTAAACCGCGAACTCATTTTGTTTACTTTGCGAAATCAATAAATAGTCCATTTTCTGGGCAACCCGTCGATCACCCATTTCCCAAAAGGAGAAGGAATCAATTTTCTGAGCACTTTTCGAATGTTATGCGTAAACAGTATGACCCCAGGTGTGGCCTCGAAGAGTTCTCGGATACAAGTGGGTTTACGAGACCCATTTGCAAAGATGTTAGCGCCACACTCCGTTATGAATCTGACGTGTGTTCATGTTGCCATGGTAAATTTCAAAATATTGATAACTATATGGGAAATGGTCTAGAATTCCTCCTTGAAGCAGACCATTCAACGACGGTTCCGAACTATAACCAAACATACTACGATGAACATTTTTACGACGTAGTGCCAGTGAAGGAGGAAGTTACAAATAAATTGAGGCAAAGTGTATATAAAAATTCGTTTGGAAAAGAGAAAAACGATATTATGAAATGTTGGCCAGAATCTGTCTATCGACAAAGTCCGTTCGACCCTATAATTTTTAACTATCGGGCCGATACTCGACTAGATCCTAGACGCCGATACGAGAAAAATAGACAAATAAGCCCGACTTTACAAAAAAATGGACAAAAAAAGTGTCCCAATAATTATAATCATATTCTCAAAGATAGTTCTAAAAGTTTTTCTGTTGAATGCAGCAGCGTGTATACGAAACATCTGATTTCACAAAATAATCAACCAGGCCCACATAAATCGAATCGAAAACAAGAAGAGAGTATCAGAATAAATAGTACACACAATCTGGAAACAGCATCAAAATGTATACAACTTGAGATGGAATGTCAAAGTGATAAAACAGAAACAATGCTCAAGCAAATTAAGACCATCCTGCAGTCGGTTTTGACTGAAGTAAAGACAAATTCTCACAAAAATAATGATGAAAAGCTCAAAAAAGATGCTGTTGTACAGAAAGGCTCTTCACAAGATAATGTGCCTGGCTGCTCGAAACTACTGAATAGTTTTACTTATAACGCACCTATAAATGGTACTTCTTATTACGCGCCTGTTTCGCCACCTTACATGCCTTCTGGATGTCTTTACTACGCAAACGTACCATGTCAACCAATAAAATGTATGCAAAATACTGCATACGCTGTAGCACCTCATCAAGATCACTGTAAGTGCCAATGTCGAGGTAAAACTTTTGACTGTTGTAATAATAACTCAAAGATAGCAACAAGCCCAGCCACTGAGACAAATAATCTTATTAAAGAGATTTACAAGTCCGTGGCTTTAAATTTAGATTACCCCACTAAGGATACTTCGAGTACCAATAATGTAAGCTTTAAAAACAAGGACGATGTATCTAAACAAAAAGATACAGAATTAAGGAGTACCGATGGATCCGATATTGTTAAGATGGATAAAGAAATAGAAGTGTTATTATCCATGTGTACAGATACAAGTTCACAGTCTGAAGAAAAGGAATGCAAAGAAACTACTACTGATGATGTTAGAAAACGCAAAGAAATGATGGATAGGGATAAGCGTCAATATCACCTTTACAGATTTGAGGAAAAAAATAGCAAACGTAACAGGACTTTCAGAGCACAAGAAGATACAGAAGATAGTGAGCCGGAGAGCGACGAGACAGTTGTGCCTAAAATTTCGTTGCAAACCAAAAGAAAAAAGGGGGGGATTTTTACTAAAATCGCTAAAATCTGGAAGAAACGTAAGACATCTGAGTCTCATCGTAACGAAAAGCCTAACGACGAAAGCGACAACGGGTCTTTAGAGGAAAGTGAGAGTGATGAATACGAGACTGTTTACAGCGGAAGTCAATACCAATATAACAATACAACACCGCAAAAGCAAAGATATATTAAAAAATCGCCAAAAATAAATATACAAGTGAATGGAAAAAGGATACGTAGATCACCAACTAGGCAAGACCAAGAATTAAAGCGTTGGAACGACAATACAACATATAAAACACAACACAGGCACGACCAGATCGAACCTGGCAGTAACTGTTTCATAAAACATCAAAGCAACACAAAATATCAGAAAAATTACGAACCAAGAAGTGAAATAGCCAACAATTTAATTAATAATTTTGGCTATAGACAGCAAAATTTCCAAAATTTAGAAGTAGGAAATAAAAAAGGCTTTTTAAAAAAACATAAACTAGGACTTCGTTGTGGAAAAGAATGGAAAAGTTTAATAACAGAGAATTAATAAAATTGCAAGTTATTCGTTTTCTGTGTTATTGAGAAAAACAGTTGTCCTCTGTAATAATGTTTATTAAATGTACTTTGGTATACCAAAATGATAATTTGGTTTTATTAATATTGTTCATGTTATTTTTAAACTCCTTTTCTCTATAGGCAACGAAGTCTTGAAGTAATTGAGATCGTCAATTACAAACCTGGAATAGAAGTAATTTTTTTTTTTAATTTTTGTCGTAAACTTCTATATTATATATCTTTTTATTTACTACCTACCGATAAAAAAGTAGCGGTAATGGCACTGTAGTCAGATGCCATAAAGCATGGGCATCCCAACCGTAATATGGCGGGAAGTCGAGGAGTTCCAGAGAGAGAGCTGCCCCAGATGCCAATGTAAACGCCAAGAGACGCCACGTGTACCGCTGTCCAGAAACATACTGCACGACTCCCCATAATATCCAGATTATGGAACCAGCGACACCTGTTTTATAGAGAAAGAGCCCCATCATAGAACTGTTATTTTAGAACATAGTTGTATATAGCGACACATGACCGAGAAACCCAGGTCAAAGATGGACACAAATAAATTACATTAGGTACTTGTGTTCGTTTATGATACAGGCACCTCTGTGTAAAGTCTATACTTCCATTTTGTTATGACAAAGGCCAATAGACAATGGAGTTTATCTGATGTAAGGTGAAATACTCCACCCATGAAATAACCCGAGACACGCTGTCGACCTATTTGGCTTGGAATTCTCTTAATAATAAGAAGTTGGCTTACCAAAAAAAATATTAACATGCATATTGTAGTCATAGTCTATTCTGCCTGTATACAGATAGCGAACATGCTCTATGTAGTATACCAGTGTTGCTAGTAGCACTAATGCTGACATTTTTCTTCTTTGGTGGAACACTCTGTAATAACACATTTGAAATATTAAGTTTATATAAATTAACATATGTACATAAATACAGATAGTATTTTAATGTAAAAATGTAGTCTGGTCACCTTCAATAAAGTTCATATTAAGAATTTATGTAACCATTTTCATCTGCAAAACTCTCTTTGCAAAGTTTTATTGTCACTGTGGTCTCAACTTGACTTGTATCCACTAATTTTGAGACTCAAGGTAGAAACCTACCCCAAATGTGGTACATAAAATGCATAGCAGCTCATTGAATTCCACCATTAACATATATGTATTGAAATAAGTTCAATCATATAACATAACATAGAAGCGTCGGAACAACAAACTCATATAATATTTATTACAGTAGTACTTATATGACATAAGTTTTTATTTATTAAATTATAATTTTTTTTATTTAATTTACCTGATGACTGAAGCAACAAAAAGGCTTGTAACCATAGACAAAGCACAGGCATAGTCCATAAATTCCGTAAAATAATTATCTCTAGAGTGAAAAATTGTTGACCAAAGCCACGCATTCATACAAACCTGAAATACATAGTTAACTGATTTATATTAGTAATAGTAATAATCATATAAGTTATTCAAATAGTGTGCAAAAATACCTTGTTATTATTATTAATATATATTATTCAACTCACAATGGCAAATGTCCTCCAGAAGACAACGGGAATACTTCTATCATTAAAATGTTGTTTCATCTCATTGTACATATAGGCGTGAACAGCTAAATTCAAAATAGAAGCGAATGTAGAGGCTGGCTCCTGGATACCCATTAGTTTAGTAAAGGGCCACTAAAAAAGCAATCTTGATTAAGACTATCTTTTGTAAAAAAAACTTTTAAATACTAATAACTAAATTGCTTTACCTTTCCATGAAATTTGGGTATACTGAAACCCCTTTCTTCAAAGCCTTGCACTGTTTTCCACATACAGTTGTAACGGCAATCATCTTCACAGCTCCACAATAGTAATTTACTCCATACATCCAGCTTATTGGCAACATGGGGCTTAAATTCACTTTCTATAAGGAATTTATTTCATAATTTAATATTGTAGTGATAAAAACAAGCACCACAACTAATATTGAATATTTACTAACCTGCAGTACAATTGGATTTTTTACAACTATTTACACATTTATTATAGAAAGGAGAGCGATCACCGTCGCTGCTTCGAGCAGATGTAATTAGAGTGAACAAACATATTAGTTTTAACATCATCAAAACCTTTTTTAAGCACGCAATACCGACATCTGGTATAAACAATCAATTTGCAACTTTATCGTACTGTTTTTATTTATTAATCGTATTGTATATTGGTTTGTAAATGCTTTAATGGCACTCATTTTTTTAATTTTTACACTTACGTATCATACCATATAACACATTAAAAAAAACTACAACTTATTTTTTATTGAACATGACACACACACTGGTATAATGTGAAACCAGTGTAAAGTGTAAACAACTAAACAATAAACGGACCCTTTTTATTTATTATACAGGATTAGTTTCGAAAATGTCTTATGTCACAATACTTGTTATGCCGGCTTGATGGCAGACTACACTTGACAGTTGACAGTCATGGACTCATGGTGCAGTAGTTTAATCACACATAGACTATAATAGCAAACTATGGACCATTTGTCAATCCAATTAAAAAATTAGATAAATTTAGTTTCCGTTAATTTTACTGTATATGTATTTTTAAAGACTACGAGTTGAAAAAAATAAAAAAAGGCAGTAAGTATTAACCGGTTTTACTTTTATATTAAGTAAATTAAAACAAAAATCTAACTACCCTATTTACGAATTATCAAATAACACAACACGGAATTATTTGAAAAAAAAAGACAAATCGATTATTCAATCGGGCAGAGTCACCCCTTAGGCAAGTCTCTTGAGGGTCTACCAATAAGTATTTCTATGAAATACTCACACACGCACACACACACACACACACACAACACTCGCTCAAAAATAATATCCATTTAGGCAAACAGATTGTTTTACACTAACTTCCTTTAATTGTACCAATAAGTAATTAGTTTAACTTATCTTATCATACGGAGGTGGGCGCTGGCTCCTGTGCCACAGCTTTACAGCTACTTCAGGCGCCATCGAAATACTCAATTTGTAAATAGGTTTTAAGCTAAGCTAAATAAAGTTATTTAAAGTTTAAAGTTGGTACAACTAAACTCTGTCTTGCCACCACTACTTCTTATCACCTAACACCTTCTTCTTGACGTCATCTCAGTATTCCTATAACAGAATATATAATTGAGAAGTGACATAAATTATTCATGGTTGTATGCAACATAAAAAGCAGTAATGCATCTAAGTTATTTATACATCAATATCAATACAATTATTAGTCACAAATCTAATATAATGGTAATATTTTGGAAACCTTTGAAAACTTTATTATTTTTTACATGTTATTGATACAATACGCTAGTGTTAAGGTTGAAATTACATTGCGCGAGAGGTGCATTATCAATAAGTTGAAAAAATTCGACGGTCGGACGGTTCAAGTTAATTGAACGCTGACGATGCCGGTTCAAGTCCTGCCCTAGTCAAATTTTTTTTCAATTTAATTTCGATTTTTATGATTTGAAACCTTTTCCAATACATCTGAGTTCAGATAACCTTAGTTAAAATGAATAAAAGTATTGTATATTGTTTGACAAAGATTTATTAAATAAAAAAAGACCAACAGCTTAGTCTGGTGGTGCCAATTTCTGTGGCAGAACATTAAAAGTTAGAAAGGTATATAAACTTATTTAATAACCACAACTCTGTACATGGCTTTTGTAAACATTATTTTACCTAAATATTTACAAACTGTAACATAAATAGCCTTAATTCTTGGGGAAAAAAACATCAGTGATAAAAACAATATTTGTTACAATCAAGGAATATTGCAACTCAAATAGTGCAAAATCGAATAGACCCTTTTAAACATTCTATTTGGATTTATTACATAAAATGATTCTTTAAACATCCTTAAATCATCAACTTAAAAATTGTTGCTATATAAATGTTTTATTAACGTTTCAATTTTATGTTGTGCTTTTACGTTTGTGGCACGAACAACAACTTATGTCAAATAATAATAACTTCTGAATGTATATGCTAAACTTCTTATTAATCAAGATGGTTAAAAAAGTAATTCTTAATTTTTAAATTGCACTATTTACAACTAATAAAATATAATATTATGTACATTTGACTGATCGTAATACAAAACATTTTATATACACAAGTAATTTTAATATCAAAGATCAGGTAATTCTTTGGTTCTACAATATTGAACATACTGTAGTTCTCTCTATTTCCCCTGATTATAGGATTACCAGATTTGACTATAAAAATAATGCTTTCACAAAGAAATTTACATGTGCTAAGCTGATATCATATTTATTAGAATATGTAAATGTTCACCGCACCAGTGATTTAGGGTGTTTAGATCTAAAAAAGTGATCTTGGCATATTCTTATGTTTAAGTGGTTCTCTGGCACAGTCTCATGATATAGAAAGAATTGGTACTTAACAGTAAGCAAACTTATCTAAACTAAAGCCTAAAGCCTTTCTGGTCAAAGTAAAAACAAAAACTTAATACATACATAATTTGTAATAACTAAAAAATACACGTTTCGACTAGTATTTAAAATACACTTAAAACTGTTACTTTGACAACTTGACTAAAAAAAGTCTTTTGCAACACATCAGATAGTTTGTCTAAGCAAAGTATAACTGTCCACAGTCACAAGTAAGTTAATTTCACAGAAGTCAAACAAGAAGGTGATTGAGCCCAAATTAGGATACGTCCAGAGTTTATTTTCATTTAACTGTCCATTTGACAATGCCGAATGTACTGCAAGCAAGTTAGATTTGTCACTAAAATTCACTAGCACTGAATTCACATGATGATGGAAATAGCGCGGGAGTGCGCCATGTGCCTCGATCACGAGAGGCGCTCTCGCAGGTGCCGCACTGCCGCGTAAACCTGAAACCCATTTATATTAGACCATTGGATCTTCATAAAATTTCTAATCTATCGACAGAATGAAAATAAGTCACAAATATAGCATTACTTTTACCACAATCTTCAATCTTGTTGAAAAGTCGAGTGTGCCAACTTTTATATGAAATAATTAAAACAATTCATGCAACCTTATTCTCTAACCGTTGCCAAAACATAAAAATTGCTTTGGCTTGCCATACAAGGTGGAACAAATTCGTAAACGATCCCATATTTATACTGTACTAGCAAATTTTCAGTCTACAGGAGAAAAAGTGTACCTTAACAGCTGGACCGAGTCGCAAACGTAGACATTGCACGAGCTCCTCGCAGGAGGCCATCAGCAACTCGGCGCCCGAGAGCCGTGCAGCAGCTGCCGCTGCGCCTACTGCTGCACCCGCCACGCGGGATAGAAGTGCAGCTACCTCTTTCTATAGACATAGTATGTAATAAGACATAAACCATTTTAGAATCCATAAACTTAATTTAAGAAAACCATTATGACATAAATTAATAAAATACCCTTTTTAACATTTAAATAAACAAAATGCAAACCTGAGTCCAAGTAGAAGGATCTGGACATAACGCCAACTCCGCTAGATGCTGAGTGATGAGTGATTTGGGCGTGTGGGGTCCCGGTGGTCCTGTCCGCTCAGTCAACATTCGTTGCGAGTCGGTCAGCTCTGACGTGCGGTCCATCGCATCGGTATTGGTTACGCCGCGCCACCTCTTCCCGCCGCTACTCGACACGGACTCCTCATCGGACACCTGTTGTTTTAGACCACATCATAAATTCAACAAGTTTCTTATGACCATACAAAGTGCTTTAACCGATCTTTATGGCCTTAGCCTTATAATACCAGTAAGTTCAAGTTAAAAAAACATATGCAACTTTTTCGCCTTTGAGAGTAGGGTCTATGTCTATTTTGAAGACAGAAAAACGAGTTATAAGTGATGTGACAAATCTGGGCCACGGTTGTCTCTTTGTGTATAACAGTAAAACAATTAATAAAGAAAGTATTAGAGCGACACTTACAGGTTCAGTTTTAGTTATCTCGTCTACCCTTTTGTGTTTCGGGGGGCGTCCACGTGGTAACCTGTAACAAGATTTGACAAATAATATTACGTATAAGGCCATGAAATATAAATATTACAACATTGGAAAAATGCGTACTTCTCTTTGGGCGTGTCACTTGTAGGACTGACTGACTGAATCGACTTCACCGACATTCCTTGGGACCTGTGAAGCCACACGTAAAAATCAAAATCTGTCTGCATTCCAGATTACGCGAGTAGTTAGCACACATTAAAAAAACACTTTTGACAGTTTAAAACGCGATATATTAATCTACTTAATTGGAAATAATTTTAAAATCTTAATTTGCAAAGCATCCGAAACTTCGGGTCGTCGTTAAAGTAATTAACTAATATATATCGCGATTTAAACCGTTAAAGTTTTTTATTTAAATTGTGACAATCCTCAAATGTTCCTTCTTTTCGTACCTGCGGTCGGGCAGCACCGGTGAAGAGTTGCGGTAGGGACAGGCCGTGGCAGCCGCGTGTTGTTTATGAGAGCCACCGCGAACCGAGCCCAGGCCCCGGCAGCCACCCACACCGCAGGGTCCGGTTATACGCAACTCCTCTGCAGCTGCAAATTCAATTTAGGACCTTAGAACTTCACTACAATCGAAGGTAACCTAGGTATTTTTAAATAAACTTCTTGTACCAGAGGTTAGAAAAAGGACCTGTAGTCTTTTCTTTAAGCATGCCTGGGACATGGTAAGTAAACAGACAACCTGCACTGTAGCATGGTGGGCTAAGCTCTTAAAACTCTCTGTCATGCAGATTGAAACGACAAACAAGATAGCTTTATTAAAAACTGTTTACAATAGTTGATTAAGACGCACTAAGAAGGTATACTTACTGAGTGGCGGCTCGAGAGGATGGCCAGTCTTGAGGCACCAGCCAACCGGGTGTATGTCAGGCGAATCGTCATCCACCCAGTGCGACAGCTCGTCCGGCCAACCATCATAGGACACGCGAACCTGGTGACCCTTTACCGCACTTATCGTTGCCACTCTTATGAGAAACGGTACCTGCAGAAGACAGGACGGGTTCGTTAGTCTGGTATCGTTAGTGTATGGCTAATTACGGTCCAGGTAAAAAATGTAGCCCAAGTGTCATTTAAATTGTTCACGATACTAACAATGTTACCACAGAATATAAATTTGCCTCAACAACAAACAACGCAACAATTAACTAATTACAACAAAACATGGATTTTGCTCTTAAATTCAAATCAATATTATGAACCGATATAGCTTCTTATATAGATTACCCTTTTGTCCACGACTTCCAACTTCATGCCTGGTTTGAAGCCCATGGGCGGGCGCGGCTTAAAGGCGCGGGGCGGCGCCGCTATGGACATCGTTTCAGATAGATAGACCTCCCACGAAAATGAGTCTGGATCCTTGACGACTGGAGCGGTTACAAAGGTTAATTGTAGCTCGTCGAAAAGACACAATATATCGTTTTAGTAGATAGTAGTAGGCAAATTTTTATATATTATTGAATTTATAAATGATATAAAACACTTTTAACGGTTCAAAACGCAAAATATTATTTAAGGGAAAGAGGCATATTGAATCCTTGAATTTCGTTATTCAATTTTAGTTTTGTCAACATTACAAGTTGAATAAAAAGTGAACCCTTTCAGGCCAATCCTAGGAGCTAAGATTTAAGTACTTTCTGATATGAATATATTTTATTAATCATTTTAGGTTTTTAGAACTCGTGAAGAAATGAGCACGGAACTTTTTAAACTATAATAGATGTTTTAAGTAAATTATGTAAGATAAAAATGTCAATACTGATCACTCTTCTGAATAGTATTTGTTTTGTATATTAAATAATTTGTCACAGCAAAGATGCATGTAAAGAAATGTCACAGCACAATTGTACTGTATAATAATACAGTTACTAATATGTATTACGTAAATATCCACTATAAGATTTTAATATTAAATATTCATTTTTTATGATTCGTAACAAATTATTTAATAAAACCACTACCTTCATTCCTACTTTAGTTCACTCAAACCACAAACATGTATTCAATTAATTATGTCCTTGAAACGCGAAAGTCGAAGAATTCAACGATGTTATCTGGTCTATTCGATATTACTATATTATAAGAAAAATATGTCCCGGTGTTTCCAAATCGTTGTCGCTTCGTACTCCGCTAAGTAGGATTCTTATCGTAACATTGCACGATAACACGACGCGCCTTCGTTACGTCCAAACGACAACTGATAAATGAATTATACACAAACTATTTAAACATTAATGTTTTAATAATTATCCTCCATTTTGTGCTAAATTAACACTCATAAACTTAATGTCTTAATGTGGTGACAGGCTTTATGCAATTCAGGCCCATGTTTTTCAATAATGAAATAATTATATATCATATTATTATTTATAATACCTACTTCAGTAAAATTGTCATATAATCATAAATATTAGCGATTATTAAAGCTGGTATTTATTTTTCATTTTATTTCAACATAATAAGTGAGCATTGTCTGTAATTGACGCGAATAGTTTTAAATAAATCACTTTTAACTGTTTAAAACGCACAATATATTAGTTAACTTACATACGTTTCGGATGCTTTGCAGCATTTCGTGTTTTAAACCGTTAAAAGTGCGTTATTTAAATATTATACGTAAGATCTACAATATTCATCGTAGTATAGTGTATACTACCACCGCGTGTTGTGTCGTGTATGTGTTACGGCATCCGATAAAAATAGCAAGGTTTTCTTTGACAGTTCACGGTTACTCTCGTTGTATAAGCACACTCTTTCAGCTGATGTAGTAACTAAAATAATAGTAGATTCACTGAAGGTACTTACAATTAGGCGGTGTGAGCGTATACCCGTTCTGACCGGCCCACCCGACCGGGTGTATGTAGGGGGAACTGGGGTCGAGCCAGCAGTCGTAAATGTCGTCCCAGCTGTCGTAGTTGATCAACAGGCGGTTGTCCAAGACGTCGGCTATGGTCGCCACGCACACCATGTCATTGTGTCTGTCTTCAGCCTCCAGCTTCATTCCGATTCGGAATCCGTTCGGTTTTATTATCTGCAATAGTATCTATGGTATATGGTATCTCAAAGTTCTCTAAACAGCCATCGGGACAAGGGACTTCGATGAGCAACACGACATCGTTTTTTTTGAAATAGTTTCTCTACCAAAGAGCTACTAATATATAAAATTTAATCGAACATGACCCTGATCAGAATGGAGAGATTCAAACAGGTTTCCCTACACTCGAATTGTAATTTTTTGATAAATCAATATTAATAGTTACCGTATTCGCCGCGATATGAGGAAACAGTTGTTTAGGCGCGGAAATCGCCCGCACCTGTTTGAGGTACATAGGCCAAGAGAATGTCGCCGGGCAGTAACTGGCCGGAGGTTTCAGAGAGCGACCGTTCTTCTCGCACCACCCCGCCGGGAAGATGTCTGGCGAGTCTGCGTTTATCCAAAAGTCATACATGTCCGGGAACTCGTCGAAATGAAGACGCAGGCGGTAGCCCTGCACCTCTGCCACGGAGACCACGCAAAACTGCGACGGATGATGAGGGTCGATAGCTTCCAGACGCATTCCTACTCGGAAACCATTCTTGTTATATGGAAATGGGTCTTTAAAAAGTTTCACGGGCGCTGCCTTAGCCTTACATACGTCCAAGTACCGCATCCATGAAAACCCATTTTTACCGCACATCCACGGATACTTCTCGTTCTCACTTGAGTCTTCATTCATTTTCATCAATAAAACTTCAGATATTTGGGACTCTGGAATGGAGTCCTGGTGTGTCAGAGAGCTCTCTTCCTTATCTAGTACAACCTCAGATTCGGACTGTTGCTTCCTCATCAGCAACTTCTTCATTTTATTTCTTTTCTTTGCTAAATCAGCCTTTTCCTTCTCTCGTTTTTTAATGTTAGATTTCTCATGATCCGATTGGCAATTAACACTGCAAAAGCTCTGATTGATAAACTCTGCCGCCACTCCATGAACACCGCAGCCGTAGCAACTAATGAACCCTTCCGGTGAAGATGCTTTCTTTTCTTTCTTTTCCAGTTTTTGCTTCAATGGTGTATGATACCTCAAAGTGCTCTCCTCCAAATTATTTTCTATTATATCAATAAGACCGAATTCATTATTTCGAAAGTGAAGGCTACTGCCGCGAAGCTTGGCAATTCCATTATTCCACAAGAGACCTGGTGGATCCTCTTCAGGCGTTAAATCCTCGCGTTGAAAAGTGATGAATGTAATGTTATTAGAATTCGCTACTTTCGGTTCTGACTTTTCTTTATACTCATCAATATCAGAATCTCGATCTTTGTCCAATTTCTCATCACAGAACAGCGAAGGAACGCGATGGTCATCGACGTTTTCGTTCTCCTGCTGTTCTTCTGGTTTATTGAGCGAAAGAAGAGTTGGAGCTTTGAAATTCTTATTATTGAAATTTTCTGCACATAATGATATTCTTCTTTTAATGTTTGCATTGTTTGTCTTTCTGTCGCTGTTATCAGAGTTAGAGCGGCGCAATATTGCAGGCGCGGGTACAGTAGGTGCGACCAATTCATTTCTGTCAATTATATTCTTATTTAGAAGACTTTTGCTTTTCTCTGGAATAGCTAAAGTGAAAGATTTTTCTCGAGTTTGGCCACCTTCTTCGTCGGCTATAGATACAGTATAAATATCATCATTCATGGAAGCGTTTGTCTCGGGTATTGAAAGTGTATATTCTCCTTGCTCACCGGTCGGTTCAGCTCTTGATCCTGGTATACTTATAGTAAAACCTTTATCAGCTTTAGTAGCGTTTTGAGACACTGAACTTTCCTTGCTGTTAATGGTAACTAATTTTCCCAAAGGCTGCAATGGGGGCACTTCCGATGACTCTACTTGACTGTCTCTCATAACTGTGATATTTCCTTGGGGATCATTTTGTATTTGACCGTTTGCTATTTGAAGGTTAATAACTGGTCCCTTAGTAGACATGGTAGCAGGCAAAGTGACAGGTAAAATAAACTTGGTGTTTTGTATCTTGGGAATATTCATTGGAGTTATAAACAGTTTCTGGTTATTAGTGTTCATAGCACCCTGAGTACTAGAAATTAGTATGGATTGGTTATTTTCAGTAATAGTCTTAGCAGGTTTTTTAACAGAGCCCAGATAAGCGATAGCTTGTTTTCCTGGTGTACCTGGAGCAATGCTTACTGGCACCATCATTTTTTCATTCCCTTTTGGCTTTTGAATAACTATCGGTTGAGCTGCATTAGCAGGAGCCAGTATAGATGCACCTTTTTGTACTGGTAGTTTGGGAGCAATATTTGGTTTATTAGTAACATTTGATATCAAGTGTATGTTTGAATTACTTGTTACCTGTAACAAAAATATTACTATGTAATAATACATCTTTGTGGCTACTCATTCAATAAAAATAATGTAGGAATTTTATTATTACTTAGTAGAATAGTAGTTCTATTTCTGTAACTATATGTGTACATGCTAATTGTCAATTTACTTTATTTTAATATAATTTTAAAGTTGTTTGTTTTGGGTATTCATCAAAGATGCTGTTTAAAAGAAACCACTGACACTTGTTGTCCCTGTGTGTTTATTACTAACTTATAATGAATAATCTAATCAATTTTAAATGGGCCAGTTAAGTCTTAAGTTGGAGTCCTTAATTCAGTGACAAGGATAAATAGTGAAATTATTAAGATTGTTTCAGTTTGTCAATAGTCTTAGTGTACTGCAATATAAAGGTAATTTATTATATAATTAGAAATACAATTATTGTGTAACTTACCGGTCTTCTCACAATAATCTGTGGAGGATTGCCACTTGTGCTCGCTTGGCTTATAACCTCAGTGCTAGTCATAGGTTTTAGGCCTGTTGGTGTCTGAATATAGACCACATGTGGTACAGTCCTTGCTGCCCCCCTTAGTTGCACTGTTCCGGAATTCACAGAATTTGGTAAGGCCAATTGTATCGAACTACTTGAAGAATTCGGTATCTGTACAATAGTTGAATTTGAACCTATTTGACCCTGTGAGACAGGTGTTGCATTGTTCATCTTGACTTGTACGCTGGACTCTGATAACTGAATTTGGTTGCTTTGCACATTCATCTCGGTGTTGTCTAAATTTGTTGGCCTTGCGTTTGAACCCATATGTAAATGTATAATAGAATTATGAAGTGGTTGACCTGTATTCTGAAGAATAGGCATAGAAGGCAAGGTGGGGCCTGTCAGTTGAATATTTTGGTTTCCACCAGGAATTTGAAGAGGAACATTAATAGTTTCACCAGCTGGAAGCTGAACTGGAACATTAGTCGTCCCTGAGACTTGAATGGGAAGACTAACGGGAGCTATCTGTAATGGAACACTGCTGGTCGCACCAGATAACTGAACTGGTACATTAATATTGGAAGTAGATCCAGGAATCTGAACTGGAACATGAACTGTGGACAGCTGCAATGGATAAGGAGTGTTGTTTGTGTGAATTTTCACTGGTGCTAAAGAATGAGTGACTAAATTGTGAGTAATGGGCATAGAGCTCTGCGGCGCCTGCACCGAGGTAACGATCATACTGTTCGAGCTTGGCGCCTGCAAAGTAACAAACATTGTCATTGAGGGTGCTTATTTGCATAAACAAAATATTCACCCAAAAGTCGCAACTTACACGCAATGTGTTTAACAGCACATTGTGCGAGCTATTCTGAGAAGGATTAATACTAGCGGAAGTATTCACAGCCTTCAGTAATCTTTTTTTCAATATTTCCGATTTGGGTTCATCAAAGTTTTGAAGTATATTACAGTGATGTCGCTCCATTTCTCCGCGTACAAAACATTTCCGAAATCATTACAGACATCCGATTACAATTGATTAAAAATAATCTGTAAGCCAATAAAAATAAAATATTGTAATGTCGAATAAAACGCATTCTAACTACGTTCGTAATAAATTAAAGAGCTGGGTAAACTAGTTACCAATTAATATTTTATAAAAGCAAAAATTTTAAATTTACTTTTAGGATGTATTAAAATTAGACAAATAATCATTACATTTTTCTTTCGCGAGTATCGCACTCTATCATATATAATATTGTGCAGCTACTTTTGCAGACCCAGAACGTTTTAAAAAGAAAAGTTATAGACACATTAAAACATGAATATACTACCAACCTCTTCTTATAATATAATGAAAAATCACTTCACAGCTAATATTCTAAATATTTTACCATCGTAAAGGTATTAAAACCAACTAAGAAAAATAAATTTTATTCAGCTAAGCGACAAATTTTGCTCGCCTACAAAACTGGTAAATGGTAATCGTTGTAACAACATAGCCAAATTAAAATGTAGTTTCACAAGGTTGGCACGTTTAAATATTTTCACCAATCGAAAACAGGCATTTCCGTGACGAGTTTCGCGCCTGATTATTCAGCTAAATCTGGCTTACCTTTAAAAAAGTTGTTACAACACAGGTGTATATATCTGTGGCATTTAAAATTTGTGCACTTTAAAAACTACTTGGTATATAAAAAAATATTTAATTATTAAAAAACTTAATTGAATTCTCTTTATTTTACAGTGTCATATTACAAATCATTATAAATTTTTAATGATTTTGGGGTTCTTTTTTTCTAATTTGATAATTTAATTTGATTGATTTTGACTCTTTTAAAAGTAAAATATTAGTTTTATAATTTGCGGACAACCGAAGACTAAAATAATATGTCTACAGTCTACTACTGTCTAGTAGTCTATGACCTTACTGTACTGAAACACATTTCCCTTCTGTGTCTGTGGTTTATGACTATCGCTGTCATATCTACTACGTAGTACGTCATATTCCTTATTATTTTTATTGTTTAACGTTTAGTGAAAAATAAAAGTAGAGTTTGCGAAAGATTTTCAATGATTAAGTAATATTAAACCCAAAAATATGTTTTCGCGTGTATTTTTGTGTACATCAATAAGTATATAGTGGTATATTAATTGTCTACGGTTATTTCTTTTAATGTATTTTCGTAAGTAATTTGTGTTGTTTTATTAATGTAATATTGTCCTTATAATTTGTATTAATAATGATTACAGATGTTTTTTGGAGTTGTAATACTCTTTTAATTATTAGTATCTTTACTCACGTTTAAATCTAATGCTGAAGTTTTAAGGATATTATTTATTATTGTGTTGTTATTAGTTATTACCACTGCATCTTTTTGAATGCTTGATGCATATTTGTGTAATTTAATACTTTCAGACTAAAGCTTTTTGCCACTAAAAATGGATAAAATGACGAGTCAACATCACTACATGCCAGTTAATAGCAGCTGTAGTTCTAGAGTAGGAGAAATTGAACATATAAGTGAGAATTATTTCGCTCTGCAATTAGTATATATTTTTTCTGCCCCCATTATTACATTTTATTAGTCTGTTGCTGAAGATTTTGGATTTGTGCTTGGTAATGCAAGTTTTTAAATTCTTTGTTTGTATATGCTAAATTCAATAAATAAAAAATCATTTCTCCAGAAAAGGAAAAGCCTTTCTTTTATATGCCTCTGGCAATAGAAATATCAACCATGTATAACTGCCTAATAATGTTATATTCATTTGTCCTGTTTAAAATGTCATATACTTTAAGGTCATCTATCAGAACACATTGGATCCCTCTGTTTGTCATCAGAATATTCTGATGTGACATTAATAGTAGAAGGGCAAAGAATTCCTGCACATAAAGTCATCTTGGCTGCAAGTAGTGATTACTTCAGGGCTCTTTTGTATGGGGGTATGAGAGAGTCCAGTCAAGTAAGTTTTAATTTTATGGTATGATCGAAATATTCTCTAAATAGTTTATATTCCTTATTTTACTTAATTTGCAGTCGGAAGTTGAACTACAAGCACCTCTGCAAGCTTTTAAAGCTCTTCTAAGATATGTTTACTCAGGTAATGTGATATAAACACCCTGACCATTTAAACATATAGACCAACACTTGAATAAACACAATGAAAACAATTTTTTAGGACACATGGGCCTTTCTTTGCTTCGTGAGGATACAGTTCTTGATATGCTTGGATTGGCACATCAGTTCAACTTTCAGAAACTCGAGACAGCTATATCTGACTACCTTCGGCAAATTCTAGCCCTACGAAATGTGTGTGCTGTTTTGGATGCAGCAAGGTAATAAATGTATAGTTGAGCTGTAACATGGAGATAAGTATGATCTATTTTTTTATTAGTAAGAAAAAAAAATGTTGTTTATTGTCAGATTGTATGGACTTGATGCCTTGATGGACTATTGCTACAACTTTTTGGATAGGAATGCTGCTGAAGTTTTGCAGCATGATACATTTCTACAGTTATCTGTAGTGAGTACATAAAGCTTATAAGAAATGGTAGTTACGTGTATGATTGAATCCTGCACATAACAGCACATCACACTGATTCTCTTAAACAAAACTGAAAAGTGTAGAATCTCATCATCTCAATGACTTTGTGGCAGGTATGTAGAGGACACGGGCTGGACTTGTACCTAAGTCCACAACGTTTTGTACTGTTGCTCTAACCAATTCAGCTACCGTCCTACACTTCATGGTCAAGTTTTTTCAACCTATTGATACATCCTACCATACCTATACCTCTGCTGCAATGTTATTTTAACCTTAACACTTGATGTACTTTATCATATATTTTTAATAACATGGTAGCTGTAGGTAGCATGGTTTTTTATGTAAAATATCTTTAATTAATAGCTTCCTGTTAAAGTAGTTTTAACATGTTAAAATTACATTACATTCTTTATTTTATACTTAGCAAGCCTTGCAAGGTCTCCTGGAGAGGGATTCATTTTTTGCACCTGAAGTTGACATTTTCAAAGCTGTGTGCAACTGGTTTACGGCAAACCAGCAGTGGGTCAAGTCTGACAGTGGACTTACACAAGTTGTAAGTATTTCATGTTTACAATATGTATCCAAAGCCATTTGAACTTTGTAGTGAAGTGACGCTGACTGTCTTTCAAGGATCTCAGAAGACACTTGCAGAATCCATTGAATTAGCAATTAAATGGAAAGATAATGGTGTAGATGACCTTAGTGTTGACAATCTCATATTTTATTTGTTGATAAACAAAATCAAAAAAAATTGTATTCTTATACACTGAAGCACAATATCATGTTATTGAAATTGAAAATTATGTCTAACACTTTATTTATTAGTAACTAGTTGTTTTATGTTATTTTAGGAGAAGATACTGAAATGTGTTCGTTTGACTTTGATGAGTCTGGAGGAACTCCTGACAGTGGTGCGTCCGTTTACTTTGGTGACAGCCGACATGTTGCTGGATGCCATTCAAGAGAAAACTCAAACGAAAACTACTGACTTGCCTCACCGAGGTCTTTTGTGTAAGTCTTCTGTTAAGTTGAATAACTAGCTTTTGCGCGTTTGTTTGCGTAGAATAGAAACTTTCGGTAGTAATGAATGAATGAATATTTTTAATTTTATTTTTCTCCCTTAATTACCTTATTAATTAAAAATGAAATAGTAGCAAGTATTTTTTTTTTAACCATAGATAGGCAATAAACGTTTTTTTCTTTCACGTAACCTGCTTCGAGTCTAAAATCTTGACATGCATTTCCAGCGGAATATAGTTTATTTTATTTTAAATAGACGTTTTTTGTGAAAACATGCTACGACCGCCTCTATAGCTGATTATTGTCCACGAGAGGTTTTAATTTCGCGGACGCAAAAGACTGTTTTTATCGGGTAGAGCACTGAAGTCTGAGTAACTACTTGCCTGTAAGAAAAATCGACCAGTGATATATATATATATATATATATATATATATATATTACAATGCTCTTACCCCGTACTCCACAGAGGATGTAGTTTTCTTGTAAAAACACGCTTAATCTAAAATGTATTCTTCAGTGCCCGAAGAAAACATAGCAACTCCGAAACGGGGCGCTCGCGTGATCACTGGTGATATGCGCTCCGCTCTTCTCGACGGTGACACGGAGAACTACGATATGGAGAGGGGGTACACGCGCCACACCATCTCCGACGCGCCAGACAATCCCGGGATCATTGTGAAGCTGGCCACAACTACTATCATCAACCATGTACGATTACTACTGTGGGACCGTGACAACAGGTGAATTTGAAGCATTTTCCATGTTGTCATAGTTTTATTTTATGATAGAGGAGGACAGACAAGCATGGCCTTTTCACTTAATGGCATTTAAACAAGTTGCGCTGTCGACCCATTTTTATTATTCGGGATTTATTCGGAAGCCACAGACTCAAACCAAAACACGATTAGGCTAGTGGTTGATCAGACGTTCAACCTCATGCAAAACTGATCGTATAATTACGATTGACATGTTTCAGATCCTATGCATATTTCATCGAAGTATCCGTTGACCAGAAAGACTGGGTGCGAGTCATAGACCACAGCAATTACTTTTGCCGCTCCTGGCAGAATCTCTACTTTGAGCCGAGGGTCGTGCTGTACATCAAAATTGTTGGCACTAGCAACACAGTCAATAAGGTTAGCTAATCACACAATATGATTTTTAAAATAATCTGAAATGGAATTTGCTCGATACAAAAGCAATATTTATGAGAAATGGTTATTTTAATCTTACTACAAGTTTTAGTCTTTTTATTTATGAATATGAAATTATAAAGGAAGAAAAAACATGTTATTGCACATGAAGGCACTATATAATTTAAAAATCTAAAATAAATTGAAAAAAATTTCGACTCGGGCAGGACTTGAACCGGCATCAGCGTTCCTCTACCAATTGAGCTACCGAGTCGGTACCAATTGGTAGAGCAACAGCACGGAACGCTGACGATGCCGGATTTTAAAATTATTTTGTTCTATCATTTAGTTTAAATGCGTGTAAGAGAAAATAGCATTTTTAAACCGCACTTAGCTCACTCAGCAGCACAGCTGAGACTGGTACCGATTGCCACCTCTTATATGTATATGCACGCAATTTAGTCATAAGTTATATGTTTGTAAATATCTTAAAATGGCAATAAAAGATTTGAATTTGAAATTAGGATAAGAATTATTTAATGGCAATGCTTAAAGGTACGAAAAGTTCTGAGTTCCAGGTTCAGGAAAGCAAATTAAATTAGTTTTGATCTGGCACAAAATGCCGTTTATCTACCGGCCCTCATGCCCTCACCAGTGAAACAGTTAATAGACAATACTTTGCAGGTATTCCACGCGGTTTCGTTGGAGGCGATGCACACGTCTCGCGTCCCGCCCTTGTGCGACGGACTCATCAAGCCGCTGCACAATGTAGCTACCGTTGAACTATCGGCTGTCGTCATCGAGGGAATTAGGTAAAATAAGTCACAGCTATAAATACGCAATACAACTTAATCGATTGCCTCTATTTCGCGTTTTATACACATCACTTACTATTAATTTAACTCGAAATCTGTCCTCTGCCTCTTACTTATATCACAGCCTATATACAGCCTTTAAGCTTTTTCAAATTATTTTTTGTAATATCTTCCCTAGTATAGCGACAACTATGCGTCTTATCTCAATGGTTAAACAGTGATTTGTGTGGCAATTCGTTTGTATCCTAAAACCAATGTCTTACAGTCGGTCCCGCAACGCCCTGCTGAATGGTGATACGGAACACTACGACTGGGAGCAGGGCTACACGTGCCACCAACTTGGCTCCGGCGCGATCGTGGTTCAACTCGCGCAGCCGTACCTTCTGTCCTCCATCAGGATGTTGTTGTGGGACTGCGACTACCGCCACTACTCCTACTATGTTGAGGTTTCCCTAAATTATTGGCATTGGGACATGGTAGCTGACCGTACACGGGACACTTGCAGGTAAACTATTTCCAATTCAAATACGTAAAACTATATACATACAATATTATAATTTAAACAATATTTTAAAATAGGATTGATAACAAAAGATGACAAGTTCAGAATTTGATTCAACGACACGCATCTCGAACTACTGTCACAGAGAAAAAGAATATTAAGGTGCTTAAATCCCGTTTGTCCTCGTGGAACATATTTCTGCGTCCGTTTTACTGATCTGGTATTTTACAGTTGATCAGATTCTGTGCTCTGCCCGACCGAATCAATTTATTTATTATTATTAGGATGGTTAGGAACGTCTCGCACAAAAAACCAAAGCTAGGTGTAACCATCCTTAGCTACAGATCCGGCCTTAAAAATAATGTTATAATGTATATTTAATAATTGCAGATCTTGGCAAGTGATATATTTCTCACCTCGGCCCGTGTCTATAATTCGTGTCGTCGGGACAAATAACTCTGTGAATGAAGTGAGTACTTAACACAATTTGTGATTACTACTTATTCGGCTTTTTTTGCTTAAAATTTGTAAATGTGATTGAATCTCTCGCCATAGAACTAAATTCGCATGTTGCAATTTTTCTTTTTCACTATTTTATTTCGTAAATAAAGTAATGTCTATACGGAGCATGGAGTTTGATCATGTGCAGGTGTTCCACCTGGTGCACCTCGAGTGTCCGGCGCAGGTGGAGCGAGAGGATCCAGCCGCGAAGAAGCAAAAACCTGACTCGGATAATCGGCTTCCTGCGATAGGTCAGTAACTTGATAGTGCACTTCTATTTTTATGGTAGTGTTAGTCTGGTGCATGTCTAGTTTAATTGGTCACAGATGTGATACAAACAGTAGGTAATAAATCATGGTAACCATACAATAAGAAATTTTATACCTAATGATAGGTGGCAATAATAGCGAGAATCGTGAAGCTCCGTCGCCTCCTGGAGACGGGAGCCCACCACCGGAGCCCACGACATCACGAAGGACTTTAGAACCTGCCGAAACTGCCACTGAAGCAGAGGAGCGGTATGATGCGTTGGATTAACTGAAAACTCTGCTAGAGAACTGGTAAAAGTGGCGTAAAAGACTTATAATACAGTGATGTATTAATTAGAATCCAAAGTTAATATTTTGCAAAAGTGTAGAACTAGACTGTATATACATATAATAATTGCTTAGTAGTAAGATTTTTGTTTATTTCCAAGCGTGTTTATGTATGTTATGTGCCTTACCATTTAAAGCTTTTCTAGAAAAGAAACCAAGTCAACACAAACAAAAATATATTCTGAATACACACAATCACACTGCACGCAGTTGTCACTACTAGTGTTGCATTGGGATCTGCTTGTCTAGTCTGTAAATGTATATATATATAATGTACGTGTAAATTGCTTATATATCAGTTCCAAAGTGTTTTATAATGTTTAGATAAAGGTTAATATAAATCTGATAGAGTGAATAGGATTTTAGTTAGGTTCTCCAGAATTGGACTTAATGACACATGAAACAGTTTTGAAGAATAAAATTAGTGTTTTTATTTTACAGAATTTGACATTGACAGTAATTTAGCTATCAACAATAAGAATTATAGCTTGGAAAATGACCATACTGCTGAGAATAGTATTTGATATCTTTTTATATTGTAGACATCAAGTAAGTCTAATCTAAGAATGGAATCTGTAATCAAATGAACATTTTCTTTTTAAATCAGGCAATAATATGGTAATATTCATGTTATTTGTCAGCAGCTAATTATTTCAAAAGAAGATCAGTGATAAGTTAGTAAAAATAACAATTTTTCTGCTTTTTTACCTTACTCTTATGCAGGTTGGTAGTAAGTATCTACTATCACTCCTAAATTAGTGCAGAAAACATTAAACATTTACACAACATAGTATTAAAGACATTGAAATAAATGTTTACACTAAATATGTACCACTACTAATATCATATAATTAAAAGTTTTTAACTACATTGATAGTCTAAAACATAAATTAGGTAATTGATTGAATTGTCTTGTGTCTGTGTGACCGAAATCTGGACTGTGATAGAATGAAATGCATAATATTATTGTAATTGATTTTATAAGAATGTTTAATATAAGTGTTATATCAAAAACTGATTTTTTTCTTATAGAAAATGTTCCAATAGTTCTTTGATATATATGTTGACTAGTGTAGTTCAATCTATATCATTTAGCAACTAGAAAACAAAGTGATATATTTTATTAAACATAAGAGTTATAAAAACATAGTCTGGCATTTTATTTTAAACACTTTATTCCTCTTGTTCTATAGAGGCATTAGAGTACATTTTCTACTGTAAATTTACACTTCTTAATTAAAGCTATACTTTTAAGTTACTTTGGGACCTCTCTCTGTAACTGTAGCTTTACTAATGTTATACAATTTGCTTGCATCTATTATGTCAGGATTTGTCTCTTCACTATAATCATCTAGTCTTTTTCTTAATAATAATTTAAGATCTTCTATTCTTTCACTTTTTAAAGCAGATATGCCTATAATATCTTCAAAAGATATAATTTTATTTGGAACTAGTTCTTCCGGTATCCTCGTATTATGAATAAATTTGTTTATATTTCTATAGGATTCCTTAACTTTATTTAACACTGTGTCAGCTCCTTCCAAATCCATTTTGTTTATAGCTAAAATTGCAGGTTTTTCCAATAGCTCTGGATTATATAATTCTAATTCTTTATTCAACAACAAAACTGTTTCTAAGCAGGTTCTTTTTTCAAATTGTGGACTTAACTGAAACCCATTCACATCAGCTATAAACAGTAAGAGTTTAGTTCTTTCGACATGTCTAAGGAACTTGTGACCTAATCCTTTGTTACTATGTGCCCCTTCGATAAGTCCTGGTAGGTCTGCAATAGAAATCTGTCTAAAATCTTCAAATTGAATTATACCTTTATTGGGCTTTAAAGTAGTAAATGGATAGTTAGCTATTCTTGGTTTAGCTCTGGATATAGCTTTTAAAAGTGAACTCTTGCCAGCATTTGGAAAGCCAACAAGACCAATGTCAGCAATAAGTTTCAAATCTAATCGAATATGATGAGCTTGGCCAAAATGTCCAAGAAAATTATTGTCTGGTGCTCCTCCTGGCCCACCACGTGCTACAATAACTGTATCTCCGTCTTTATCAATTGAACCTAAGACCTTCCCATCTTCTCTATATATCGTAACTCCTAAAGGCACTTCTAATTTAATGTCGGTTCCTGGAGAGCCTACTATCCTAGCCTTACGACTATCCTCTCCGTGCCCTGCACAAACCGTCTTCCCTCTATGATTACTTGCAATCTTCTTCAAATTTGAGTCCTCTACACCTACACAGTAAACACAACCGCCTTGACCTCCTAAACCCCCAAATTTTGGTAAACCTGTACCTCCTGTTCCACCCTTAACAAATAGTCTAACAGTATCTAAAAACTTTGTTCGTAAATATTTACGAGGAATTTTAATATCTCTGGTAGAGAATAAAATCCTATTTAGATAAACCATAATATCTTAACTATATAAAAACTAAACCTAAAGTCTAAACAAGCATGATACATTAAAATTTCAAATTGTAAACTTCATAAGTTGACAGGTAGACAGTTGTATACTTTGGACAATTGACCACTGCACATTTTTGTGGCGTAAGCAATTAATTTTTTTAATACATATGGCAACACTGCTTTAAGCTAAGCGTCATAATCACAGATACGTTGCAAGTTAGCGTCTAGTCAGTGTCTAGTATTGTGTAGAATAATCTGTAAATTAAACTGGACAAAATCGAGCATGAAATTTGTATTGTTTTATGATAAAATTTAATATTTATCCACTAAAGTCTAAATGAACATTTTGTAAAACAGTATTCTTCTATCAAGGCAGAATGGCTCTTTATTGTGCAAGTAAGGTGTTACTTGAAATCTTATATTATACATTTTTTACCGGTGCTGTTGTAACGCTTCTTTTTCATCCAGGAATAATATATATTATGTTATGTATATACAATATTTACAACTGTGCCAACTTCTTTTAAATTTGTATTATACCTTAATAATAATGTTTTTCATTAAATGTTTCTTATAATAAGAAATAATTATAACCTACCTATTTTAGTATCAAATGAAGTGCCCGAAGTCCCCGTGGTATCGCCGTCATCCGGGTCGGTTTTTGAAAAGCGCATAATAGAGAAATATATTATAGAAAATGGGGTTGACCCTATCAGTGGCAAGGAGTTAAGGCTAGAGGATCTTATAGAAATAAAGAGTAAGTATGAAATCAGACGTATAACCCTCTGCATATGTGTTAGGCATCAATGTGTTCTTAAATGCTTCATGAGGAAGTCAAAAATAAGGAATTCAATATAGTTCCATAAATAATTACTTACAGATCTCATTTTTTTGTTTTTTTAGCCCCTCCTATAGTAAAACCAAAACCTCCCAGTGCCACATCCATTCCAGCTACTCTAAAGAGTATGCAGGACGAATGGGATGCTCTGATGCTTCATACATTTACACAAAGACAACAGCTGCAAACTGCTAGACAGGTATGAACATAACATATTAAATGTAACCTTTAAGACAGCACCATATTCAATTTGAAGTTTTATCTTTTACTCAACAGGAACTCAGTCATGCTTTATATCAGCATGATGCAGCATGTCGTGTTATTGCAAGGCTTACAAAAGAAGTGACTGCTGCAAGAGAGGCGCTTGCAACTCTCAAACCACAAGCTGGCATAGTTGCTCCACAGCCCACTCATGCGGTATTTCTATATTTTTTTTTACTTAATTTACCATACGTTGAAGTCAAAGTGTTCTTGACAAAACTTTAGACAAGTAAAACTTATTGTATATATAAAACTTATTGTAAATGTTCACAGATGATTATTTATACTTGGTTAATGGAAAATAAAAAAGGCCTTGCTCAAATTTAATTGTATTTTACAAAATGTGAATTTGCAGGCAGAAGTTGCAGCTGGGCCAGGAGGTGCAGTACCAATTGGCATGTCCTCAGAAGTGGTATCCCGGCTACAGGAGCGTGCAACTGCTCTCACACAGGAGAGAAAGCGACGGGGACGTACTGTGCCTGAGGGGCTTGTTACTCCTGAACAGATCCGCTCATTTCTTACACTTGCATCACATCCTGTATGTATATTCAAAAGAATACTTATAATTATGGTATTAACATTGTTTGTAGCAGTTTCGCCAAGTTTAAAGGTAAAATGATGGGCTTGTAAAAATCTTCTCTTCATTTCTGTTGCTTTCTAATTGCATAAGTTCAATTTTGGAAGAAAACCGTAGGCAAGGTATGCCACTGACTTGTTATAATAAAGTTACTCCCTTAATCCTATGTGATTATATATGTATATAAATATTATTCTGAAGCCTAGAGTATGAATAAAATATTCATCCATTAAATAGAAAAAAAGATTAAAGGCTATAAAAGTAGCCTTAAGGATTAAAGGCTATAAAAATAGTGTTAAGGAGCTTGCAATCATAAAAATAAAAGAGGGAATCTGACGCGTCCTGTCATTATTACCGCGGGTGCATGGGCTTGACGTCTTTTGGCGTGGCTATCACAATCTTTTCTAAACATTCCCATGCTAGGTACAACCTTTATTGATACAATGTAACACTGATCCAGACCTATATATATATATATATATATTCATTTTAGTTTTCATTTTTAGGGTTTGCACTCTGCCAGCGTACCAGGTATACTGGCTCTGGATATTAATCCATCTGACCACAGCCGTTTGCTCACCGGCGGAAATGACCGCAATGCCACTGTTTTCAATAAAGATACTGAACAGGTCAGTCGAATAACTACTTCAAGCATTGAAGAGAATAATACTGTCTAGAAAAAAACCTGTTAACAACCTTCTGACGGTTTTTTAGGTGGTAGCAATTCTCAAAGGGCATACAAAGAAGGTGACGCGCGTGATTTATCATCCTGACGAAGACACGGTCATTACGGCTTCGCCGGACCACACTATCCGTGTTTGGAATGTGCCAACGTATGTATAAAACTTATTTTTTAGGACCTAAACTAATTTGTTTAATCAATAAAATACAAGTTGGCAATAAAAAGAGTAACTACAACTAATGAGTGCAATTTATTTAGCTCACAGACGACAGTGTTGCTCCGTTCACACGACGGTCCAGTAACCGGTCTGTCGCTTCACCCAACGGGCGATTATGTGCTATCTACTTCTTCAGATCAGCACTGGGCTTTCTCAGACATTCGCACCGGTGCTTTGCTTACGAAGGTATGTTACTAAAATTTTTCTTTGTTTTTGAATATGTCAGAAAATTAAAAGTACACTATTGAAGCTTCTAATCCATAGGTTAGCGACTCATCGGGAGTAAGCTTAACCACAGCCCAATTTCACCCTGATGGTTTGATCTTTGGAACTGGAACTGAGAACTCTCAGGTAAAGATTTGGGATTTGAAAGAGCAGAGCAATGTAGCAAACTTTCCTGGACACGTGGGACCGGTCACTTCTATATCATTCTCGGAGAACGGCTACTACTTAGCCACGGCCGCTGAAGATGCCTGCGTAAAGCTTTGGGATTTGAGGAAATTAAAGAACTTCAAGACTATTCAACTTGACGAGGGATATGCTATTAAGGTATATATTGTTTTCTCTTATTTATTTGAAATATAACAGCCTTCCTAGACTCTATCTCATGACGCGCAAAAAGCCGACGTCACAGTCACATTAAGACGATGGAAGGAACAAATAAAGCACTCTCATCAGCCTATTATTCTCACTAAACAATAATTTTCGTTTAGGAGCTGTGTTTCGATGGCAGCGGAACATACCTAGCCGTAGCTGGGTCGGATGTCCGCGTGTACTTGTGCCGTCAGTGGCAGGAGCTGAAGGTGTTTAATGACCACACCGCAGCCGCCACCGGAGTACGTTTTGGACACAACTCACATTATCTAGCTTCCACCAGCATGGACCGTACTCTCAAAATATATGGAATAGAATAGAATAAACAATTTAAATAACAGGTATGAAGGACTGCAAAAAACAAGTTTTTTCGTCTCTTGATTTTTCTTTAGAAAAATATTTTTATTTCGTGTGTTTACTATTCTTAAGGTATTTTATAGGATAAATAAAACGACAGAAAAGCCTTAAAATAAATGTACTAACTATTTTAGTTTCACAAAAGCAGTAGGTTACTTTTAACAAAATTCTCAGTATGTTTTATAGCTTAATGAATATTCAAGATATTTGTACAATTAATTACTACTTATATTCAAATATAAGACTTTCTATCAGAGAACGTTGTTTCAACTCTACTAAAATTAAATGTCTTTTCATCAATAAACAGCGGCAACATTATTGGTCTGCAAGGTAAGTAAAGACTGTTACCATAAGCCTCAATAAAGTTTTATTAAGATAATATAGTTTCCAAAGTTAAATGCTATATACACTTTGATGCAGCTGTATCTTACAAATTAATAGAAGTTCTACAGTACAATACAACTAATAACCCTTAAATAATTTAGAATGTTATGTAAAGTAATATTTGTAATTTTGCCATAAATTCATCTAAATCCCTTTCACTAATTAACCCTATCCTTTCTCTTTTATACCAGGTACGAAACCATTTAGTGCCACTCCACTCCAAAAATCTGTGTGTGTGTGTGTTATTTAAACTAATCACATTTATATTCCAAATACTACACCGTATTGTGGAACATACTTTTAATTTTAAATGCGCCTCTTTATATCCTGCTCTGCAGCTATGAAAGTAAGAACTAATACATATTTTTCTATTTTTAATGCTTTTACAGATTTACATATTTTATTTTACACCTTACAACCATTTTTATACAATAATCAATGTTCACGTAACAAGGCCAATATTTTTTGTTTTAGATAGGCAATTATAGTAACTTTATTCATTTTATATATAGCCTATGGATGAAGCTATTTAGTGGATAATCAAAAGATTTAAAAAATAAGGCCAAGATACATTTCATAGGGTACCTCAATATCTATAAGAATGTTAAATGTTTGATACGTAGGCCATATAGCTTGATTCTTATCTATTACGCATGTGCAAATCAAATATTTCAGGATGGTCTGCCAATATACAATCATGAATGGATAAAAATAACATAACGTTAGATAATGGGGTACCATACGATTATAATCCAATAACTGCTATCCTGATCATGTAAAATCACTTTTTAACATTGAGGAGACTTAGACATACATGACGTGTGCGATTGGCGCAGTCACATTGTCATTTCGGCCGGTCACTCCAATGCCGTCCAGCCCCTCGGGTCATGCGAAAATCAACCATAAGACAAACAAAATTGCTACCCAGAGAAATATCTTCGACAGGAACTGTTCTTCCTCATACTGTGCTGTACCACGAGGCGCTGTGGAAAAACATATTTTATGTCAAATAATGCATGGATATGCACAATACCAATATATAAAACAAAATTTGTTGAACACTTGTTTGACTTTCACTAGCCAAGGTGACAGTCTCCTTGGCTGCAATAGCACTTGGTTATTTAACCTGACTAGACTACACATTTTTATCGTCCTTTAGTTAAAGACCTGTAGCAACTTGGTGCACACTATAGAGTTAGACAATTGATGGTATAAAAGAAGGTTTGGTGATCACTTTTGGGCTTTGTGTTTCTTAATCTTATTTATCACAGAAACCAAAATATATAGATGCTGTAGTGTGCAAGTACTACTAGAGCACTAAACAGTCAAATATGAGATTTTACTCATGCTAGATTATACAATTTCATATTACCCTACTTGTTTAAATCAATAGTGATGTAAAAGTGTTAATCAAATACACTATTACCATTAACCAGTCCACTCTGTCTCATGAATATTATTTGTATTGGTACACAAAGTACACAGGTCTTTAACCCTAAAATATATTTACGGCGCTTCCATTTTAATGTTTATGTGCTTGAATAAGGTGTAAATTAAAAACTGTTAAAGGTTTAATAAAGTCATGACATAGAATTTATAATATAAATTAATAATTATAAATTTACCTATCAAGATAAATTTTCTATATAACAAATTAACACATACCAGCACTGGGCCTAGGGTCTCCAAAGTTAAATGTTGATGTAAAGACTCCAAATGGAAAGGCACCGATTCCAAAAGACATATGAAAGCCTTCACCAAAACTAAATCCTGGAAATCCACTATTGTTTTCAGGCTCTGTTCGTTGTCCCGCAGGGCGTGGTGGAACCTGAAATAAAATAAATTATACTTTATATTTTTAATAAACAATATTGTACATTCTTAAAAAAAAAAAATACCTACCTTGTTCCTTGGATCCTCTTGCTTAGTGTTACCACGACCATAAAGTGGGATTACTTTATCACGACTGATGGCAGCTTTGCAGACAGGACACACCTGACGACTCGGTCTAGTTTCCAGCCATTGATGTAAACATGGCCAACTATAAAATTATGAACAATGTTTTTTTAGGCTTTCTACAATGAGTCATACAGTTAATTACACCTGACTTTTTATAATTATAAAGAAGGATAATAGACTACATTAAAAAAGATACAATTTCCTTGTGTGCAACAATACTAGCATACATTTCTGTATTCTATTAAATGTCTTTTATAAATTTTTTTAAAGCTTTGTATTGTAAATTTGCTCTAGAACTATGTATAAAAATTTATTGATAATTAACTTCTTGATTGCGATTTTTAGTGCATTCCTTAAGAAAAAATTACCAGAACAGATGTCCGCACATACTGACAACAGCATCCCGAGCTGTGTCGAGACAGATATTGCATTCTAACATTCGTTCATCGCGCTTATCTTCTTCGCCACCAGCATCACCACCTGGAGCCGAAGCACTCGGTTTTGTTTCACTTGTCTCTGCCATTATAGACTCTCTCAAAATCGCACCCTTCGAAATTTATTACGTCAGAAAAACATCTAGGTATTCCGCAACGTAACTTATCTTAATCACTCCTCACAAAGTCACAACAGCCTTTAGCTAATGACCTCCAAAATGTGACAAATGTTGTAAGTCTGCCGTAAAAGGTATAAGTATTACCTATTTAAATTAAAGTTAATAAAAATGTATATAGTGTACGTGAATGAAATGAATTGTAATATTATACACAAACAGACAATGAAAAAAGATAAATTGATTTAACCAGAACTTGTCTAAATTTCCGCTTCAAGTTTTCATGTAGAATGACAGTTTACTACTAAATACAGATAATAACGCTCACTGTTGTCTGTCTCTTCCACGTCTCACTTTTGTGCAGTGCTGCATTCCGCCAAGATTTAATATACTTACATAAATGAACGTAGGTTAAACAAAATAGGAATCCATTAATTATGAGTATAGTTTCATAAAATATATGAAACGTAATATTAGATTTTCGTCAAACTATAAAATGTTTGCAACAATAAAAATATACTATTTTATTATCTGTTTTCCCTATATCTGACGTAAAATAACGAGTTGTCATTATAACTGATAACAATATTGGATTATTCATAATCGTTTATCGTAATGTTATTCATCTTTGAACCTCTTTCGAACTTGTGTTTTAATTGTTGTACTTAAATTCCTCAGAACTTAGTGGAAAATTGGTGTAGAGGCTTGACGTCAAAATAAACAATCTAACCCATAAATCCAAAAATAGATTTTTTTTACGAAACTTAATGTCAAGTTTCTGAAGTGAATAATTAACACATACCTTAATATGTACACAAGTTTTATTTAACGCAATATTTTTAGGAAATATAGTTAAATGTGTTTGCTTAAAATTTTTTTTTCTAAACATTCTTAAAAACGAAGTAGGTACTCAATCAATTAGTAACGAATTTTGCGCTTTGGATAAAATATGATAAAGTCAATTGTGAGTGTGTGACGTCACAAGACAGAAACTATAATTTTAATGAAGATTTCTGACCGTATTTTTTAACTATCTCAAAATGGGTGGTGCAGTGAGCTCAGGTCGTGATAATAATGAACTAATCGATAATTTAATGACTGAAAACTACATACGCACCAGAACAGTGGAAAAAGTATTTCGGGCTCTAGATAGGGCTGATTATATGACACCAGATGCACGGGATCAAGCATATAAAGACCTTGCGTGGCGAAATGGATTACTTCATCTGTCTGCACCATGTATATACTGGTAAAATGATTTTAATATTTGTTTCACTTAGCTGGTAAAGGACAAAGTTTATTTTTATTTTATAAGTTAAATTACATTTCAAATGTTTGACAAAGGTTACTATCAAAAAATGATAAGATACACACCTTTTTCAACTCAGGTGAGAATCATGGACCCATTAAACACTTAGATTTGGAAAAACATAACTCTTTATCTAAGTGATGTTCCATGATTCTTCAGTGAGGTGATGGAGGGATTGGAGTTAACGCCGGGCCTGTCCTTCCTCAATATTGGCTCGGGCACAGGCTATCTCAGTACCTTGGTTGGTCTTATCTTGGGGTCATCTGGCATCAGCCACGGTGTAGAACTGCAGCCGTCTACAGTGGAGTATGCTATGATGAAGTTGCGCCAGTTTATTGAATGTTCTCCAATACTTGATGACTTGGATTTTTGTGAGCCCAAATTTTTTACAGGTATGTAATGTTAAGACAATTTAATAATTCAAAGCAAATTGTTGCATCATAATTTGACAAATATTGTGTATATTACTAGTAACAAGCTTATCTAAATAATAACTTTTGATATAAAAGTGTTTGTTGTTATTGTTTTTAATTTAAAGAGTTATATAACAGGGATGGATTTATTACGTTTTACAAATTAAGATGTACATATATTGTAATAAACAGTAATTAATAATTGCGTTTGTTCTAAAGGCAATGGATTAACACTCGCTCCCTTACAATGTGGATATGATCGTGTTTATTGTGGTGCCGGTTGCCCGGAAGAATATGAAAGTTATTTTAAAAACCTTATCAAGGTAAGTTTTACTGTTGGCACTTGATACTTATTTAATACCTAATATTCATGTACAACAAGGACATTGAGCGGACTTACTTTTTTAGGTGGGTGGTATTTTAGTGATGCCAATCAATGACACTTTACAACGAGTAAAACGTGTCTCCGAAGACAAGTGGGTTACACGTAGTGTACTAAATGTCTCTTTTGCAACACTCCATGTGCCGAGACAAAATGAAGCCATTGACCAACTTAAACTAGGTAATTTAGTTTTAATATAGTAAGAGCCACTTTAAGAATACTTTTAACAGATTATTTCATATATTCTTTTGTTTTCCACACCTACACACTCCTTATGGTTGTTCTAGCCGACCTGGTTCCTCCGAGTCTACAATGTTTGGCTCGTGCTCGTATTCGCTTGTCGATGCAAGAGTCCTTAGTAAGACGTCATCCCGAGTTGAAGGAAAGACCTTGGCGTCGGCCACAAGCTCGCCTCAATTGTGCAAGAAGAATCTGTATACCCATAGAACCAGCCGATGATGTTCGTAAGTACCTGGAAATATTGTATACTCTGTGAGATATCTTCAATGTCAATGCAATAGCATGGTTAATAATCGCACACGATGCATTTTTTAGAGAATCTTCTACACGATCTTGACGAGGAAAGTGGTGCTAATGAAATGAATGCTCTACTGAGTTTAGTCATAAGCATGGGGCGCAACAGAATGGCCGGTTCCGTACGGTTCGACCGTGTCGCAAGACGTGGCTCGGACAATAATGATTCTAGTCAGCAAGACGAAGACAATGATGCGTCATCAGACAATGACACGGTCGATAATAATCCTACGGCAGACGAAATTCCCGCTTCTACTACCAACTTAGAAAATGACGCCAAAGGAGAGAATAAGACTGACTCACAAATTAAGAAATCTAATGAAGACGATAAAGAGCATTCGAAAAATTTAAAAGATGAGGATAGTGATAGTGATTCTCAGAGTGATAGTTCAGCTTCTTTGGGGGGTCTTAAAGCTAAGTTACAACAATTGACAGCTAATAGGGACAGCACACACCTCGCAAGGATTAAAATGCTCAGTGAAAAGTTAACTAGAGATATCGGTATAGCCTCTACGTCCAATTTTGAAGGCGAGAACGGACGCGAGAGGAACGACCCCAAAATGCAAGTAATCTCTGTACTAGGAGATGACAGCAGTGAAGACTCTGATGTGAGGCAAATTCAATTCCATTTTTTTACATCTTGTTTTTATTATTCGATGCCTGTGTCCTTTATACCATGAAGGCGACATGTCGTTAATAATACTATACATATATTAGTTAGTATAATAGTGTTTAAAAAACGTTTATTATTATTAAGTAAACTCTTTCTCAGGAGAACGATTATGATAATGAGAATGGTCTATATGGAATACCGTCCGAAGTGATCTTCACAGCAAAGAGTGAAATGGAGGAACCTGGTACATCTGCTGCAAAGGACGATAAGCCACTTGTTAGTATTTATATCTACAAATCACTTTGTAATAAGTTAGTATTTATATCTACAAATCACTTTGTAATAAGTTAGTCTTGGTTAAAAGTGTAAGATAGAAGTTTATCTGAAGGTTCCTAGAAATTTAGGTTTGCCAAGAACACCATTGATTTTAATAGTTTTTTTTCTTAATTTGTCGCAATATATGACGTCACGTTTGTAGATGTCGAGATAAGTACATTTCAATGACTATTATAACGAAGTTGATCAAAATGTGATGTATCCACATTTAATATATCCTAAATGACAACAAAGTCATCGAATATAGTATAGCGTTTCTAGAAACAAACATTTATTACAGGAAAAATCGTGCAATACTAATGTTCGCGAAAGTAAGCCCAAACGACAGAAGCTGGATAGTGGGATCGGAGAAAACACTCCCACGGAGGAAGAGAAATCCGGAGAGAGTCAAGGTTCGGGTAGTGACGATAACTCCAACAGTTGGATGGACATTGAACCTGAGTTTTCGCCGCTTCCTGGAGGTAATTCATTTAACGAATGAACTAGGGTCTGAAAACTTTATTATTTTTTTACATGTTATTGCACATGAAGGCACTATATAATTTAAAAATCGAAAATAAAAAAATTTCGACTCGGGCAGGACTTGAACCGGCATCGGCAGCGTCAGAGCAACAGCATGGAACGCTGACCACGCCGGTTCAAGTCCTGCCCGAATCGAAATTTTTTTCAATTTATTTTCGATTTTTAAATTGAACTAGGTTCATTCTTATAACGTGTTAATCATACCCGTCCCAATCGGACAGATCGCCGTCGTCGGTCGGACGCTTTGAGGTCGACGGACGATATGTGGCCTCCGTCGTACGAGGAGATGATGCCCTTCCACGAGGAGCAAAGGCAAACGGTGCGCATGCGACGAAATCGGGATGACATTCGCTGGGCTCGTCTCTCGGTGGCGATGAAACAGAGCATCAATGAGTTGCCGCTGCCGCATTCGCTTAGGAAGTTAGTGTGCCTAATATCGCTATTTGCAGTCTTTGTAAAATGATAGCATCTATGACCAAGAAGTTTCCAATTAGTAATTTTAGTATATACATAGTTAACTTCATGATTTTATACTTCACTACAATATTTCATATGCAAGATAGTAAGTCAAAAATATATATGTATAACTTTATTGCAGGTTCGTGAATTTGGGTCGCTGCTACGAGTTCGAATAGGCGTTTTATGAAATGATATTCAGTTACCAAAATATATTTGCATGTATATATGTGTAGATGGCGTCAAATCTTTCTGTCATTCTAAATCGAATTGTTGAGAGTTTTATTTCTTGTTTATATGATTCTTGAGATCTTTTATACTCTGAAAATAAGATTAAGTGGAACTTTGGTTATGACCATTTTACAGATAAATCAACTAAAAGTCGTTCATTGTTGAGTCGCTCTTTCCATAACACATTTAATCTGTTTCTTGATGTTGAATTCTGTATGACAAGAAATACGTAAGCGTTGTTTTGTTATATTGTATAGGATGTTTACTAATCAATGTTGAATTTTACAAAAATATTGAATTTTTTGCGAAAACGAGGGCTATTTTTCACATGTTATTGCACAGGAAGGCCCTTTTTAATTTAAAAAAAAAAAAAAAAAAAAAAAAATTTCCCCCCGGGGGGGGGCCCCGCCCCCCCCCCCCCCCCCCCCCCCGGGGCCCCCCCCCCCCCCCCCCCCCCCCCCCCCCCCCCCCCCCCCCCCCTTTTTTTTTTTTCCCCCCCCCCCCCCCCCCCCCCCCCCCCCCCCCCCCCCCCCCCCCCCTTTTGGCCCCCCCCCCCTTTTTCCCCTTCCAAAAAAAAAAAAAAAAAAAAAAAAAAAAAAAAAAAAAAAAAAAAAAAAAAAAAAAAAAAAAAAAAAAAAAAAAATTTTTTTTTTTTTTTTTTTTTTTTTTTTTTTTAATTTCCCCCCTTTTTTAAAAAAATATTAAAAAAAATTTTTTTTTTTTTTTTTTTTTTTTTTTTTTTTTCCCCCCCCCCCCCCCCCCCCCCCCCCCCCCCCCCTCCCCTTTCCCCCCCCCCCCCCCTCCCCTTTCCCTCCTTTTTTTTTTTTCCCGCGTGTTCCCCCCCTGTTTTTTTTTTCCCCCCCCCCGCTGTGCCCCGCCCCCCCCCCCCCCCCGCCCCCCTCCCCCCCCCCCCCCCCCCCCCCCTCTTTTTTTTTTTTTTTTTTTTTTTTTTTTTTTTTTTTTTTTTTTTTTTCTTTTTTTTTTTTTTTTTTTTTTTTTTTTTTTTTTTTTTTTTTTTTTTTTTTTTTTTTTTTTATAATTTAAGTAGAAATTACATTGCGCAGAGGTGTATGTATCTAAGTTGAAAAAATTCGACGATGAGGTGTAGGACCCGGTAGCCCAATTGGTGGAGCAACCCCCCGGGAAGGGGGGGGGGGCGGGTTTACCCCCCCCCCCGGGGGAAATTTTTTTTTTTTTTTTTTTTTTTTTTTTTTTTTTTTTTTTTTTTTTTTTTTTTTTTTTTTTTTATTTTTTTTTTTTTTTTTTTTTTTTTTTTTTTTTTTTTTTTTTTTTTTTTTTTTTTTACTTGGTATAAACACAGTATACAACACATTGTATATGTGTTAAATTAAATATTGAATTTTGGAGAATGAGGGATTACCTAACTTATTATTTTAGAAGGACAGTAACAATAGGAAGCTTTAGCAAATTTAACGTGAGTCGAAGCGGTATAAGGATTGATTGTAACTAGAGATGAAACGGATATTCGTTCAGTGTCCAGTAAACGGCAACATTTATCAAAATTGCGAGAAATAGTTTATTTAAGACAATTTAATTTATTCCTCGAAGCTTCAAGGTTGGCCTCGCATTGGGTATCCGGCAAAACAACTATTCGTTTCATTCCGCTTTGTAGCTGCTCATTGTCGATTTTCCTGCATTTCTATCATAAGATGTTAGGAAATATAAGGTGAAGAAAATTTTATTGTATAAAAGACTGTGACTTTATTTTTGTTATTTAAATGTCAAGTAAACATTCGTAATTCATCACAAGATTAATGCTAGGCACATTTGTTAACACGCTGTTGTCATGATGAAGTTGCTGACCAATGTGCGATCACCCTATTGTGGTAGTGAAATCTAGTCGACTTTCAGTGTAAAAATGATACCTTAAAAGGGTACGTATGTAATTTGTAGCACATTTTATCGATTGAAGTAATGATGGAGCCGATCAAATTATTTTCACTCTTAGACAATAGTAGGATAATACTCAAGGGCTCAACTGTTAACACAACTTTTGATAAATGACTAATAAGTCCAAATACTGGTTGTGCTGTTGGCTAGATAACATATTAACGTAACATTGAATGGTACGCATGATCAAGCTTATAAATCTTTTGGTGGCAACATTTGCTCATCTATTGCTCATGTAAATATACACACTTGTTTGATTTTCACTGGTGTAGAATTTTGTTTCTTTAGGAGTAAAATGATTTAATTAATTTTTATAATCCTTACGGTACGAAATCGTTAAGCTAATAAATATAATTCTTATTATGCCTCTCTTCTTTTATTATAAGTAAATATAAATTTACAATAGAATGTCAGATCTTAAATAAATAACTGTTGTATAATACGGTGGGTGCTTTGTCTTAGTACATATTATATACACGCACACAATTTGTAGCGCGTTAAAGCTAGCAGTCTAGCACCACTTGCCGGATCGCACTGTGCCGTTCGACCTCAAAGGTGCGTGGGTATTTTCCGGGTAGAGGTCGTCGGCGGCCGGTGTTTCACAGGCCCTGAACCCATTTAAGACTTTCCTGGAAGGCCGCGGTGTTGCTCTTCCGCCGTCTCGTGTTCTTTCTCTACTTCTATCGGCCCCGTGCGTCCTCTTTACCGGCCTCTTCATAATCTCGTGGGCCTCTGACGGCGGTCTACTTTGCTCCGTTTCGCTGCTGTTCATCAAAGAATGAGCACTTTTGGCTTTATGCAGTGACAACCTCAGAGGCTTGCGCGGTGGCGTCGGACGCTTAGCGTCGTCCCTTCTTTCCTCGTTCTTCTTGTAATGGCTTAACCTAGAACAGTTCTCCGATCCGTAGTCTAATCTCGGCGAACTGCTGTATACGTCGTTAGGGAAATCTGATTCGGATTCAAATTCCGATGACTTGGCGCTCGCAGCGTATTGTTTGGACGTTCGTCGACTAGACTTATGAGCGTTTTCTATAATCTTTCCGTCTATTTTGTTATACAGAGTATATTGTGTTTCCGTTCGAATGTCTTCGGAGCTGTCGTTTTTCTTAAGTTTACGCAACCGTTGTGACCGTTTTAGCTGTTCGATTATGGATAGAGTTTTACGCTCGGCCCAATTAGTTTTCTTGATACTCTCTTCTATTCGTTCAGCCGCTTTCTTGATCTCTTGCCTCGGGTCGCAGGAGCCGGAGGATCTCCGGTCTATGTCGCTGTCGGATCTGAAGTGCTCCTCTGTTTTAGACCGGCAATGAAGCTTATCCGTTTTTAGGCGTTGCTTTTCCATTAGTCTTTGGTTGCGTTCTATCATGCGAATTGCGGCGTCGGTCTCCGTGTTGTAGTCCACACTTCCGTGAATGCAATGGTGCGAGAGCGAGTGCCTCATTCTGCCCGCTCGGTGTTCCAGGCTGTGCGAGCTGTGCGACCTATAATTAGGTGCAGGAGACGCTCTGGGCGACGCGGCGACCCTCGACGAGGCCCCGGAAGCGTTGGATCTCGGTCTTATGACGGGCAAGTTCCCCTCTGAACTGTCTAGCCCGGGCAGTTTAGCGACGAGGGCCGTTATGCCAGGTCCCTTTTGAAAAACTTGCACTTCCGATTTTGGACTTTGATTCGTAAGTGGTTCAGATGTGATGCTGATATTGGTAACGTTCTTCTTCGTCTTGTTTACTGTGATACAACTATCGCTGCCCGTTGAGGGTGGTGCCTGAAAAATAAATGTGTAGTTATGTGGTGTTTTTCCCATTGTCCTTTACCCATTTTTTTACCCTATGGAAATCGAACCCCCGTGACTGTATATCACTTACTAATAGCAATGACAAAGAGTCTTGAATACCTGTGTATGCCTTGCCAACAACTCGGCTACTTGCTCCTCGAGGTAGGATATTCGATGTGTAAGACGTGTGTTGTCGGTTCGGAGGCCCTCCTTCGCCTTTTCCGATTCGTCGGCCGCCATTTTGAGAGCTTCTAACTCCGATCGTAACGAGGCTGCTTCATTCTGCACGATAAACGAAACAAATGAAATCTGCTTTTTGTTTTTAGTTTTATTAAAGGGTTATATTCGATTTTTTTAACATAACATAAATAGGGCAGGTATCCAATCCACATTTTTAATTTTTACTTTGGAAAATATAGTCTGCAAACCGAAACGTGAATTCAAATTGAACAGCTTTTTTTATCTTACAATTTTGATATTCCTAAGACATTCCTTTAATTGTTGAAAATTTTTGGCGGGGGTTTTTTCCCCCCCCCCTTTGAATATACAATGCTACTATTATGCCCACTAGACTAGACTCCGCTTTGAAGCGAGCGTAATTTTCAGCTTAGCCAGATAAATAGTCGTTAATAAAGTTGAAATATTCTTTCTTGCGGCAAAGCTATATTTCATCGTTTTACAATTAAGGTACCTGTGTCAGAGCAAGAGGGGACTGACTGTGACCGCGCAAGACCACAAGTCGCGCTTGACTGCAAGATGCACTTGCATGACGCAATTCTTCCAGATTGCATTGTAAGACGTTTGTGCCGTTTACCTCCACCAATCTGAAAGATTTACAATAAATCTTGTTCATAATTTTCTTTTTATAAGTCGACAATTCCTTTAATATAATACGGTCGACGTAACATGGCAAGTCTGAACAGAGGTTAGACGAACTTTGGCGCATGTACACTCGTAAAGAAAACTAATACTGCTATTTATTTTCGTTACTGAGATAAATTAAAGATTTTACCTATAGCAAGCAAAAGTAACATACCAATAATTGATTCAAAGAGAATAAGGGCTACGAACACTAAAAGTACACGATATACGATCACTAAAATACAGAGACAAAACAAAAATAGAAATAATAATATTAAATTTAATAATAAACAATCACCCTTCTAACGGACTGCGCTCAAGACAGAGATAAGGAAATTAACGCCAAGGAGTGACCGAGACACACTACTGTTTACCGAATATTATCGAATATGTACGAAGCTTTACGAAAGAACCAAATAGAGATGTCCATACGCGATCCTTGAGAGTGTTGTTTAATCGATTCCTATTAAAATTGAGACAATTGGATCGTAGAAATATAATTGTATAAAAAGCCCTAAAGAAGGTATAAATAGTAATTATATAAATAATAACACATATTTAACTAAATGAGGTAGTTCAATAATGAAAAAAAGTTTTTAATGATTTTATTTTCGTTTAAAGGTAACATGGTATTGTTTATTAACAACACCGTATCACTGTGTACTTCATCCATTTAACATACAAACATAAAAATTCAAACAAAATCTATAAAAATCGATTACGAAATTTAATAGAATAAATGGTAGACTGTTTGACAATTGTCAATCTCTAGCCTATTCTCTCCTCTTACCACCGTCATCCTAAGGAACATTTCTGCGCAGCGTTTCGCGCTAAGATCAGACTTGCCAAGTTACGTCGGCCGTATTATCCTAGCTATAAATATATACCTAAAACAATGTTAGATCGTCGCGGTTAGTAAGACTTACTTAGTCAATTATAGTGCCTTGTCTGACCAATTTTTTTTCCGGAACTCGGAACTCCTAACCTAACCGACTAAGCCCATCCAGCTACGAAAGCGGACAAAATCTATACTAATTTACTTTTTGAATTGTTTGTTTGAACGCGCTAATCTCATAACCTAATACTGGTTCAAATTAAAAATTTCTTTGTGTTGGTTGGACCACTTAACGAAGAAGGTATTGTAAGTATAAAAAATCATCACTGCGACCAATAGGAGCGAAGAAACAGTCGTTGGCTCCCTTGCTTGGTGAGCTTCGAAAACCAAAAAAATATGTATGAAAGATTGATTCTTCTTGAAACAGTTATAAAAAAATGCCCGCGCCAATATGTATATATATCTTTTAATATTAACTGTCAAGAAGGACGAGACGCGTCGACATTGTGGGTAACGAGCGATAATTTATAACGATGACGAGGTTTGCAAAAACTAAGTAATTTGGATGCTCAAAATACCAATTCCACGCTAAAGAAGTCGTGGGCACCGCTAGTCGTTAATAAAAAAACGAAATCTCGTTGGAGAACTCCATGGGTTTTCTATAACGTTAACTAAACTTGCCTTTCAAGAATGGTTAATTTAGTCACACATATTTTGTAGCACAGAACGGAAATGTAAATTGCGAAATTAACTTGCATTTATTCAATAAGTGGAACCTGTACTAATCTGACTATGTCCTTATTTATGGACGTTTACAAAGTGCCAATTTAATAAACATAAGCACGTATTTTTCTCTTTATAAATGCACTAGCTGTGGCGGCGATTTCGTTCGTTCATTAGTCTTTTGGCATCAAAATTTGTTTTTGCAAAACTCGTTCCTTAATAAATTTTACTTGTTACCCACGACCTCATCCGCATCCCGTGTTCTTGCAAGTTAACGTTAAAAGATAGTTAGATAGACATATAGTCTCGCGGACATTTTTTAGATCATTTAAAAAGGAATTATTCTTACACACATATTTTCTGGGTTTTCGTAGTGTAGTTTTAGCCTTCGAGAAAATATGTGTTGGTTAACATAAATAATTTTTCAATTCGAACAAGTAATTTCTGCGATTAGCGAGTTCAAAGAAATAAACAGACTTCAGCTTTAAATAAGTATTAATAATTATAAAATTCTTGTTTAAAAAAATAAACCTGGGGATATAAATTTGTGGTGGTAGCTATAGTTTGTGATGAATTTTTAGGCAAATTAAGTGATACGGCGGTTTATGTGGAGAATCACTGGCGCCTCTCCACCTCTCCTGGTTGATCGTGGGTTGTAACCCCATCTGTGTGTAATCAGTTTAACGTTATATATTTTTTATATTAAAGCCTCACCTGTCGCCCGGTTTGAGAGAGGAGTTATTGGTCCATTCCACCACCACTCCTGATCCACGCGGTGAAGCACCCCACGTCCCCTCTTGAGCCTCTGTCGCCACAATCGCTGCATTACCACCAATATCCCACAACGCACTGTGTAACAAAAAAAATACATAATGTTGGTACCATATTTACGACCTTTGCATCCATCTTATAAGACACAAATAATATGAGTACATAATCAATTTTCATGTGTCGATATAGAATATACGATAATGCGTAGGGGTGCCACATTACTTATTTTTCTTTTACATTATTTAACAAGAATTATCCTACAGTATGGCATAGGTCTCCTCTCGCATAGGAGAGGGTTTTAAAATCAGGCTTCAATAAGTACCACCATAAATCAGTAGTGCAAACTAGAACCCACGGTACCACGAGCTTTTCTAAACATGGAGAAATGAAACCTCAGAACTCTGAGCTACCATGATTTAGACCCGATCTCATTATTGACGCGATACTCTACTGACTATTGATATTGTTTATCAACAATGTGTTTTTATTTAGGAAAAAGGAAACAAACAGATGCATTACAAAATAGTAGAAATAACAATAAAGAATAAAGTTTAAATGCATCCTTAACAAGTTCACTAATATTTATATAAATTAGTTACACGTTATATAGCATCGATACAATTTACAGGAAATAAAAAAAAACATATAAAAACTTTACATTTTTGTATTATTAAAATTAGTCGAAAAACGTAACAACTACAGTGTTGGCAGCCCTAACGGCGTGATGCGCTAGCACACGATCGTCTATCTGGGAGTACATATTTATTTCTATACAGTACAGGTCAGGCTGGTTTCAGGTAAGGTTCAAAGCCAATGGAGGTGACTCTATCACGATGTTGCACTGATATTTCTTGTAATATTTTCTACTTCATGTTTATCAACGTAAAAATTTTAAATTTTCGCGCGTCTTCAGATGTATTATTGCGTAATGTTTAAAGTAAATTAGTATGGTAGAAACTTACACTTAATAGACCAATTTACTACTTAGTACATTTTTAATGAAATGCCGGCAGCATAGAAGATAATGTAAATAAAATAAATAGTTTTGATCTATGCCTACTAATATAATATGTAAAGCCGAAGAAAATTTTCCTTTTTTGAAAGCGCTGATCTCAAGCACTACTACTAGTTTAAATTTTTAAAAATATTTATGTGTTGGTTAGAGTATTTATCGAATAAGGTTAGGTAATAAAATATAGGCTGCGACCAACAGGATCGAAAAAAGATAAGAAATTTGTGGAAAAACGGGGAAAACTATTCATCGTTGGTAAATCTTATAAGATTAACTTGTAAGAACGACGGAACGGGACAGCTGGAATTTAAAAAGACGAGGAGGAGGTTTGCAAAAACAAATTTTGGCTTATAAAATAACTATTCTACGCGGACGCTGGCACAGCTGGTGATTTTTTAATAGGCATAGCTTTGACTGATTTAACGTTCCCTTGAGACTTTTTCACCAATTTATCAATATACATATATACTAAGTTTATAAAATTGACTTTTGCGAAATCGTTAATGTTTATCTCGCCTGACTATTTTTTATTCCCGTTACAATAACAATAGTAGACATTTTCCTAACAAACAAGAACAGGCATTATTCCCACGCAAACACGCCTGAATTGCGACTGTTTTTAACGTGTGTGCAGTGAACCGAATAGAGGCAAAGAAATGATATAAAGGGGCAAACGCAATGTTAAAATTATTCTAGCTTTATTATACGCAACACGACGTCGATAAGCCTACTACGTCTAGTAAAAACATTGATTATATACTTCACATCCAAACAAAAAAAATTTAGTTTAAATAAGACACTTTTTACGGTTTAAAATGCGATATATGTTTAACTGCGGCCCGACGTTTCGGATGCTTTGCAGCAGCCGTGGTCACGGTTAGAGTAAAGATGGAGGATATCTGTGATGTCAAAGTAAAAAATTGCTACGCTAGCGCCATCTGTTCCGTCGAAGTTGGTATTTGGCGAAACTGGCCGGGTCCTTACGGAATTGACTAACGGTGTCTTCGCGTTTGCCGGTATGCAGTTTATTGGGATACATTTTAATATGGGATCCCAGGTGTTTGATAAGAGATTTAGGTACTTAGTAGCCGAATATAATAATGTAATAAACATTTTTTTAAGTTTATAAAACTCTTAAAAAATAGGTTTGTTATAAGCGAAATGCTACTTTCAATATAACAACTCTGACCCATTGTTTCCAAGAGATCATTGAAAAATAATTCGTCCATTCACCGCGCTGCTATTACATGCATGTGCGAATTGATATTATCCAAGATTCGACTTTCCACCATTGGAATAATGACCTACATCGTGAGATTTTCTCAAGATAATCCGGATCTTGGTGATTGCTATGCTCCCCAACAATAGATGCAAGCTGAAATGAATCGCTATAAGTAGGTCGAACTAAGAGAAGGATTCTTCATATTATTAACGATATAATTTTCACGTAAAAATGCACGCAAAGCATATTTATATATTTTAATTATCTTAATATTATTAAAGATGTACGACGACACATTACTAGTACTAGTAATGTAAAGCTACTTATTATATATCAACAGGTCGTAGGTGATTTCAACCAGGTCCAATATGTTCCTAAAAATATCAATGTACATTTTTTCAAAAACACATTTGATTTCGTTTTTAAAATCTTGGAGGTAGAAATTTAAACATTTCCAACTAACGTTCACAGTTAGAACCCTTCAGTGCACCCAATGCTTGTCTGTACTTTTCTGCCATTAAGGCTATCGTTACCTATTATGTGTACATTATAATCGTATAATGATCTACAAAACCTATTCCAATAAAACTTCGACATTACCAGTTTCGTAAGCGGGCTTAACAATTGTTAATTACACGCTACATTTTGTTTACGACCATCGTACTCACAATGAGTACTGCGCTTTCCCAAATAAGACATTAAACGCTCGTCCCGATTTACACGTCTCTAATAGTTCCGAGAAGATGCAATCTCTGTAAGTGTATGTAATATGCAAGTGATATAATTGTGTTTCTCACGAGATCGTCGTTGCGCCAACTCGAGATTTATGGATAAGAAGCGAGAAGTACAAAGACACTAAAAGAAGAACTTTACAGATAAGTACTCCTAGATTAGATAGAACATCTCAAAAGGGATCCGCTCTCTTGAGAAAATATAAATCAAGTTTGAAGCCGTCCAAAACATTTCTACGTGAATTTACCTTCTCGGGTATTCTATGAGGCATAAAATTTAATTAACTTAATATCTATTACTAGATAAAAAAGTACCTGTACAATGTTTGACGGTGATTATCTGCTTGTTCCATAAGGAGTGTGAGAGCGCGGGCCTGTTCACCCAGGGTCAATAATTCCAGCTCCTCGCGACCCACTTGATATTGCAATTCCGCTTGTTCTATGCGTGTATCTATATTACTGAAAGAATACAACACAGTTGTCACGAGTATATTAAATCAAACAATTGTCGACTGTGGTACAGATTGTTAACATGAATATTATCTGTGACACTATAATTAGTAAGTAAACTATTGAACGTGGGTAACACTGAAAATGTTTAGAACTGGCCAGCAAGAACCATTGCTAATGAAAACTTTTTGAATTTTATCTTGGAACTCTTTGATAACCTAATGTAGTAGTCATTCGGTTTTGTGAATGGCGGCAAAACTAAAACTCGGTCGAGTGTCTGTTATAAAACAAAATAAGTTAGTACAGTCAGCAACTTACTCAGTGACGTGGGTCCTCTCGAGCCGTTTTCTCAGTTCCTGAATGTTTGCTCGTCTGGTATCCAATTCGGCTCGAACAGAAGCGGCCCGTTCCTCTAACGCTCGTCTTTCGTCCGGTGACAACGTCACTGGAATCTCTTCAGAAGTTCTTCTGGGGCGTGATGACACTGCTTCGGCAGCCAAACGTGCTGCGCTGAGTGACGCACTCAGTTGCCTTTTGAGACTACGAACACAATTTGTCAACTATTACACAAAATTTATATTACATGCACTTTATATGAAACCAAATGTTTACTTTAATCTTTCGTAACTACATGGAAATATAAAGTTTTATTGAATTTGATGTATCAAGACCAAATTACAAATTATATCTTAATATACTTTGTGTGTATAACGGGATTCGGACGTGTTTATAAAATAAATCTATGTGTATTGACGTACTTATGTATCAATGTGTCTTTATCGGCAACGGCTCCTCGTAGGACTTCAATTTCTCGCGTCGTGTCGCGTGCGCCTGCGCTGCGTCTTCGTGACCCGCCTAGTGAAACCTCTATGTTGGCCATCTAAAAAGGTTAAGTTTAATGTTAAGGTCTGAACTGAGGCCTAGGAATCAAGATAAGTATGTGGAAAATGGGAATCTCTATGCGTAGGTACACTTGAGTTCACAAAAACAATCTCAAGATAATAGCCGACGACCGTGATAGATTAAATGGATTTATGGGGCCGGTTTGTCTTGTTTTTCCATCTGTAAGCGCATCGGGTGCTCAGTGTTCATTGATCAGAGCTCAAATGACGTGACAAATTGTTATGTGATCCAATGGATCTTATAGAACCTTATAAAAAGGAAATTATCATTTTAGAAGAAAAAATATTAGAGAAACGTTCGCATCGTGAATTTATACACAAGCAACTAGTAAAATCGTTCACAATATATCTTTTGATTAAATTCATGGAATGTCTATTTTACTGAACACTTTATAGGAGAGATCAGTAATGCCCTTTTAAAAGCTCGAATCGAATCATCGAAAGATCATTTTTTAAGACTTAGCTCGTATCGAATGATGTGTATAATATATCCATTTTTATTCCCTCAGAGATTGCAGCAACATAAATAATCAATAAACGAACGGAACTCACAAAGTACGACAGTTTACAGCTGATATGGTCACTGCGATTAACTTTTTATACTCTCGACTTACGATGTAGAACTTAGGACACTTTAACTGGCAAGTTGCATTATATTATACCGGACGACTCGTGTAATGATAGCAATATGTGCCTAATAGTCAAAGGGTCAGGGTTTGATTCCCGAGTCCAACATGTTCCTAACCTAACACCAATTTATAATTTTTCTGAACCATTAGATTTCGAATTGAATATCTGGGATTTGGGTGGATGTAAATGGTTGGCATGTGGCAAATAGAAGATTCCGTCCGGCTCACACCCCACAGTCCACACATAAAAAAGCCGTAAAGTAAAGGTAATAGCATATGTCTGTGGATTTCAAATACCCGAAGCCAAAACGAGTCGACAGCGCATCTTGCGCATCTCGCGCTGGGGTATTTCACCTTCTATCAAGTGGTCCCTATGCTTGTCTGCCATCATTGAAAATATTCTACTTGTAAATTAGTTCTGTGACAAAAAAATTAAATTAATTTGTATAATGTTTTCTGGCAACTAGCTTCGTCCATAGTTAAGGAATTATATATATTTGGCTTTAACAGTTGTAGTTGTATAAATATGTATTTGGTTTTGTTATTTTTAAACGTATCATAAAATAAATGTTAGTTTTGGTCGTGTGCAGCGAAGCGTGTGCAGGAAATAATAGTTCCAATTACCAACAATTTGATTTAAGTAAAAATATTTTACACATAAATCAATATATTTTTATTAAAGTAACATTGTTGTAGAAAAAAAAGATAGTATTCGCAAAATTTTGGCACGCTAAACTGTGGAATTCAAGCAAACCCCTCAACGAGAACAGGTTATCTTCGAAGATAACTGACCCAATGATTAGTTCGTTTAAAGGAATTTGCAACCCACGACACATGCAAAATCTTTTAAGGGCGTTGCCTTAATTCAAGGGTAAAACAAAATAAACCAAAGACGTCCTATCCATGTGGTCCTAATTACCCAAGTACATTTTTATTTACGTTTATATTAGTGTATGAAGTGCAAATATATTACGACAGCTACGACGCTGTACCTCTACAGTCTACGCCCACTTTTGACTTCAACCGATTTCAAATACGGTAATTAAATTTCTCTGTATAACATATGATTACGGATCTAGCATCTCAAAGTTTAGATAATCTCGATCTAGGAACCGTGGAGTTAAAATTGCTGGCCTGCCCACTGGGAAACTTATCGACAATAATTGCTACTGTACAGACACATCTGATATTAAATTTAAACAACTGAATTAGTATTATAAATAAATATTGCAACACTTTTATGCTATTACATAAAGGTGGGTTACAACTTACAACAATCTAACATCGTATGTGAAGTAAGTCAAATAATAACGTTTCCTCGTTAGTTGATAAGCCGTGCTTAATTGTTATGATGTTAATCTGTGGTGGCTATTCATACGGATTCACACTTCTGTAAAAAATTACTACGTCTTTTATAATATTTGCGTATCCTTTAAGTATTGTTGTTGCAACTGTCCCCTATACACGCTGATGGCCCAGACCATGTTATAGGAATTCTACCGAAGGCTATACTTCAGTAGAATACCTACAATTACATCGGACGTAGTGCATGCGCAAGCGCAACCTACAATTATACGCAACGATACTAACAATAAATTAGACAAGACCTACTTAGCACTTCAATGGTACAGCATCAACGAGTACATAGCAATAACTAAGAACTATTTTTATGAATAGTTTTTTAATACATAAATTTAGTTACCTTGGCCTCCAAATTGTCGAGGTTAACGACCCCTCCTGTTTCCAGAGCTTGCTGCAACAAACAGACCACTTCATTGTTATGTTAATTAATGTTTCAAGCCACAAAGCTCCCTTTTGATTTCGCTTTGTCTTCGCTTTCGGTAGAGGCTTACAAAAGCTCCATAATTTTAAAATAAAACATAAGGAGCCAATGTGTACTCGTATAATCCACACACAATAAATATATTAAAATAACATTGCATGTGAGAGTATCCTAAATGTACAAGTAGTACTTAAAGGACTAATTTTAAAACCTATGAAAGTTTCGACTCCCGCGTTTTTAGGTTATAAGTTATTGAATCTTTCTCCTAATCCATAATATGATAAGTATAAAATAGCAACGCACGTTATACAACAAAACAATAACAACATAACGGCAATAGTTAGAAGGATGAAATTTAAATTACGTAACTATTTAAGTCTCTTGTAGTCCGATGTACTAATAAGGTTTAATTATTGAATGTATTATGTAGAATATAAAATTTGACTTATCTTACCAGAGAGGCAGATCGTTGCTGCTTGTTGAGGTCATGCTGGCTTCGGGTACGCTCCTCGCCGGCATCAGAAAACTGACCAGATTTGCGACTGCAACATTTAAATTTATCAACTATATGTATCAACTAAAACATAAAAATAATTACTAAATATTGTCAGTTACATACACTTTACACAAGAATATTAACAAATTAGAAGGTAGATATAATAAATTACCTAACAAGTTTCCGATGTGCACGTCTACCCCCGCTGATCATGGACAGAGTGCTCATAACAGCGGACATCTTAGCCACAGATAACACAACCTATCTGAAAATAAGAAAATGCTGTTACTCTATTTATAGGTTGCGATTCCACAGACGGCGAGAAGTCGTGAAGTGTAAATTCGCTTTTCGATTTAAATTTGTAGATTTTCTAATGTCAAACCATGGTAAGTTGGAAGCGCACCTTAATTGAAACCAAGAAGTTTGTCCTGAACTGACGTAAAACAGGTGCCATTTAAAAATACTAATACAATCACCTCAATAATACAAAATTACAAAAGTGATTAGCAGGTAGAACATCTTTTAAAAGTTTTGTATTTTATGGATAATAATACTGTCTACACATGTATAAAATAATAAATATTGAAAATTCCTTTAAATAAAATAACGGTTTCAAACGAATATATTAGTTATATTATTTACGGATTATATTATATTAGTTAAACTTATTTGGAAATTATTTTAACGACGGCCCGATATTTCGAATGCTTTGAAACAGCCGTGGTCATGGGGAGACTAAAGATGGAGATGGAGGCTATCACTAATGTCAAAATAAAAACTGCTACGCTAGCGCCATCTATATATCAATAATTTCAAATGAGATTAACTATATATTAGTTAAACTTATTTGGATATTGCATTTTAAACAGTAAAGGTGTACTAAATTATATTACGTAATAATACTGCACAGTGAGCGTTTCGTATAAATAAATGTTTATCTTAATAATCTTATTCTCACATAGCTCCTTCAAGATTTACATAGAATAGGCGCAACGGAGAGGAGGTGCACAAGTTGTTTATCTGATTAACTATGAATCCGCGCCTATTATAGTCACTTGAGTTTCTTTAACACTCGGAAACAGGCTATTTTAATAGTCCGTGGGCGAGCTTCGACATCTAAACGAAACGCGATAACTTATCTAAACACATTTATACTCTTCGAATTGGACTATAGAAATTACACCATTCAGGTTTTAAACGTATTACTTTTATAATATTAAACAAAATAAACATAGTTACTAACTAAAACATGAAACTAGTAAACAAATTAACACTTAGTAAAAAATTCAACTGCACTTTGCATTTTTAAATTTCAATAACAGTTAAGAAATTACGAACACCATAAAATCTACTTAGAACTTCATAAAGAATATTTATTGAATATTTAGGACGCACGTGACAAACGACTGGAAACTACAAGTCGATATTCTTAAATAAAAAGGCCCCGTTTCTACAGTCCGTTTTACTGGTCCATTAAATTTAACGGCAAGTACTTGATCAGACATCTGTTCCCTGCCCGAATTAAATAACTTATCATTTCCCGGGGCTACGAATCCAGGACCTCTCACGCTTAACGCAATGTTAGAAAACGCGTTTAACTTTTCAGCTGGAAAGGCAGTCCGTTGATGTTCTCGACTATAATTTATTTTTTGAATTCCGTTGTCATCAGGTGAGTTCTTTGAATTTCCGGCGAGATAACACAATCACTCGTCCCGTAACTAGTTACCACTTACATCCGGGTCGTTAATAAAGCCTTATCGCCACGTGACGAGTCACCCGTGCCCATATCAGCTTGCCAATGAATTAGCCCGCTATCGATAGTAACAATGGTTTTCAGTTTTTCACTTCTCTATAACACCGTTATGATTTGCTTATACATCATATCAAAAAACCATGGTTTCCTTCTCAGACAAGGAGTAAACACATCTGTAGCCGTTACACTGATCGTTTTCCTAACACGACTTGTGTGATCTGCCTTCCTGAAAATAGGAATACGGAACCTTTTCCGTTCAGCTAGGCAACATGTTAAATCAAAGTCACACGGAATAATGATATTAATAACACAAGAACACAAGACCGAAATTGAAAGTTCCAATATTAAAATACTCCCACACTTCTTTAAATCTCGCCACACAAAGAAACCATAAAATGTTGTATCTAACCACGATTTCCGGTTATCATGATTGTGATGGCCGCGAGATCCAGCAGTAGGACTTATCTTGGTTTAAGTTATTTTAAATATATTTATAATTAGAAATTATTGTTTATTAAAACAAAGATTTGTACATAACAGAACTTGGAAATAAAAATTGAAATTAGAACTATGTCCTGATTATTGTAATAATTAGCATAGAATATCTATTTCTGTTATTTTAGACATGCTCGGTTTAATTCTATATAAATATACATATTACGTACGCGGAGAAAGCTATGACGTAAATTACTACTACTACCTACAATATAATATAATGCTTATCGATTTGGAACGAATTTTAGTGAAAATACGTATTATTACTACGTAGTCTTAAGTTGGTGACTAGGTATAGAAAAGCCTTATAGACACATTAAATAATCTATGTGTGCTTTTTTTCAATTAGAACTCGGTGCATATTGGCAATGGACTAACTACTAATCTGTTTAAACTAAAAATGCTTTATTATAATAGCTCGATCGAGAGTAATTATCGTAAAGGATGTAATGTTCACACAATTAATAATATGTTAGTTTTAAACCCATGTTCTCTTTTCCTTCGGTTTTATGTGATAAAAGTTATCGTGCTTGTGTTCTTTTTCCGAATAAAAGTTCTGAAATCTAATTGAAATTTCGAAAGTAGTTTAGTGAAATAATTATGGATCAATTAATTAAATTAGACGTAGATTTTATTTTAATAGATGTTTCGAACTGCACCGTAATTACAGCGCGAAGAAACGATGAATCGCGTTAATCACAGCAGGAAATGCGTTCTAGAAGGAAATCATCGATTACTTATAGTAGAAATCGAGTGCGTTGTGTACGACGCGAGTTCCTAAAGAAGTGCGACGTCGCGATTGTCGCGAATTACTAATACGTAATTTCTAAAATAACAAGTCGACTTACACAACGAGTGTCAGAAAGCCATATCTTAGTTAGGGTAGTCGTCACAGTCTGCCAGCCTATATTGAAGCAACGTGGGGTGGGTCTAATCTCAAAGACCTGACAGAAGATGTATGCGAGAGGAAACCTCTGGGCAGCTGTGGGATTTAGAAATGCTTTGTATGCAATGCTTTATTTCGGTTTATAGAACTTTGTTCCTAAAATTTCCCGTGTGATGTATAATTTTAAAGCGTCGTTTTAACTGAATATTTCTTTTCCGTCTCGAGTTCCTATACACTATCTCGCCATTGTAACTTCAGGCTACCACGAGTTCATTGCTCCCTAAGGGTATCCAGGAAGTTGAGTTGAGGAATGATGGTTCAGTAAGCTTTCCAATTCGTTTATTTTACTATAATTACAAAAAATTGTTTGTAAGAGGAAACTTGCATTTCGATGTTAAAGTTAACGACGTTAGGTGTAAAATATGGTTCTTGTTTTTAATAACTACGCAACACCATATATGTGGGTGGAAGCTAGACAGTCTGGAGGGAAGAACCCAAGTACGAGGAGTACGAGGGATTTAGCCATTACTGCCAAGCACAGCGATGTGGTAGTACCGATAATTTATTTTTAGGTTCTTTCAACCACCAAGTATGCAAAACAACAATTCAAAACAGTTATAATTAAAAGATTGAAATTTACCATATCTCAAATTAAGAGAGTACAGAGAACGGAAATGCCTGGTAAGAATATCTCCTCAACGAGATTAGCGTGTTCTTTCAAACTTATTAGTTACACTCTATTTTTATAGATAAAAATGAAGAGATTTTGACTTTTGAAAACAATAATTTTTTCCCCCCCCCCCCCCCCCCCCAAACCCCCCCCAAATTAAAAAAAAAAAAAAAAAATAAAAAACCCCCCCCCCCCCCCCCGCCCCCCCCCCCCCCCCCCCCCCCCCCCCCCCCCCCCCCCCCCCCCCCCCCCCCCCCCCCCCCCCCCCCCCCCCCCCCCCCCCCCCCCCCCCCCCCCCCCCCCCCCCCCCCCCCCCCCCCCCCCCCCCCCCCCCCCCCCCCCCCCCCCCCCCCCCCCCCCCCCCCCCCCCCCCAACCCCCCAAAAAAAACCCCACACAACCCCCCCCCCCCCCCCCCCCCCAACCCCCCCCCCCCCCCCCCCCCCAACCCCCCCCCCCCCCCCCCCCCCCCAAAAAAACCAAAACCCCCCCCCCCCCCCCCCCCCCCCCCCCCCCCCCCCCCCCCCCCCCCCCCCCCCCCCCCCCCCCCCCCCCCCCCCCCCCCCCCCCCCCCCCCCCCCCCCCCCCCCCCCCCCCCCCCCCCCCCCCCCCCCCCCCCCCCCCCCCCCCCCCCCCCCCCCCCCCCCCCCCCCCCCCCCCCCCCCCCCCCCCCCCCCCCCCCCCCCCCCCCAACCCCAAAAACAACACACCCCCCCCCCCCCAACCCCCCCCACCCCCCCCCCCCCCCCCCCCCCCCCCCCCCCACAAAACCCCCCAAAAACAAACCCCCCAACACCCCCCCCCCCCCCCAAAAAAAAAAAAAACCCAAACCCCCCCCCCCCCCCCCCCCCCCCCCCCCCCCCCCCCCCCCCCCCCCCCCCCCCCCCCCCCCCCCCCCCCCCCCCCCCCCCCCCCCCCCCCCCCCCCCCCCCCCCCCCCCCCCCCCCCCCCCCCCCCCCCCCCCCCCCCCCCCCCCGCCCCCCCCCCCCCCCCCCCCCCCCCCCCCCCCCCCCCCCCCCCCCCCCCCCCCCCCCCCCCCCCCCCCCCCCCCCCCCCCCCCCCCCCCCCCCCCCCCCCCCCCCCCCCCCCCCCCCCCCCCCCCCCCCCCCCCCCCCCCCCCCCCCCCCCCCCCCCCCCCCCCCCCCCCCCCCCCCCCCCCCCCCCCCCCCCCCCCCCCCCCCCCCCCCCCCCCCCCCCCCCCCCCCCCCCCCCCCCCCCCCCCCCCCCCCCCCCCCCCCCCCCCCCCCCCCCCCCCCCCCCCCCCCCCCCCCCCCCCCCCCCCCCCCCCCCCCCCCCCCCCCCCCCCCCCCCCCCCCCCCCCCCCCCCCCCCCCCCCCCCCCCCCCCCCCCCCCCCCCCCCCCCCCCCCCCCCCCCCCCCCCCCCCCCCCCCCCCCCCCCCCCCCCCCCCCCCCCCCCCCCCCCCCCCCCCCCCCCCC